CAACTCTCTGTCCTAACCAGCCTCAAGATGGACAGCAGAGCAAAACAGTGGGCCAAAAGTTCACCTCCCATCCCAGCAGACACCCTCTGCCCCCCCAGCCCGCAGGACCCCGAGGTGAGATCACATCTGGATTACTGACGGGACCAAGCAGGCACCAGGAGCTCCAGGAGCTTTAGATTGTGTGTTGTTTACGGCACATCGAGTCGTTTAGTAAACAGAGAAATGCATACATAAACTAATTTTAGGATATATTGGGGTCATTTTTCCAATCTGTGCAGCCACATATGTTTGTAGATTTGAAACAGTGACTCAATTAACTGATTAATCGGCTATTTTGATTCATTGATTCACTTCCAGTCCAAAACTGAGTTATTTAGTTGTCTATCTCAAAGGAAACCAGCAAATATTACCAGTTTAGAAGCTGGAACCAGTGAGTTTTTGCCATTTTTATCATATAATTATCAAAATTGTTGACCAATTAAGCTTCAACTGTAATGCTTTCTGTAAATAGGCTATAGTATGATGTGTGTGTGTCTTTCTCTCTGTAAGTTTCCTGTGAGTGACCTGAGTGGCTCCACCATCCAGAGGCAGAGGAGGGAGCTCCAGCTGCTGATGGCTGAGCTGAAGGACCGGGACAGGGAGCTGAACACCATGGCCGCCTCCCATCATAAGCAGCTTCACGCCTGGGAACAAGACCGCCAGAGGGTGCTCGCCTTGGAGCAACGGTGTGCCCGTTTGGATGGTGAGGACGCAGAAACCACGAGGATATACAAATCTAACTGCAAATTATGTCGAATGATGAATCATTTAATCATTGTTTGGATTCGCAGATGAGTTGCAGAAGCGCAACGAGGTGATCAGAGTCCTGACTAAACGTGTGTGGGTGGTGGAAACCAGGGAGGAGGAGGTCCAAAAGGAGCTCAGCGTAGCCCGACAGCAACTCTGTGAGCTCGAACAGAAACAGCAGAGCATCAGCGAAAAATGTGAAGACTTTGAGGTGCAATTATAACTTTTAATACACATTTATATTCTCTATAGAACATCTGAGCACCAGGACTGCTCACCATGGATAGAGCTGCCGTTTTTGATTAACCAGACTCCCCATTATCAAATTTATCACATTATTTTAGTTAAAGGGTAAGGTGTCAGAAATATCTTATAAAAAAACAAAGCCAACCAAATGTTAGTCCGTCTTTCTGACTTTCCCACCTTGTTTGTGAAGCCCTAAAACAGTTAGTAGGATCAGTTCCATTGTTGATTTTGGTCTTTTCATTGGATTTCTTAACACTAAGAATAGTCAGTTTCCTACAAACAAAGGCTTGTAATAGCTATCTTTTATGTAGGAGGATAATTAAACATGATGTGTAATTGCATTTCACATCATGGTTTTTAGATTCATTTGAATGGCCAGGATTTATATTTATTCATAGTTATTGCAGCATTTTACACTAATTTAAAAAACATGTATTTGATTGTGAAGCCTGCTGTAACTGTATAATTCCCAGGTTTATCAGTGAGGTGTCTGAACTGCAGAGTGGAGTCTCTGTTAACAGCGACAAACATATTTCTACACGTTTGGTTTTTTTTTTTTTTTTCGTAAATTTGTGAGTTTAATCTCACAGAATATCCAAGTTTTTTCTCCAGCAAATTTACGACTTTAATCTGTGTCTGTGGTGTCTTTTAGGAGAAGAACCAGAGTCTTAACTCCACGGTCATGGCTCTGTCCACTCAAGTCGGCTCTCTGCAGGTCAGGGAGGAAGAACTGAGCTCCATGCTCAAACTCAAGGTACACTAGTAGAATTATTTCTTTGTAACTTCCAGTTTCCAGTGATTATGATTAGCATTAATATATCTGAGTCTGATGTTATGATGTTCAGCTAGTTGATATTTTCTCTTCCCATCAGGACAAAGACGTGACTGACGCCTCTGGTCACATAGTCGACCTCACAGGGCGCCTACGGGATCTGGAGACATCGCTAACGGAGAGTCACGCACGGGAAAACAAACTCCTGAGAGACGTAGAGGAAAGTAAACGTCGCTACAGAGACGCCAAGCATGAGATCACACACCTTAAAGGTACATGAGTAAAACAAACAGTTCGAGTCTCGGGGCGGTTTCCCGGGAATGAGACTCAACAATCGATAATCTTTCTCCGCTCTGATTGGTTGTTTTCATTCAGGTGTGGCAGATTCTTGTAAATCCCATTAGGAGCACCAGGACCCTGATATTTTCACAGGCTGTCTCATATACTACTGTCAGGATGTAGTGAAAGTTTTAGCAAATAAGTTACCTACTGCAGCTTTAAAGTCAAGAAGCAGAATTAACTTTAGTAGATTTACCAGCCCTTTATAGCTACAGCTCACAATTACTTTCATTATTGATACATTTGCTCGTTATTTTCTTGATTAATAATTTTTTCTAATGACAGAAAGTAGTATAAGTCCAGGGTGATGTCTTCAAACCAACAATATTCAGTTTACTGTTTTACATGACAAAGAAAAGCAGCGAATTTGCACATTTGAGAAGCTGAAACTAAACAATGTTTGTTTGAAAAACGATCGAAACAATCAATCAGTTATCGAAATCGCTACCTATTAATTTTCTGTCGATTGACTCATTCGTTAAGCGACTAATCATCTCCGCTGTACGTGTCTGATTCTCTGTGGTCGTAGAGGAGCTGCAGCAGCAGGTGACACAGAGCAGCACTCAGAGAGAGGAGATCATCCGTCTCAAACAGGAGCTCCAGCTCCTTCGCAGAGATCTGGTCCTGTCAGGTAACTACAGCGCAACAGATCCACTTTCTATCTGACAGCACTAATAAACTATTTATTATAGCTGAAATATTAGGATATATTGTCATCAGTATGCTTTTTAGGGTTTTATTATACAGATTTATTTCTTACAATATAAGGGTTTGCAATCTTTATCCTTCTGATCTTGTGTTGTGTCATAATTGATTATTCTCTACATATTTTACTGAATTCATCATTAAGCCTTATTCATTAAATGTGTGTAACATCTATGTGTTATATTCTGTGGTGCTGCTGTTCTGTTAAAGAGATTTATAATGTTAGTGTGGACCTCTGCTGGTTAAATAAAGTTACACATTTTAATGATGGCAAACATAACATAGAATTTATCCAGATAAAAGATATTAATCATTTAAATTATATGAGGGCATTAACAATGGATCAGTTTATTATTATTTTCAGATTAAATCATTAATTATTTAGTCTGTAAATGTAAAAATTAATCACAGATTCCCATCACTCCTCACTCTTGAGAAGCTGGAAAACATAACATTTGAGTTTAAGTTGATGGGTGCAGTAATATAAGAACCAGCATTAGATTCAGTAGCAGTGATACGTGGAGATAATTACCTTGATTTAATAATATAATCTGGTTTTATCTGTTCAGTCGTCTTTTCTTTATTTAAATGTTTGCAGCAGCTGTTTTCAGTCACCTCTCAGCCTGCATAAGAAACAGCTGTTCCTGCTGAGATAAGTGCAGCATTTGATGTTTTTCACCAGGAGAGGGAGACAGCTGGAAGGACGAGCTGCTGGAGCTGGCTCGCTCCAAACAGGAACGCACCATGTCAGAGCTCCGCTGCATACGACAGGTATACAGCGTCTGATATTTACTCACAGAGGGATATTAAATAAAAAAGCAGCAATAGTTATGAATTAACTGAATAGTAATAGATCACAGCTTCGGGAGAACGTCTTTCCTCATTCCTCCTGCTCAGGCTGTGGTCGAAGTCAGAGGCGTCTTTCTGGTTTGGCAGCATAGCTCAGAGTGTTCCTGCAGTTTCTTTACTGTGGCTGTGTGGCTCTGGGTCACTGTCATGTCCATTACCTGTGACAACCTGTGACAAGAAAGTGTTTATAATGTATAATTTTTAAATGAAATCACATTTAGGGTTTTTAAAGATATAGTAAAATAAATCAAATGTGATTTGGAGTGACTAACTAACCCCGCCCATCATATAAAACTACACTTAATTAAAAACACCAGATCTGTTGTTGTTGTTCTGGAAACTTCTAATTGTATTTTAGGCCCTCCTTTTGATTCCCTGTGTTCACCTAGGTGCATACTTGACTGATAGTAAGATAAGCCTGTCATGGTTTGACACTTAAAGGGGGTCTACCAGATGTGATGCTGAACGGATCATGTCCTGTGTTGGCAAGACAAAACTCCCGGAAAGTATCCTGGAAAGTTCCTGGGAAATGGTTTCTTCTGCTAGAGCCCGGGCCAGAGCTGTTATAATAGTTTTAAGCTCTCGGCTGGCAAAAAACTGTATTTACATTTAGAAATATTGTGGTTTAATTTATTCATTTCTCCCTCTGCCTCCTCCTGATCTGAATGACGCAGGTGAGGGAGGTGTGGGTGGAGGTCGACAGTCCTCTACAGCTCTGTGTCGCTGTGTATTCGCTGAACCACTCCAATCAATCAGAGGGGTTTTAATTTAAATTCCTCTCACACTCAGAAATACATCACGCTGCGAAAGAGAAAGACGCTCTCTAGTTACTGGGTTCAGTGTGACTTTAATGGATAGTTTGACAATCAGTCTGATCCGTACACATAATGCTCTGTGTGTGTGTGTGTGTGTGTGTGTGTGTGTGTGTGTGTGTGTGTTGTGTGCGTGTGTGTCTTTGTTTGACAGGTGTGTGAGAATCAGCGTAATGACCTGCAGCTTTTGCAGCTGAACCTGGAAAGTGCCCGTGAAAGCCTGAGAGAGAAGACCAGTCAGGGATTACCTGGCAGGTGAATAATGTGCAAGGAAGACATGGCAAAATACTTACTGTATGATGTACTGCCGGATATAGTTTCTTCATTTTCTGTCTATATATTTGTGGCTGTAAAGCGGCGATTGTGTTGGAGTCAGTGAACTGTGTTAAACCCTTTATCATTAGCAAGCTGAGGTGTGTTATCCAGTTTAGATAACACACACACACAACCTATTACTCCAGTCTGAAAGGAGGATTACTGTATAAAGATGAAGACATATTATCATCAAACGGGTGGTTAATCCGTCCATAACGGCTGCAACTGACTCAACAATGTGTACACTGAATAATTGAATAGAAGAGGCAGGAGCCAGCTAGAGACTCATATCAAGCATTGATGTAGTTTATACTGTTGGTTTGTATATTAAATGTAATAAAGAGGATGAATATTAATCTCGTAGGATCTACAGGAACAGAATATATGTTGGTTTTGTGTGTGTCTCAGTCAGGATGAGTTACGATGTGGCTGTCTGGACAACCGATCACCTTCATCACTCAGAGTGAAGAACTCAAGATCTTTACGTGAAACTCTACCAGCCAATCTGCAAGTGTCAGCCAGCGGTGATCTGGGAGTCTTCTCAGCACACTTAATGGATGTAAGACAGAAAATATTGCTATTTCCCTTTCTTTCAGATTCATTTCAGTTAAATATTCTACATCGAGCACCCAGTGAGCTTAGCTTAGCGTAAAGACTGGAAACAGAGGGAAACAGCTAGCCTGGCTCTGTCCAAAAGTAACAAAGCAAACAAAACAAAACAAAAAAAAAACTCACAAATTAACATTTTATATCTTGTTTTCTTACAAAACAAATGAAAAAAACAATAAATTGGTGTGGTTGTGTCCCGAACTATTTCTTGCCTGGGAGCAGTGAACAGCTGAGATACAACATATTAAACACTGATCTTTAGAGGTGCATTGATTTGTTTTTTTTTTACCTTTGAACAGAGCCAGGCTAGCAGTTTCCCCCTGCTTCCAGTCTTTATGCTAAGCTAAGCTACCCATCATCACATATAACCTGCTATCTAACCTCCTTCTCCTTCTCTCAGCAGGGTGATGATCCTCTGTCCAGCTGTTCTCTGCAGCAGCTGTTAGAGGAGTCCCGGCAGGTCGCCGTGTCAGAGCACAGCGGCTCCGGTACGAGCTGTGGGACCACTGACCCCCTTTACTCTCATAAGTGCCACACATCCCACCACCACCACCACCACCACCCCCCGACGTACAAGGTAGAGGAGTTTCATGATGCTGAGCCTCTCTCCATTTGTATTCATGGGGTGTGGTGGCACCGAGGGTGTAAAATGTGTTCCTACTTTTAGTTTGGGTGTGTTGAGACACAACTGCTGTGTTATGTTGTTCTTTTTCTTTTCTCCAACAGGCCGGTGAAACTCCACCCAAAGCCTGCCCTCGACACAGTGCCAGTCAGTCATGTGGATGAGTTTGCATTAACTGAAGCACAGATTCTTTTCTTTTATTATTGGACACTTTACATTTACCAAAGTTTTCTACATCAGTGTTACTACAGAACTTGAAGCAGCAGCTAAAGATTAAACTCAACTGTCTCTCAGGAAAATAACGAAGTGATAAAAATACAGACTGTGATGAATTTGTAAAAACCTTTTTATACAATTAATCTTGTTTTTACTCTGTATATTTCTACATATATACATATTTTTTTGGGAGGCTTGCACCAGAGATTAATACTGTGTTTTTTTTTAAACCCTGTGTGAGATGTTTAAAGGCAGCATTGTGTGGAGAGGGTGAGATGTGGAACCAGTCCTACAGGCTGCTGAGTGGTGTGTCCTTGCATTGTCTTTCCAGTTTCACTGCCTACACATTTACCTGGTGACTCAGAAGAAATGTCGATAGCTGTTAATAGTTTTAACTTTTAATCTGTAATTGGTCATCGTGTCACGACTTTTGATTAAAAAAAAATACATATTTATATCCAAACATCGTGTCAGTGGTATTTTATTGCCTGTTAATCGCGTCTTTCGCGCGTTTTTACGCATTTGGAGAGCTTTTACGCACAAGAGAAACTGCTTTGTTTACTTGTGTCTCTGTTTAGGAAGACTGCGATGTATTGATCTGAAGAAGCGAATTAAAGTGGGACAGAGGGGGGGATATTTTGGTGACATGCGCACGCCGCTTCTGACTCAGCTGTTGTTTTAAAGAGGCACGAGAGCACAGGTGAGGCGGTGAGCACCTGGAACCGGACCGCCGTGGATTCATAGAGTCTGAGTTTGAGTTCGGTAACAACATGAGCAAAACGAAGAACAAAAGTGACAATAAGACGGAAAAAGCTTTGGCTGCGGAGAAAGAGCAGTTTGGTAAACAACAGGTGAGTAATTAAGTTTTTATTGAGGCAGAATTAAACAGTTTTATTTCTGGGTAAAGTCATTGTTGTTGTTTTATAGTTAAATTCGGCTTACCTGGAACATTTAATGACTATTATAATATTTTTAGAAGAATATGGGCAAACATATATTCTAAGTTATATATATTTGAGCGGGAATTTCTTTCTGTTTTATTTAATTTGGCTCGAAGGAAGCTTTGCCCTCTTGGCTGGGGCGAAGCCATTTTTTTTGTCTTTGATTTTATCTAGAAGTGTGTATTTCCGCGAGCAGCAGCCTGATGTGGAACTTGTAGGGAAGTTGAGCTGCTTTAAGTCCTTTTGTGTCCTGATGTCTGTTGTCTCATTTCTTTCAGCTCCACAGCATCAGCAAGACTGTCGCCTCCACCGAGACACCACCCAAAGAGAAATATGTGCGCAGTATCCTTTTTAAAATGATGTTTAACAGAAGATTTCCTCTTTTATTGGCAGCCTGGACTATTTAAATCTACTGTTTTGTGACTTGAGACTGAACCTTGAGCAAAATGTGTTCTAAAATATTAGAATATTAACATTTGTCATTAGATGGAAACAAACGCACAGCTAAGGCTCTTGTAAATTAGTTTTAAAGGTATTTAGTCATAAACTGTGTGGACAAATTAAAATTTTTACCCCTTTTTGAAGTTATTAAGATCAAACATTTGATCCTTAGGGGAACATGAATGTGTCCATCCAGTATGTGTCTCTATAAACCCAAAGTCAAGTTAATTTTATTTATATGGTCCCAATATTACAAATAAAAACATTTTGGGAGTTCAGATAAGGAAAAACTCCCCCAAAAGAGCCCTGTAACATAATTATTTTAAACATAAGCTCAGGAAGAGCAAATGAGGAAGGATCCCTCTTCCAGCACGGACAGACAGGAAATAGATGCTGTATGTACAGAACAGACCAACATTGTAAAATTACAGTATAAATAATCCAGATTAAGACTAAATTAAAGATCATAAAGGATGCTGAGCAACTTCATGTGTCTCCAACCAGACCTCACAACCTCTCCATCATGGTGGAGAGCTGGAAGAGGACAGACTACACAAACACACAAGAGAGGAAAACTTAAGCACATAATCTACACAGATAGGAGAAAAGAAACAAACACAACATGCAGAGAGAGAGAGAGAGAGAGAGAGAGGCTGAAACCTCTGCAGGGTGAATCTCATTGTGGTGTTACAGAGTCACAAAGCCGGTAGGATTCATCCACTAGAAACCTTGAATCTGGCAATCTGTCCAAAAGTTGGTGGAACTGGAGGAAAAGTGAGTGAATCACTAAAGTCAGTAGGATTCATCCTCAGGGGACCATGAACGTGTGTACAAACCTTCACGGTAGTCCATCCAGTAGTGGCTAAAGATCAAACAGTTCCTTTATCAATCTAATAAACCCGCCAAGACCCAAGTCTGATGTTGAATTGAGCTCATTGCATTGGAGTCTTCCTTGACAGCGGTTAAGATATCATCATGGGGACGCACAAGGAGGGCGGAGCTACCACCTTCTGGTCCTACATCCTGAACCTGCCGCTGTCCAGCAACTCCATGGTCAGCTGGAAGTTCTGCTATCTGCTGCACAAAGTTCTCCGGGACGGACACAGAAATGTAAGTCCAAACCTATGCACGCCCTCAATCCTGTTGTTGTTCATGTTTGTGATGTGTAATCTCTCTCTCTCTATCTCTCTCTCTCTGTTTCTGTCTGACCTGCAGGCTGTTAGAGATTCTCACAGATACTGCCGCAACGTCAAAGATATGGGAATTCTCTGGGTGAGTAGCTGTGGTGGAAGAAGCACTCAGAGCTTTTACTTAAGAGTTGTTAAATGTACAGAAGTATTATCAGCTAAATATATTTAAAGCATCAAAGTAAAAGCACTCTGCGGTAAAATGTCTCCTGTGACATTATTAGATTGTTAATACTGATGCATCAACAGCATTTTACTATTGAAGTCTGAACTACTTCAGGTTACTTTATTTGTACCAGTGTGTAGATTTGGTTTACAGTAAAAGACGAGACGTTACATGACAAATGATCAAGGTGCTTCAAGATCTAATAATCAGGACTTAATCAGGACTTAAGTGAGACGTTGAGAGGTGAAATGTCTCTTTGGTGGAACTGCTAACAACTCATAGACATCTGAAACATGAAACATTACTTTTTTAATTAAAATCAATACATTTTAAAGTTTTTGTTTCCAGAGTGGGTTTGCTCATTTCAGTTTAGTTTTCATTGTTTAAAAATGTTTAGTTTTAGTTTAGTTTTGTTGTAGTTTGTAGTTTTTTGTTTTTTAATGTAAAATCTTAATCGGAAAAATAACTAGTAAGTGTAACTGTAAAGAAAGTAGATGTAGTGGAGTGAAAAGTACAATATTTGGCTTAGTAATAGTATAAAGTAGAAGAAAAAGGAAATACTCAAGTAAAGTACTACAAAATTAAACTGAAGTACAATAATGTAATGTTTATTTTACTCCACAATTTACCTCCTACGATATATAAGAGAAGATTTTTGTTAGAATTTTATTTTGTTAAGTTACAGACCAACACTCCTTTATTATAAATTGAGACTTACATCTTCTTTTCTTCTTCCAGGGAAACTTGCACGATCGATATGGCCACATTGTTGCCCTGTCTGCCAAATTCCTCTACCTCAAGATGGAATTTCATGCAAAGGTAACACATGAATGTTTGTTTTCTGGTTTATATAACGACATGTGACAAACTCAGAGTGATAAAACCAAAAACAATCACCCCTTTCTCTGCAGCACAAGGTGATCCCGGGCAACCTTGAGATCAGCGACGAGACTCTGGACAGGGAAGCAGGAAATGACATGACCAAAGTGTAAGTCTTCTACCCACAAATATGTGCTCTCGTTGTTGAGTGATTCTCAGTAAATCTGCAGTGAAATGTGCTTCATAAACGTGGTTTCTATGTACTGTAGGTTGGATATCACACAGGAACTGTTGGATTACCTGGATGCTGGACTGAAGATGTCTGAGACAGGTGAGTCCACTGGGAAGAGACTCTCTCTACACACTCTGGTTTCCTTTTTGTTGTTGGATAGAAGAACAATCTTGAAAGTATTGATGAGTAGTTGATTTTGTGATTAACTTAGTTCTCATAGGATTTGTTGACAGTATAAAAAAAATGTATTGTGGCGTTGATTTTGTGTTTTTCTCGTCTATAGTTCTGCGCCAGCTCGATGCCAACGGGGCCAAATCTACAACCCCAGCTGGACAGTGCAGACTGACTCCCCTCATACCCCTCATACTGGACTGCAGCTTTCTCTACCACTTCTCTGTCCTGATGATGTTCAAACTTCACAGCCGTGAGTGACGTAGAAACATGATTTTGATTCAGTTGAACCGCTCTCTGTTTGACCAAGTCTTCAATCATATCCTCTGGTTTACAGGCATTGCTCCTGATGTTCTCCTTGGACACAGAGAGCGCTTCCGTGATCTGTTTACAGGGTATGTTACCAGTATTATTCAGCTAAAATCACACTTTTATACCTCTTACGGGTGTCAGTGACAGCAGTGTTTTCTTCTGCAGTCTCACACAGTTCTTCGACAGAGCCAGAGAAATGGAGTTCTTTAAGAGCATCATCCAGATCCCAGATCTCCCAGATGTAAGTAACAGGTTTCCTTAAATGTTTCCACACACATTAGGTTTGTGTGGTTTTCTATCATGCATTCATGTTTTGTTCATTAAAACCCCACCAGGCTCCTCCGAACTTCCTCCGCGCCGCTGCCTTGGGTGAATATAAGAAGCTAGTGGTGGTGATGCCTAACGAGGAACGTCATGAGGAGGAGGAAGTGGAGCCGCAGCCGGAGTTCAGGGAAGCCCCACAGGTGCCTCAGGTACGCTTACATGCAAGTAGAAAAAAAATGTCCACCTCTTTTTCTGAAATCGTGGCTAACATTTCTTTGTTTTGTTTTTCATGGCAGTACTATTTGCTCAGCCAAATGGGAGCACCTGATGCGTCGCTTGAGCAGAGGGAAACAGAGAATGACAGCCTGAAGAGAGAGCTGGAGGTGCTCAAACCAGAGCTACAGCTCATCAAGACTGAGGTACGTTGGGCGTCCTGCTGTGAGAGGGGTTTAACACATTGTACCGCATATCACAGTGCAGCTGTGTCTCGTCTTGGGTGCGTTTGCTTGTTACTTTCTACATTTTTCCAGTGTAAACTGTTCAATGAAGGTGTTCCTCCTTGTCTCAGGCTAAGAGGTGTCTAACTGAGTTAAAGGCTCAAGTGAATCGTCTGGAGGCCGAGGTGGAGGAGCAGCGCACCCACAAACAGATGGCTATAGTGGAGAACGAACAACTGCGGATGGAAGTGGAGGCTCTGCGGTGCGCGAGCGTCGCCAGTGTCGGGGCTCAGATCGGATTCAAGGAGGCAGACAGTGAGTGTACAGATCTGTGTCCAGGTGAAACAGCCCCACCAATGTCGCTGAATCTTACTGAGATATTGTGTCTTCTTCGTCTCATCGTCTCCACACAGCGAGAGCTCAGGCGGCAGAGCTTCGGTTCACTCAGCTCAAAGAGAGACACGCAGAGCTGATCACGAGTCATGCTGATTTAATGAAGAAGGTAAACACTTATTGTTGTTTCTGTAACACTCTTAAAGGGTCTGACAGTTTGGGAAAGTTGCATGAGAAGACTGATACCACTCTCACATGAGAGCTGAGTCAAGTCTCTCATCTTACTCTGAGGAAGAAAGTGAATAACTTATTAAAATAACTTTGGGGTCGTCTGTGTGTTTGTGCAGAACGCAGACACAGTGAAGCTTCTGTCCAATACAACACAAGGCCAAGACGATTTGCTGAGAGCCAAACAGCAGCTGGAAACTGAGCTGGAAAATCTACGACAGGAGAGAATGAACGCGGTGAGACCTCCTGAGCTTCTGACCCTACCGATATAATCTGTGTCTACCAGCAAAAGCTTTTATATGTTGATAAATGTGAATATTGACTGGGCGTCTCCTCTCCCTGTTAGATGAATCAGCAGCAGCAGGAGGCTCAACGGCTCAACAAAGAACTCCTGGAGCAAAGAGCAGAACTGGCTCACCTTCGCAGCGCTCTGAACAATAAAGAGATGGTGAGACGGATTGTTAAATATGCACATAAACTTTAATTAGTGTACCAAAGTATTAGAGGTGGAAATCATGAATCACACTGATTGAAATCACTTCATTCAGTTCAGTTAAGTTTAAAGATTTGTTGTGAAAAGTTCAGGCTGCTTGTGTTTAAAAAAAGCTTTGTATGGTATCAAAGAATCATTTTTATATCTGCACCATCGTAAACGATCAAACATTTAATCTTACTCACTGTGCAATACATCAAAGAAAGTTTTGTCTCCATGTTCACTTACACGTTTCTGTTTCATTTTCTCCAGGAGGGATCTCAGGTGAGCAGCAGTCTGGCAGCTCTGCAGGCGGAGCGGGAAACGCTGCTGCGCTCTGCGAGAGAGAAAGACGCTGAGCTGTCCTCGCTGAGACAACAGGCACAACAGCAGCAGGGCTCCATGGACCTGGAGAGAGACCGGCTCAACCGGGAGCTGGAGGCTCTGAGAGCTCAGCTACAGCAGCAGGTACCGACTGACGACAGAGAAACTCTCTGGACCAAATAAAGACAATATGCACATAGAGACAGTATGAAGGCTATCATAAATATCTTATATCATCAACACTCATCAACAATGCAGTGCAATAGTACTTTCGGTCTTTGGTCTGAACTGTCAAGACCTCTCAGATTGGCCTCTGGAAGTTTTTATGCACCATCTGGAACAAACTCCCAGAAAAGTTGCTGCTCCATCTCTCACTTGTTTTAAAGGTTATATATATGACATTTACTGGAACTAGAGCACCAGCATTACAGACACAAAACAAATGACAAAAATTTGTCATTTTGCCTCGCAGATAATCAAAAAACACATTTGGTAAGTCTTTCCAACAATCACCAACACTGGTTCAGTAAAAACAAACCTTAATAGACTAAATTAGATGTGAAAATATTAATGAAGCTGGCTGCAATGGCGATAACTGTACCCGTCAAAGTACGTCCACTAAAAGTGCTTATTTTTGCCACCGACTGGCTCAGTTTGTTACAAAAGATCTCTACAGACCTTAAAGAGTGAGATCCTTTTTGTTTAACAGCTCAAATATCACAGTTTGCTGCTATATTAATGTGTGGTTATTGTTATTCTTACTAAAGAAGCTGAATATTTCTTCCACCACTGGTTGAAAGGTGCTATACATATGAACTTGCGTTGCCTTTCCGTAGCTCGCCATCAACGCAGAGCAGAAGTTAGAGATCGACAGGCTGAGACGAGAGCTGGACTCGACACGAGCGGAACTAGCACGTGCAAACGGCGCCCTGCAGAGCAAAGAAATGGTGGGAATATTTTCTAGCAACTTTTGTGATATAGTTGAGAAAAACCAAACGTTGATTCTTGTAAATCACTGCTTCATGTTTGGATCCTCAGAGTGGCACACAGCTGAGCAGTTCACTAGCAGGGCTGCAGGCGGAGAGGGAGGGGTTGCTGCGCTCGGTGAGGGACCAGGAGGCGGAGCTGAACTCCCTCAGACAGCAAGCTCAGCTCCACCAGAGCACCCTGGAGCAGGAGAGGCAGAGGAGCAGCATGGAGCTGGGAAACCTGCACGCTCAGTTACAGCAACAGGTGCTCCGCTGCGTCCATGATAACGTTGGTATGAATTTTTGGTGGTTTCGTTACTGATGTGTGTGTGTGTTAAATCAGGCCTGTCGTGAAGGTGAGCTGGCCCACAAGCTGCAGGAGGAGCAGTTCTGTCTGCTGCAGTGTGCTGTGGTGGAGGCCGAGGGCATCATACTGGACGCTGTGGCCAAAGTGGACGACCCGATACATCTCTGCTGCATCAGCTCACCTGGTAAAACCTCTTTCATTTCTCACCTCCCTAATCACATTCATTACACTCGTTTATACAACAGCCTCCCTGGAGGTTGTTCCAGTTGCTGGCAAATACACTGATAAACACTTTAAAATGTCCTTATATGTGCTTACAACCACATTATAGAGAGTGTTATAAACCATTTATTAAAGGTTTATATACTGTTTAGGAAGACTAAAAAGGGGAGGCTGAAGTAAAGTGTTGTTATTGTGCTCTCTGTTTGTCAGATTATTTGGTGAATCGAGCTGAAATCACTCTGGGTTCGATAGACAAAATGCAGCAGAGCCACATGGTCTACCTGGGAAACAGGAATGGTGAGTGAGTGTGTGTGTGTGTGTGTGTGTGTGTGTGTGTGTGTGTGTGTGTGTGTGTGTGTGTGTGTGTGTGTGTGTGTGTGTGTGTGTGTGTGTGTGTGTGTGTCCTGTGTGTGTGTGTGTGTGTTCAGGGTACCTGAGATGATGAGTGTGTATCTAACGCGCCTCTATTCCTCTTAGATGCCAGTGGTTTGTTGAGAGCGGTCACACAGTTCTCCCACCTCGCTGCTGACACGATTGTCAACGGAGCAGCGACGTCTCACTCCGCTCCCACCGACCAGGCGGACTGTAAGAGACTCACACTGTAACCGCTGGGGGAAACATATCAAACACATCACGCACCGAACCGTAAAACACTCCCTCCCGCTTCGTGTCTCACGCAGGTTTAACTGACAGCTGTCGGGATTGTGCGAATAACTGCCTCCAGTTCTTGAGGGATCTAAAGCTTCAGGCCAGTTTACCGAGAGCAGACCCGTCTGCGGTACGCTACACTGTCCAACGCCTCCTCGCTCTGGGACAGGTGAGACAGGTCTTATCTTTATCAGAGTGACGGCACTAAGAGTCTACACGGAGGCCGTACGTAGGCGCTTTGAGATAAATACTAACATCAGCATAATTATTATTATTTCTATTATATCTGGTTGTTTTTTCCTCTCTCTAGTTTGAATCAAAATCTATAAATCTTCTACTTGTTACAAACACCAGACTCAGTTCTTTGCCGCTGTACGTCTGATGTGTTTTATTAAAACTGTGTGATTCGTGTTTAGGATTTGCGTCCGAAAGGGCGGGATGTGCTGAAAGAGGAGCTGGGATACGTGGTGGATAAAGAGATGATCGCAACATCGACTGCCATTGAAGAGGCTGTGCTGCGGATGGACGTAAGGACACACACATCAGGACAGATGTACCACACCTTCACCTGGTGATGTTTAACATTTCTGTTTCTTTTTTTCTGTTTCTCAGGAGATCCTGAATCAGGCAAAGAGAGACACTAGTGGCGTTAAGCTGGAGGTCAACCAGAGGTAAGATAAACGCTGTATCCTCCTTAAATTGTTTATTTAAGCTTCTCTCCTTCACTTTCTTACCTGACATCTGTTTGATTCTTACTTTCAGTATCCTGGGTTCATGTTCAGACCTGATGAAGGTAAGGAGTTTGTCGACTTTCACATACATTTCTGTAAAACTTGCGATTCTTTTTCACTCAGTATGTTTTTACTGCTCTGCTCTTTTCTCTGCAGGCGGTTCACATGCTGGTGACCGCTTCTACTGACCTGCAGAAGGACATTGTGGAAGGAGGCAGGGTGAGTTGACGCGGTGTCACCTAAACATCAGATTATGAGAGAGTTTTACATCTTTCCCCCTTTTAAAGGTCCAGTGTGTAGGATTTAGTGGCATCTAGTGGTGGTGTTGCAGGTTTCAACTCTGTCACTTCACCCTCCCTTTCCCAGTGCAAAGGAAAAGCTTCAGTGGCTGCAAAATGCCCATATCTTCAGTCAGTGTTTGGTTTGTCCCTTATGGGCTACTGTAGATCCATAGCGGTTCATCATGCTCCTCCACAGACGCAACCTGTAGTAGCCAAAATTTAGCTCATTCTAAGGTTACAAAAACATAACAAATCTTATATTCAAGTGATTATGCACTGATGAAAACATACCCTCTGAATATTATATTAACATTTCTGACAATAGATCTGAGGACCTTTAACAGCCAATTTAAGAGCACAAAAGTAGGAAAAATAAGACATATATTAACAGGGGAGTCATTTCCGCTGAAGACATGAGGACACGTCTGCCTCACTTTTAAAAATCATCATTGTTGTCATTCTCACTTTTACAGTTTCAGTTTGATTCACTACTGCCAAAGTCCAGATGGGAGAAGCTCTGATTTGATCAAAATGCTTTATGCAGTTATTATTACACTCACAGAATTTAAGCTTTATAAGCCGTAGATTGTGAGTGTACTTTGTTTTCATCCCAGACTGTCACTGCCGTAGCTACAGCAGCAAGGAAGCTTATCGTCTCATAATGGGCGTAATAAGGGTTAATTTTTTGCAGAAACTTAAATTAATTAATTATTGTTAATTGTTAATCAATCAATGCATTTTCTGCTGTGTGTTTGGATCACATTAATTCATTAGCTACATGGAATTATTGTTCCAGTCCAATGGGACACATCAATAAATTCATATACTTACGTAGCCTTATTGTCCCTGCTGGTTTACCGTCGTTCTTTGACCCATATGAATATGAATTAGGTATTAAATTGGCTTAGATGCAGTATTAACACTCTTAAATGAGATTGATTGAAGTCCTGCTTAAAGAAGGAGCAGAAACCTCAGTTAAGTGTCTGTAATTGTTCTTCCAATAGGGGGCAGCGTCTGTTACAGAATTTTATGCCAAAAACTCTTGTTGGACAGAAGGACTCATCTCTGCCTCGAAAGCTGTGGGCTGGGGCGCCACGCAGCTGCTGTAAGTATCAATAACACACATATATGTTTGGTTATATGACACCTGAAGACCATCACCATATAATGAACGTGTTGTTGTGCCTCTTTGCTGTCAGAAACTCTGCTGACCGGGTTGTGGGTGAAAATGGAACATATGAGGAGCTCATCGCCTGTTCGCATGAGATCGCTGCGAGCACGGCTCAGCTGGTCGCTGCCTCAAAGGTACGAACTGAAACCTTTAAACATTCTCCTGTTGGATTGTGAAGCATCTGGTTGGGTTTTCGTGACAAACGGTGCTGTGGAAGAATGTTTTTATGAGCACAAATGGAGCATAAGGGCGACATGATTCACATTTAGGCATAATAAATATTATATTAACTCTGACTTGTACTAATTTCAGGTGAAGTCCGACCGCAACAACAAGAAGCTGAACACGCTGCAGCACGCCTCACGCCATGTAAACGACATGGCTGCTGTGGTCGTCACCTCCACCAAACATGGGCAGCAGAAGATCTCTGACCAAGGTGAGAGCAGCCTTTTTTTTTAGCACCTTGGGGGCAGCGGAAACAAGATGTAAACACAACATTGACATAATATCACATATGTTTTATTATGGGTGTCGAATCCAATATTCACTCAGCTTTTAGCTCGGTTTTGGCCTCCACAAACAAACTTGAGGAGCAGCCACAAAGGTCTGGGGAGCGTCTATCATTTTCAAACTTTGTCTTTGCCACAATGCTGACTCAAGTGACTTAACTGGAGGCAATTTAACAGGCTTTGTGCAGCTCCATCTGCACCCACAAGAGGCTTTATTACAGCAGCTTTAACTCTCTGTTCACAGGTGTGATGGACTTCTCTGGCATGTCTCTGATTAAGCTGAAAACAGAGGAAATGGAGGCTCAGGTGAGGCTTTTTTAACATTTACCATCTTTCTTTGTGTGTTTTTTCCGTTCATTACAAGCAGTTGACGACGTTCTCCTCCTCTGGATCTTTCAGGTGAAGGTTCTGCAGCTGGAGAACCAGCTGGAGCAGGAGCGAGTCCGCCTGGGGGAGCTGAGGAAGAGGCACTACGACCTCGGCTCTGGGACCACCGACGACGCCGCCGCTGCCGAGGGCGGAGCCGACAGCTTCCCACCGCCGCCGCCGCCTACTCTGCTGGACTCCACGCCAGTACCTCAGTCTCAGCCTTACCTGAACACCCAGACCTTCGCAAATACCAATCCCTTCGCGCCGGCTCAAACGCTGCCTCAGTCGACAAACACCGTCTCACCTCCTCAGACTTATACCACCCCTCCTCAGACTTATACCACCCCTTCTCAGACATATACCCCTCCTCAGACTTATACCACCCCTCCCACACCCCTCCTCAGACTTATACCACCCCTTCTCAGACATATACCCCTCCTCAGACTTATACCACCCCTTCTCAGACATATACCCCTCCTCAGACTTATACCACCCCTTCTCACTCCTACACCCCTCCTCAACCCTACACGCCCTCCCAGCCTTACGTCCCAGCTCAGCCTTACACACCGAACCCAACTCAGAGCTACTTAAACCCTCAGTCTTACTCGCTGTCACAGCCCTCGTCGCACACGCCCAGCCTCTCCCGGCCTCAGTCGCCGTCTCTGCCCCAGAAGACCCCGCAGAGCAATGTGGAGACGACCACCAAACCAGCATCAAGGAGACCCAACATCTTCACCAAATCTGGAAACTTACTGAAGAATGCGGTGAGTTGCTGAACCCCCATCGGCAGGATATACTAATTATACTCTCTAAGCTTAATGAGGGGATCATTTAAGTATATGGTGTTTGTATAACTGAGTCTTTTTGTTGTTCAATTACAGTTCAAACGAGGTGAAACTGGAACAGGGGAATCTTGAAGTCTGACTGAAGAGGAATCTGACTTAATTATTATCCTGGAAATATAAATATCCTTTAATATGTTAAAAACACTGATTTTAATCTTCATCTCTGACTCTTTTAAAAGGTTGCAGGAGCTTAAAAACAATGTTTTATATCAGTTTAATGGCAATATAATATCCTCCAACATATTTTTGTAATCACACGGAACCTTTATTATGTTACTGTTGTTTCAAGTTGATTTATTAAGAATAATAAAATCATCAGGGGCAGAATACAGCGGCGTGTTTCAGTGATTCTTCTGATTTATGCTCGGACTGTTTCCTCTTCAAATATTTGTCTACATGACACATAAAAAAATAATAAATAAATGAGCTTTCAGCTGTGATACAGGACAGATTGGACTCTCTCCAGTTGTCTCACAGGGTAAAGAGGAGGGCTGAAGATGCTACAGCGACCCTGTTTACTCTTGATTTGAGGCATCTGGAAAGGAATAAAAAGCCTGTATTGATTCCTCTTCAGCTTTTAGTTGAATTTAGGCTGTTGTCGGAGTTTAACGTGTTTTAATGTTTATTTTTTGAGTACACGCTTGTTTTCTTGTGTTCATTCCTGCTTTTATTTGTCTTGTATACAAGGTACGATGCAACCTTATACTTCTACTCCACCACATCGCGTTGAGGAAAATATTGCTTTAGTTAAACATATGATGATCTTATAGATATATATGATGCATCGCTGCACTGTAAAACCTATTTGAGGAAAATGATGGCAGTTTAAATGTATTAACTCCAAGTAACTCATTCATATACAGCATTTCTCCACACTTATTGAAATATGTTAACAGAATTTATCCAAATAAAGTAACTTATTAAATCTTCTTTATACAAATGTTACATTGAATTTACTCTTACTTCTTCCACTAAAACAAATTATTCCATTACTTAATAGATGATCAGAATGGTAGCTCATTTTGGGGACTTTCTGTACTGATGTAAGTCATATCAATACTTAAAATACTGCACTCCAGACTGAGTTATTACTGCAACTGTTCATTTTTGAGTTAGGTTTAATTAATGAGAACATTTTGGAGGATTAAGTAATATTAACTTCTTCTATTAAGAGCTTCAACGTGTCGATTAAACAACCCAACAGTGTATAAAGTAGTTAAAATGAGCTCAACCTTAAACATATACAGCAGTAAAATGCAACATGCACATCAATGCAGCAGTAATAATATTAATGTAAAAACATCACGTATAATAGGAAAACCTTGACAGGGAACATTTGACTGCACTAACAGTGCTTTAACTTTGATATTTTAACCACATTTTGCTGATAACACTTGTTCCAGCAGTGTTTCAATGTGTCCTGACAGTGAAGGTCTCTCTCTCTCTCTCTCTCTCTCTCTCTCTCTCTCTCTCTCTCTCTCTCTCTCTGCTCTCATTTATTCTCACAGCGACCTCATCTGTCTGTTATTTCTGTCATGCGCAAAACAAACTGCAATCTCACCACCATGAAGGATCCACTGGAGCCTCCTGCAGGGACCAAACAGGAGCTGCGGCAAGTTACAAGGATTATAGGAGGGAGAAACACCGGAACCTGATACCGTTACCTTCAAAATAAAAGCACAACACAGGTTGATTTGTGAGGTAACCTTCAGAGAAGCCTCCATGTTTGTAGATTAGTCTCATATCTTGGTTACTTGCAGCTAATTCAACCTTGTGGGGTCTAATGTGGCTGATAGAATATTATTTGGTTAATATGTGTTACATTAATGCACTTCCTTTTGTTTTTATCTTGCACATTGCAATGTTATTATACCTTTACATTTCCTGCAAACTGTACAGTTCTTCATTCATTTATTTAAATAGTTGGTCATATTTTACATATTGTCTCTGTTTTTATCTTTATATTTATGTACATGGCAACTAAACAGGGTTAAATCATTAAACATGGTCACTACATTTGTATTTGCAGTAATATTCATAACAACAATGAGAGTAAATAATAATAGTAATAATAATTAATATTAATAATAATATGTACAACCAGTCAACATAAATTGAACCTCAGCTGTAGAGGGAGTTCATACAGTAGTGTAGAAATAATCTGTTACAGGAAGGTATTTTATTTAGTATTATTTATTTGTTTATTTATTATTCAATAAATGATATATTGGTTGGATTATAATTAAATATAAAGCAACAGGGAATAAGAGACTTTATTGATCCCACAATCGCTTGTTAGAACACAACACAGTAAAATAATAAAGTAGACATTAAATACAAACAGAATAGAAAAATACAAACTATAATAACAGTTATATGTACACTATGTACACTGTTTTATATACAGATGTGATTGGTTGTGATTCATATATATATATATATGAATATATATATATATATATATAAAAGTATGATATACAGGTAGAATATAATCTTAGCAAGATGAAACAAGCTATGTATAAAGGATGTATATATATTTATATAATGTAATGTATAAAAGGTTTGTATAATATAATTTAACATGTGGATATATAATATGTATAAGTATGTGTAAGTAGGAGGTAATAGTATAATACAATGTCTATATACAGGAGTTTCTGTAAGGTACAATAAGATAGTAAGAATCTTAATGTATAATAATAAAAATAATAATTAAAAATAAAAAAATAATGCTATCCACCACTGGTAACTCATACATTTTTAATCTTAAAAGTAAATAGTTTAAAATATAATTTCTGTCATTAATAAACAGAAATTATAACAACAACAATCTTCAGTGCTGGTTTTATTTTGACAGGCGAATCTGTACCGGAAGTCCGCAGTTTTATTTTGTAGAACTTGACAATGGTGGTCAGTCGGGTTCGGGAGGGACAGACAGGAGAGACAGACAGGAGAGACAGACAGGACGCCGATGGGCCGATACATTCATCTCCAACTAATCGATTCACCTCCCGGTCGCAGCCGTTAACGATGGACCCGCGGTACTTCCGGCGTAATTTAACGCGGGAGAGTTTCGTTCACGGACTATAAAGCTTTAAAAAAAAAAAGGCGTCGGGAGTTTGTCGCTAACTTTAGCGGAGGAAGACGAGGAGGAGCGGGAGGAAGTTCGGTCCGTTGGCGGAGGAAACATGGAGGACTCCGGCTCGGCCCTGGAGAAGAATGTGGCGGACCTCACCGTGATGGACGTGTACGACATCGCCGCGGTGGTGGGCCAGGAGTTCGAGCGGATTATCGATCAGTACGGCTGCGAGGCTCTGTCCCGGCTCATGCCCAAGGTGGTTCGGGTTCTGGAGATCCTGGAGGTGATGGTGAGCCGGAACAGCATCAGTCCGGAGACCGAGGAGCTGCGGCTGGAGCTGGACAAGCTGCGGCTGGAGCGGATAGACCGGCTGGAGAAGGAGAAGAAGCACAGAAAGGTGGCAAACAAGTGATCAAGGCCCAATCGATCAATCAATCAATCGATCAATCGATCAATCAATCGATACTGCGCAGATTGCAGTTGTTTTGTTTACAAGTTGTTTGTTAAGACAACAAATAAACAGACAGAGAGTAACTGAGCCATAAAGTTACTGTATTCTGATTCATTACTTCAATAAAAGTATTAATACTGCTGTAAAAATACTCGATTACAATTAAAAACCTTCATTAAAATGATTAATTAAGTTTTATAAATATTATCTTAAAGTAAAAGTAGTCAGAGAGAAATATAATCAATAAATAATCAGACAGAGAGTGTAACTGAGCCATAAAGTTACTGTATTCTGATTTATTACTTCAATAAAAGTATTGATACTGCTGTAAAATACTCGATTACAATTAAAAACCTTCTTTTAAATGTTTATTTAATTTTTTTAAATATTTTTTTAAAGTAAAAGGGATTATATATATGGTCTGGCCTGTTCTGTTTTGTTTTTCTTTAGTATTATCGTGAATATCATTAAACCTTCTTTAATGATTATTAGTTTTATAAATATTATCTTGTGTGTCGAATATAATCTAATATCACGTACGCCTGTTCTGTTTCTGTCTTCTTGTTTGTCTGCTGTATCTATTAAACCTCTAATGATTTAGTGGTTGGGCGTACTGGTTCTTTCTACATTTGTGGTAATGTTTTCTTTACTACATTTATTGAATTACTTTGTACTTTGATCCGATTATTGTGAGAGTATAATCATAATAAACGGGTACTGGTAGTTCTGTCTGATTCATTCTCTAAAGTTTGATACTGTGTAAAATACTTGATTACATTAAAACCTTTTAAATGATTAATAAAGTTTTATAAATATTATCTTAGTAGTGTCGGATTATATAATATCGAGTGTCTGGCCTAGTTACTGTTCTGTTTATTACTTCATGTATTATACTGCTGTAATACTGATTTTAACGTCATTAAATGATTATAAGTGGTACTGGGTAACTGTGTTTTTATACTTTGTGGTAATGTTTTTTTACTACATTTATTGAATTACTTTGTACTTTGTCCGATTATTGTGCAGGAATCTATACGACGGGTAACTGAGCCATAAAGTTACTGTATTCTGATTTATTACTTCAATAAAAGTATTGATACTGCTGTAAAAATACTCGATTACAATTAAAAACCTTCATTAAAATGGTTAATTATTATAAGTATTATCGGGATAATGTATTTAAAGTATCAATAGTTAAAGTACTCAGAGAGAGGATGGAAAGTAACTAAGTACATTACTTTACTACATTTTGGAGGCAAATGTAATAAAGTATACTTTAAAGTAATTACCGCCTGTGAGATATACTGTATATACTGTTATATATATTATATAATTACATTATTATAGTAGTTTTCTCTTGTAGTTGGTTGAGGTAGAGCTAATTTATTTATTATTTTATATAGATCATTTATATTATTGATTAATCTGCTGATTATTCTCTTGATTTTGTTTTGGTTTTAAAACACAAATGACCGAAATCTCAAAATATGTCGATTTAAAGCCAAAAAAAACGTAGAAACTATAAAATATTTCACATTTTTCATGAAAAATTGCTTAAATAATTAATAAGTTTTAAAAACAGTATTGATTTTTGGGTTATTGACAAATCAACTAATGGATTAACTGACTTGATAAATAGATTAGAAGTCAAAAACAGACAATAAATTAATAAATCAAACCATTTAAACTCAAATTATTAACATTATTTTACGTCACACTTAAAATCTTTTGTTTATAAAACCTTTATTTGTAATTAAAATAGTAACTAAAGAGTAAAAAGTGATATATTGTCCTCTGAAATGAAGTAACTTGAGACAGATTTAGTTCCTGTTAGTTTAAATACAGCTGATGACGACAGATGGGGACATTTGTGTCTGACTCAGCAGGAAAATGTTATATTCGTCCAATGTGTGATTAGATTTCCAATTAGTCATCAAAATATGACAAAGATTTAAATAAAGCTTTCCATAAAACAGTCAGAAAACACCACAAAAGCAACTATATAAATACAGTGACTACACAGTACGACATAATCAGTGTTAGAGTACAATAAAATATTAATATTAGTATATTAGAGACCAAATACAGTCAGATTTAACACATCTGAGGGGTTCTGATACATCATTTTATATTAATTATTTGGAGTTGTCTTTAATATTTGCTGTTTGTATTAAATATCACATAAATTAGCTTCCTTATTCAGTTATTAAAATAAAATCATCTGAGAAGTTTGGAGAGGAAATGTCCCTTTAATTGACCCGTCATAAGCTCGACTGTGATTGGAGCACAGAGCCAAAAGGGGGCGGGGCTTAGGAAGAGTCAATTAAACTAAAAACATTACATCTGAAATGTGACAAGAAGCCTCAAACAGACTGTTTTGTGAAGAGAAATAAGTACAAAAGGTTTAATCTTTAACAGTGTTTTATATTTTATTATCATATATATAGAGTTAAACTGAGTCAGTCTGCTCGCTGCTATAAAAAAAAGTTTATGTGTAAGTCTCTCGTGACGGTGACCGAGCCGCGGTGAACGCAGTTTCACCGGTTCACTGATTAACTGTGTCTCATGAGCGCGATAAAGTGTTTGTGCCAGTTTACATGATCTTCACATGGATAACGTCACTTCTACAGCGAGTGATAAAATCCTTTAATGTGGAAAGTGTGGAGAGGACAGGACGGGGTCAACCACAAGTATCATAAAGTCCTTATTATATATACTTAGTGATTCAAGGTTCAGAGGTTTGAGTTGTCCACACTTGCTTTAAAAGTGGTGTTCAATAGAATAAGAGTGAAAATCTGAGTTTAAAAAAGAATAAGGGGAGAAAAAGAATAAGAATATTCACGTCTGAGAAGCTGGAAACAAATAATTTCCTGTAATTTTTACTTTAAAATGACTAAAAGTTACAGAAATTATGCAATTATTTAGATTTCAAGTGAATTAAATTCAACTTTATTCAACAGATTGGAGTTTAGTGTTCAACCACAAGTGTGTATATATATATATATAAGTTTAATAAATAGAATAAACAGTAAGAGGAAGATATTTATATATACAGTATAAACATGTGCAGCAGTTACTACAGAATAAAATATAGACAGTAGTATATATACAAATATAGTGAGATATACAGTGTGGACTGTCTATTGACTAACTGATGAATCGTTGCAGCTTTAAATATATAATAATAAGTATTAAAATGCTAAATTGTTCACTAATTCTTTCACTATATGAAAATGTAAATATGTCACAGCTGTAAAACAAACTATACAATAAAGTTTTGTTCAGATTTTAGGACACCGAAGTGAAATGTGGAGACCGTATAGTATTTTAATTAATCATCCAGAGAGTCTATATTAATGTAAATGATTATTATTATTATTGTTCTATAGACTCTCCTGCTCTCGCCTGGCTTTGTATAAACGAGGGATATTAATAATCTGAGCTCTTCACGGCTCCACAGACCAACAACAGGCGTCTCAAATCCTCACGTGTGAGACGGGATCAGAGTTCTTCGAGCACAATCGAGCTTTTCTCTCCGTGCAGACGGTGACAAATTAAAGGACAAACGTAGATAAACCAGAGGAGCAACAGAACGAATGCTGATGTTTCTACACGAAGGGTGACCGAGTGAATCATGTTCATCCTCTGAGGAACGTCCAGAGGTGGAAGAAATAGTCTTTTTAATCATCAAAATGTACTTAAAGTATTACATTAAAAGTACTCTAGTGCAGTTAAATTATATGTGGTGTATATATATTATTATTATTACTGATGAATAAAGCTGTAGAGGTTGTTTAATCAACAGAAATGCATCATATTCTATAAGATCATCATATGTTTGTCTTCTGAGAACCGCGGTTATCTCTAAAAAGTCAGAAAAACAGCCTGTTTTCAGGTTGTTACGATGCTTTTTCCAGATAATCCAAGAAGGTTTTTTTAAATAGTTTATTTAACGTAAGATGTAGGATAATTTTCTTAGCACATAAAGGAACATTTCATCCTGCTGTCAGATAAATGTAGTTGAGTAAAAAGTACATTATTTGCCTCTGAGATGTGGTGGAGTAAAAGTTTAAAGCTGCATCAAATGATACAATGGAAATCCTCAAGTAAAGTACTTTAAATTTGTAGTATTTGTAGTATAAAAGTATTTAGTTAATGTACTTAAATTCCTGCCCCGGGACTGTCTGTGCAATATTTCACAGCAATACATCAGTTAGTAAGAGGAAGTCATCTTAATGTGGCCATATATGTATAATAATGCATAATAATGTATATTAGTGTATAATAATGTATAATAATGTCCTTTACAGGAGCTGGAGCTGGTGGAGGACGTCTGGAGAGGAGAAGCTCAGGACCTGCTCACCCAGATCGCTCAGTTGCAGGAGGAGAACAAAAGCCTCCTGACCAACATGTCCATCAAAGACCCCATGAGTGAGGAAGACCTGCAGAGGCATGAAGGTGAGGACGTCTGGTCAAAACACACACAGACACACACTAGGGCTGCTCGATTATGGAAAAAATCATAATCACGATTATTTGGGTCAAAATTGAAATCACGATTATTCAAATGATTATTTTTTTAGACTTCAGAAACACGCTGCATTTATTGGACATTTGTCAAAAACACTTTGCAAGGAAGTCCTCAGTTACACTTTCCTTTCCCCATAAACATTTGTAAGTCTCCTTTTTACATTGACAGTCATAGTGCACTCTTGCAGTCTCTACAAAAAGTTAACTTCAATAAAATAACACACAAAAGATAAGTCATAGAAAAACAATCTGTGTTCTCAAATTTTAGTGCACTGCCACAACATTTGAAATTACCCAGTGTTTCCTCTATGTTGATGCCCGCCGCTGTTAAATTTCTGCCGCCACGGTATCGGAAATGGGGCAGACGCACAATGTAGTCCCGGTTGCCTTTTAAATGATCCTGCCGACATAATGCACCCCCGCTGGCTGCCGCTCACATTGCAGTTTAACAACAAGTAGAACTATTCAGAGGTTATTGGGGCTGTCCAGTTTAACTCCACCTACTGTTGTGTTGATGGAGCTTATTGTCAAAACGTTCGCTTTCTTCCAAGTCGACTATTAAACTAACAGCTCCACCAAAAACGTCCCCGCGGTGGGTCCGTTTTAATTGGACAACGTTCAACTTGTCAGTTCACAGCTCAACGTCCTGATATCAAACATCTGGAAACATTAAAACGGTAAATATATTTGTTTGTGTCGCAGCAAAGTTTCACTTCTGTTTCATACGTAAAACGTTTGCCGGCGTGAAGGGACAGGACGGGGGGGGCTGCTGAGAAATCCTAGAGAAAACACTGATTACCTGTTACTGTTACGCGTTACCTCTTCCAATGAAAACAACGTGACTGACTCAGGTGCAGTGCATGCTGTGGGGGAGGGATGGAAATACGCAGACTGTGGCTGTGTACTCAGCTTTTTTCTATACAACGTTGCACAACAGAAAATGCAAAGAAAATCGTTTCCCCCCGATTTTATTACTTTTGAGATCGTTTGGCCCCCAAATCGTAATCATGATCAATTTTCGATTAATTGAGCAGCCTTAACACACACAGACACACACACACACACACACACACACACACACACACACACACACACACACACACACACAGCAGGGGTTCGTTCAATTTATAGGCTGGAAATTATAACGTGTGACTTCAATTAGTATATATAAATATGTATTTTAGGGCCACAGTGGGGCTTTTTGAGGGGAAGCATGTTTCATAAATATCCTATAATATGGAAAGTTGTTGTTGTTAAAGGAATAGTTTGATATTTTGGGTAATATTCTTCAGATAATTAGTCATTTCAGTCATTTTTAAGCAACAAAACCTCCAAACTTACTCTTGTTTAAGCTTCTATAATGTGAGGATTTGCTAATTTTCTTAGTTTTTTTTTGTTTTTGGACATTTAAAGAGTCGCTTTCGGTTCTGGGAAACACTGCTGGACATTGTTTCATTATTTTCTGACATTTTAATAACCAATAACAGAACGATTAATCAATCAGCAGATTAATCGATAGTGAAAATGACTGTTAGTTGCAGCCCTGATATACGTATTCTCCTATCTTGCCCAGAGTAAGGTTGAGAAGATTGATACCACTATTCATGTCTGTGCGGTACATATCAACCTAGAGCCAGCGGTTAGCTTAGCTTAGCATAAAGACTGGAAACAGGTGGAAACTGCTAGCCTGGCTCCGTCCGAAGGTCAGAAAATCTGCCTACACGCACCTCTAAAGCTCACTAATTAACACGTTATATCTCTGGGGTGTTCAGAAAACCTTCACTGACACTCGCTGCTTCTTTCTCTATGTCTGTTATACACACACACACACACACACACACACACACACACACACACACAAAGGAAGCCTTCTCTTGTGTCTGACGGCGAGCCAGTCTTGTCTCTGCATCAGAGGCTCTCTCGTGGTTTCACACAGAGGCCACAGTCACCCAGACACACTGTGGACAGACCAGCCTCAGTGTACAAGCACACCTGCTCTCTCACACACACACACACACACACACACACACACACACAGGGGTCTCCTCTGTACAACTCTGACCTTCCTCTCCCAATAAAAACAGATCATAAAGAATGCAAACTGATTAAAATCTACTGTTTTTTGTTCTGTTCTGTGCGTTCCCTCCCTTCGCTGTCTCCCCTCCGCGGTCTCCAGGTATGACGGAGAGAGAGAGGCAGGTGATGAAGAAGCTCAAAGAAGTGGTGGACAAGCAGAGGGACGAGATTCGAGCCAAGGACCGAGAGCTCACACTGAAGAGCGAGGACATAGAAGCAGTAAGGCGACAGACTCACAGGCTAGATACATGTTCTCCCACTGGTTATCTCATTATCTGAAGTAGCTGTATCTGCATGTAGGAGGTTATTTAGGCAAAAAATAATAATAATTCTCTGGTTCCAAGTGTGAATATTTGCTGTTTTTCTTGGTAATTTATGACTTTTATGAGCTAATTTGAGCCAATTGAAGATCATTTGAGTGATCTGGGTGATTTTTCGAACGGCTTTTTTATCAATATTATTTAGTTTATTTTAAAAAACAATTAAAAAAATCTTACAAAATGCTGAATAATGATACTAATAAAAACAAAATATCCTAAAATCATCCTGAATCCTGAACAACAAAAACAAAAACTGTACCCCTTTATTTAAACATAACATAGACTAAACATATAATCGAGAAATTAATCAGTAATTAGTTATCAAAATAATAATAATGAATGTGGTTTGTTGTTGACCTGAACGAGTGCTTATCACAGCCTCATGTTATTTTTAGCTGCAGCTGATTGCAGGAGAAACCTCTTCGGTCAAGTTAACTGTATTTCCTGCAGACAAACAACTAACATTCACAGGAAAAACACGAGTGGAACTAATAACGTTAACAGTGGCTGTAATCCATTCAGGTGACAGTTCCAGGTTCCTGATACGGTGCAGGTCGGGTCACTGTTACTGGGACACTTAAAGCTGTCGTACTGGGACCCTGGGACACCAGTTATGTTGTGTTAATGTTAATAAAGTAATTATTGTACACATCAAAGTATGTTTGCAGGCCTTGAGGAGTTCTGCTGCAGGCCAGAATTAAAACTAGAAAAAACTTTAGAATAGATTTATTTCGAACATCAGCAAACATTTGCAACGAATTCTCAATAAACAAGATAAAAAATTATAATTATATGAATATTAAATGTCCAAAAAGGAGGACGAAGAAGTAAAATACTTACCTGGTCTGACCCCTTTTTCTTTAATCAATGAACTCTCGTCATTAATATTCAATCCGTCCATCATACACAACTTAAACTTAATTTAATATTGGTGCCTCTATATGACCTACATAACCAACCTTTACATTATTTTTAATGACAGCCACCGGGTCTGATTCCCCTTGAAATCAATGAAACAAGACGGCGGAAGCAGTACCACTTTTGTCCACAGGGGCCGCCAGAATCAAGTGTTTATAGACAAACAAAATGCAGCTTTAAAATAGTTGATTAATCCGAGTTTTTCAGCTGTTTTTTTTATACTATATATGTATATTGTTGTGTGTTTGTGCAGCTCCAGCAGCAGCAGTCTCGCCTTATGAAAATCAACCACGACCTGCGGCACAAGATCTCCGTGGTGGAGGCGCAGGGGAAAGCGCTGATCGAACAGAAGGTGGAACTGGAGGCCAGCGCTCAGGCGCGGGGGCAGGAAGTCACGGCCCTCCGGCAGGAAGTGACGCGCTTGAGGGAGCGACTTCAAGGTGACCTGCCCGCCCAGAACCCAGAGGAAGCCCCACCTCAGCCCCCCTCACCTGCAGAGGTAACAGGAAAACAAGAGCTACATGTGAGGGTGTGGCCAAAAGTTATTTAAATGAAAAAAAAAATCTGTGTTTAATGTTTCTTGTTTTAACTTTAATGGCATCCTGTTAGCTCAGTATAAGCAGAGTGCATTGTGGGTTTAAAATCTGGTCTATTTCCCCTCTTTCTCTCTCAATCTTGCTTTATTGTGTCTTATCTTAAAAGGCAAAACAAAGTCTTTAAAAAAGGAAATTCACTTGTTCGCTTTCTTGCCGAGAGTCTGATCGACAGTATGAAACTACAGCCAGGAGACGGACTGCTTTGTAAACGGGTAATAAAGTGTGTTTTACTCCCACCAGCGTGGTAAAGCTGCTACAGTTGTGGTGGGGGCTGAGGGCTGGTCAGACACACCTGACCCCTCTGAGCTGATGCTGGGTGGGTTTGACCCTCCCCCGCGGCCCCAGCCTGGTTCCCTCAGCCCAGAGGGACACGAGGATGGGGATGAGGAGGCTGAGGACGAGGCAGTGTTGCTCTGGGTAATACAGAAGTGCTAGCTAGAAAAACCAGAGTGGTGTGATTGTCCCGACTCCTAACTCCAAAACCTGCACCCCCCCCGCCCCCCTTCCCTCCCTCCCAGAAGGTCAACCATATCGGTAGCAACGACACACAAAGCTAGTGGACTAACACTTGCGTGACCCATGAGAAGTGCTGATTTGGCTTTGGCATGGGTGTTCAAGAACTAACAGAGTGTCAGTCGGATTTGTCGCTCCAACTGGGTGAGACTTTCTGGATGACTGCACCGATGACCTTTTTCTAAATATAGATCAGTTCCACAGCTCAGCCTCTAACAGCACTTGAAGTTGTCCTTTTAATGCACCGTGATCCTGAAACACTCACAATAGAAAATGGTTTGTTTTTAAAGTCCAACTGAAATGAAAATTGCACGCTACAGAATCATTTTCCTGCTCTGGAAATCACACAATGCTCTGAGAAAATGTGGAAAACGTGATGAAAATATGGTGTTTACTACGATGTTTGTATGTCACATCTTCTGTTTTCATCAATACACCAGCTTCTACCTCAACAGAGCGTGAAAACATTTCAAATTTTCAGCGTTTCCACTTCAGAATTTGGGATTAAATTCAGTTTTTATTGGGATTTTTGCAGGAATAAACTACAACTGCCTTTTAAAAATGTGCCATAAAGGAACAAAAACATGTATTTTCATAAAGAAGTGAGACCTGGGCACTGACACCACTGGACCCAGAAACAGTAACATACACATACATAACAGTAGGCGTGTTAAAAACCACAGAAACATACTAATACTCACTTTATCCCTCCAGAATTAATTAGTTTGGAACATCTGACGACTAACTATTCTACCTTGGAGAGAGAGTCTTATTTCCTCCAGCTTAAGAAAGTAAAACGTCTAAAAGTCGCCTTCTTATCTAACTTAAAAACATGAAGTAGTTTTGTCGATCGAGACACCAAACACATGTTCGCGGGAGCACTGCTAACGATTTCAGTTGGACTTTAACATTGTTTGTAGGATACAACATATTAATTAAGGTCTGCATGTGTTGTCGACGTCTTTCAGGTGTTTGTTTTTACCTGACAGTGAATGTCTCTGGTTGTGTGCTGAGTGAAAAAATAAAGTAGAGTTTGTAGCTTAAAGGGAGGAGGGAAGGGCGAACAAATGTATTGGAACAAAGCCCTGATGTCTGACTTAGAGTTCACCGTTTGCCACCAGGAGGCGATGTGCGATGAGGACATGCCTGCTGTGTTCCAATATTTTACCAAGGTATCCTCACTTCCTTCCCCGCCTTCCTTCCTTCCTTCCTTCCTTCCTTCCTGCTTTCCTTCCTTCCTTCCTTCTCTCCGGTATTGTTTCCTCTCTGTGATGCATCCGTCTCTCGGCAGGAGGCGTTGTGCGAGGAGGAGGCGGGAGGCCTGGACCTAAAGGACCCCAACCGGCCCCGGTTCACCCTGCAGGAGCTGAGGGACGTCCTCCACGAGAGGAACGAGCTCAAGGCCAAAGTCTTCCTGCTGCAGGAGGAGCTGGCGTACTACAAAAGGTGCTCGGGGGGGGGGGCGCACACGCTTCAATATGAGGGGATACGTTCCCATAACGGCGTCATTACGGATACGTGTATAATTTACGATAGTCTGTTTTTGCAGTGATGAGACAGAAGACGAGATTACTCCCAGTCCTTCTCCCTCGCCTGAACTGAGGTCTCGCTCCCGTTCTTCTGCTCAGCCGGAGTCAGGAATCAAACGCCTGTATGTGCCCAGCGAACACACTCACTCACTCACATACATCTGCTCACGAAAAGCCCCGCTAAACCCCCCCCCTCATCCACTCTGAGATTAAAGTCATGAAAATACTCAATCACACTGCTTTGCATGGCGAATGGCACGCTCAAACATTTACATAGTACTCCTCAAGGAACATGCAAATTTAAATCTTGGCTCAAGCTCAAGAGGTGACGTCTCTTCGCCAGCAGAACCACACACACACACACACACACACACACACACACACACACACACACACACACACACACACACACACTCGCTCTGTGTCCGGGTGTCCATTTTGAGACGTAGTTGTAGTGGATGAATTCATATTGAGTTATTAACAACGTGAAAACCGCTCAGCAAAATGTAAGAGAAACACAGTAACGCAGCAGTTGTGTTTCAGGCTGTATCCACTAAAAGAAAAAGAAAAAACCTTCAGCGATTATAACTGGAAACAGCTCGTGCATACGCCCGCTTCCTGTGTTTGTTTGGCCGGTAGGAACAAAGCGAAAGATAACACAGCAGCCAACTGAATATGTCACATTCTTCTGTTTCAGCATGCTGCTCTCTGGCCGTGATGATCACAAGCGTCTTTAAATCACAACCTGTTGATTTTTAAACAATATGTCTGTTGAGATTTTCCTTTTCTCCTCCACAATGAAATATACAAATAGGTACACAACTGAAGATATCTTCACCACCATTGAATCTGTACAATCAGTCAATACATATATCATTGGACCCAATCCCCCACCCCCCAAAAAGTCCAAAATAGACGACAAAAACAAAAACTTTATTGCCTTTTAATTGAATTAAAAGACAGTAAAATGATAACAATTCACAGTTTTGAGGTAGAAGAGATGGATAGAGATATTAACAGGAAGGGTTACAGCATTTATCAAAAACTAGTTCCTGAGATTAAACACAATCTTTTATGAGAAAAGTTCTTAAAGCCACAAAAATCCTCACTTTTCCAGCGACAACAACATTTATTAGCTGCAGTTAGAGCTGAAGTGAATACCTCCCCTCATACTGACTGATGGCAGTCCAGATGTAATCATGTTAAAATGATTAATGAAAATGTTTTTTTTTTGTGCCATCATTGGAGCTTTTATTGTGGAAAGTGATTAGCGAATGGGGGTAAACTCCCGATAAGAAGCTTTATTTGTTAACCGACATTGTGACGTTCTGCTCTGATTAATTACTGCAGAGCGGATGTGATCAATCAGTCGGATTTAATCTCGTTACAAACGTAGTTACTGGACAGTCGGCCCACTTATTAAAGGACCAGTGTGTTAGGTTAGTGGTGAAGCTACAGACTGACCTGTAGATTAAAAACAGCTCATTTTAAGGTAACAAAAACACAATTATTCTTATATTTAGGTGATTTTACACTAATAAAAACATTCTTTATGAATATTATATTACAGTTCTGCCAATAGATCCTCCTCAATGTTACACACTGGACCTTTCAATAAGCCTAATGTTATATTTAAAATAAAAATATACTCATTTATTCTGATGTTAGCAGATGAATTGAGATTTCAGACACTATTTTTTAGCGTTAAATGATTTGTTTAGTATTTTAAATGTCACAAAATGTTTAAATTTAGTTGTTTAAATGTCAATAATTTCCCCTCATGACATCCCAGAACATCCTTAAATAACTTATTAAGATATTCAATTTACATTTTCAAGGATATAAAACAGAGAACGCTGCAAATCCTTTTATTTCCCGAAGCCCCAGTTCACGTCTTCATACAACTTGTTTTGTCTGACAATCAGTTAAAGTCTGTAAAAGATATTTAATTTACATTTTTTGAGGATGTAAAAGCAGGAAGCAGCAAATGTTTATTTATGTTTAAAAATGAAATTATATTACATTATAATTATAGACTAATTAATTATCAGTGTAGTCTCAAATGACTGTAACATATCAGCTAGTAGGTGAAACATTTTATTGTGAAATTTTAGGCAAAAAGTTTAAAAACACGTGTAAATATGCAGTATAAGAGCTTTAAACAGGGAAGTTCAGGGCTGACCTTGAGATCAGAGCGTGTGACGCAATAATCACATGATCGGTCACCTGACAGGGAGAAGCAGAAGAGAGAGAGGTTTAAGGATGCAGCTCCGGTCACGTCTAATAACTCTTTACGAGGTCGTGCTTAACAAGTGTGTGTGTGTGTGTGTGTGTGTGTGTGTGTGTGTGTGTGAGTGTGAGAGAGAGAGAGAGAGAGAGAGATTAACAAAGGCATGACTTTCATTTGGTTTTTGAGTTGTAAAGGTAACTTTCCATTTGGGTCAAACAGAGGTTGATGTGGTCCCTGTCTCCCCCCCCGTCCGCCCTCCCTTCCCTCCCCTCTCTCTTCCTGTTTGTGCTTGTGTGTCTTTACCCTCTCTGTGTAACAGGATCTTCACAGCCATTATGCCGATGGTGGCGGCTGGTTTGATCCCAGATGACCCCACTTTACAGCCAATCAGACGTCTCGTATCGCTTGTATGACTCTATATATGTGGTTGGCCTCGGAGTCTGTCACTTCCTCCGCTAACAGCTTCCCATCCCGTCTTGCATGTGCCCGGGGGGTTTGAGCCTTTGTAGTATTCTGATTGGCTGTTTGTGGGGCTATCTTACTCCTCATTGTCCAGCGGGGGTCCGATTGTGGATCTTAAAGAATCAGCCAGTCAGAATATGAACGTGTAGTCTGTTGTCGTCTCGTCTTTCCTCCCCCCCCCCAAAATATTAACAACTCGCTCACGTCTGTGCTCTAAACTCATTCAAATCATTTACAAACTAAAAGCGCTTTTAGCTCTAGTTAGTGATTTAAAGTTTGTAATAAACAGTGAAATCAACTCATGTTTCTTCTGACAGCAGCTGCACTGAGCAGTGAACGTAATAGAGCCCGACCGATACGGATACTGATTACCAATACGGCGCCCAGTAAAGTGTGTTTTTGAGCTGGAATTAAAACATATGTGGATTATACAGGAGTGGATCTGGAGTTCTACCCCAGTTTTGGGGTCAGATTGAACACAAGCATTTAGATTAATTTAAAAAATAACATTAAAATGAATTTTTAGGCTTAAATTCAGTGAAAAAATTTAACATATTTGGAAAAATAGCCAGAATAATGTCATGTTTTTGAGGTAAAATGTCTTCATTTGGGGCCTTTTCAAGCAAATATTGATATATGTGATTGTTTGTGATTAATATATATATATATATTTCCACCCAATGAATATTTAGCACCAGTATGACTCTACAAAGGTGCTCAGAAGCCTGTTTTCTTACACAATTAACATCATCAAACAATACTTAAGTTAAATATTCTACAACCAGTTGTAGTTGACGTTGCAGAGAGCTGCTTCTTCTCTCTCATTCTGTGCTGCTTGCCACAGTAATGTAACCCACAGCGCACTCTGCTGGAGAAACGTTACCACAATTACCACAAGCATTTTGTCTGCTTATATAGTGGGAAAAAAACATCATATTTTCTATATATATATCTTATTTTAAGCACATATCAGATAACATATACACTGATGCAGTAACTGTCTGTAATAGGCCATTGTGGACGGACATGTTGGTATATTGGCGGGCTCTATTACATGAGTTCTTTCCAGTTATAATCTTTTGAATGTTTGTGTTCTGCATTAATACCCAAACAAACTAGTAAAACATAACGTGACCTATGTTAATGTAAAAGGTGCTCTATGTAGCATATTGCATTAAATGTGATACAGTAGTATAATTTCAGTAAACATATTAATACGAATGATGAATGATAATGAATCCATAGCATTGGGCACTATGACACTTCTTCACTTCTACTGGGATATTCTGACTTACATATGCTGTCGTAAGCCAACACAGCACTAAAAAATGAACATTATTACTCATTTATTCAAAGAAATCGCCCAAAATGCATCATAATGGTTTTGAAAAGCTTAAAATTACCCTGTGAAGTCCTGGAGGGACTAGTTTACAGTAATTATACAAAGTAATCACAATTAATTTACTTAAAATAACAGTTTTAATGTACTGATGCTGTTAAATTACTGTTAACACTCTAATGCTGCTTTCCAATATTCACAGCACACACTACACACACGTAACAGTAAACCACCGTCACCTGACACCTCACTGACCCACTCATTAACTGGACATCCATTAAAGGTGTTACCTCCTGTCTCTCTCTCTCTCTCTCTCTCCCTCCCTCTCAGGTTTAGTTTCTTCTCGCGCGACAAGCAGCGGGGCTCGCAGAGGAGCGCGCAGTTCGACGACGGCCTCGGCTCGTGGGCGGGGAAGGACGACGTGTACACGGAACAAGCACAGGAGGCGCTACAGCACATGTAGTCATTGGAGAGGGACTTGTCAAAACTCCCCAAAAAAAACTCTGTAACACTCCCCACGTCCATCACTCGAGGCCGGCTTGTGAAGCGCTGGACTGCGCCACCAAAACCACCACTAGTGAGTCACGCTGCAGCTCAAACATCGTGTGCTTGAAGGTGAGAAGAGCCGAACCGAGAAAGAGGAGTGAACGGATCAACCTTGAAGTGAGGCGCCAGCTTTTAGGTTAAGATAATAAGTTTATTTAAAACAGCTGAGAATCCTACAGTGTATCTCAGAGAGTGATGGCACATACAGACTGAAAATATTTGGTGCCTGAGTTTTTTTTTTTTTATGGAATCTGTAGAGGAGAGGGTGAACTCCAAGTTGAAGGATGGAAAGTGGAAAGTTGATGCAAAACCAAGTGGATAACGGTATGTTGGACCAGAGTGGGTGAAAAGTACGACACCAGACGAAGGCTCGGGACGCAAACGTGTGCAAACTGTGTACAACATGATAAAAGATGAAGGTTTTATCGTACGATTCCCCTTAGAAACAAAACGCAAATGTCCCATCACCAGCACTGTGCAAACACTACACAGCTCTATGAGATCTAAAGAGTACGAGGCTCGGGTATGAAATGATGCCTAGAAGCACAAGTTTAAAAGCTGTGCCAGAGATAAAATATAATAATGCAATATGAAGAGTGTATGGAAGCTTATTTCTGCCAAGATAAGAAAAATAATTAATAAAGGGAGAGATTTAATAAAAAATAAAATCCTCACTTTAAGCCAAAATGATGAAATACTGAGTCAAACTTTAGATTTTATTGTATATAATAGTAATTCAAATATTTAATTTTAATTTTCACTTAGTAAGTGTGAATAATTTTAACTTATTAACACATGATCTTTACTTATCAAGTCAAAATTATGAGAAAATATGTAGATTTTTAATAATAATAGGTTTAGGCTAACTCATAGTTTTGATTTAATATCTCATAATTTTGTATGTTTTTAATTTATCATGCAGAAATGGGTTTCCATAAGTAAGTGAACACTAATACATGCAGTATTTGAACTCTGAACAGTGCCAAAGCCGCCACTGCACATCATAGATAAAATAATAAAACAACAACAGCAATTTCAGTATCACCAGCTGATCCAAAGCAATAAAATAAATATGATATATTAACAGTTGACCTGCTGCAGTTTATTAAAAGAAAGCTTGATTGTATCTATTTTATTAACTCCAGAAACCAGCTCCAGCTTTTTAAATACAGCTGAAACACTTTGATTTTATTTGATTTAACCCTTTAAGATCATGTTTAAAGGATAAATCTGTTGATATTCTGTACAGCGCTGACACAATATCAGATTTTAACAACACGATTATCCATCATGGCCATTTGAATTCTGTGTTTTGTCTCTTTCTTTTTTTTAGAAAATTACTGGATTATTCACACAGTATCAGTATTTCACTTTTAAATATCACAATTTTCATCAATATCTTGCGACACATCTAATTCCAATATAATTTTAATAATGTCAACAAATCCTGATAGATCTTAGTAGAGCTCCAACACACACACACACACACTGTAGTTTATTTATACACCGTCCTGCTGCCCCAGATACTCACTCGAGCGACAAATGTGGATTAATCCGCCGCTGAAAATAGTCCCACAACAAATGCACAATTTCCTCCTGGTGGGGGGGGGGTGGTTCACAGACGGGGTGCATTTATTGATTCGTTGACAATAAATAAAATGTAGAATAAGTAAGTAAAGCTTTATTTATATAGCACCTTTCTGACCCAGAGATCCAAAGTGCTTTACAAACAACAAATAAACATACAAACGTAGGGAGCATGTAAACACAAACGAAGGAAGATAAAACAAGAGGGAAAGAATAAATGAGAAGACGACAGATGAGGAAACAAACAAGGAGATCTATAAAAAGGCCTGTAGGTTTTGAATAACAATAAATAAGCTTTTATTTATTTATTATTTCTGGGGAATACACCGAGGGGTGAACCATCGTTTAGATTACATTAGGCAACAAACACACAGATATACAACTTAAACATTATAAAAAATAAAGGACACAAACATCAACATTAGTTAAAAAAAACTGATTCCTAATTAAAACAGTAAGTTCTGATTATCAGGGAATCCATATTTGAAGTTTATTCCAGTAACCTTTTAGTAATTATTAGGTGTGAAGATAAAGTCTTCATAGCAGATATCCACACGTAAACACAGGTCTGTTAAATAAAGTGTGTGCACGCTGACTTGTGCTTTTACGCATCATTTTATAAAAGGCCTCAAATCTTCTTCGTCACACTGCACAGAAGAAGAAAAGACGACGAATCCCGAAGCTGCTGAGGAAGTTTTAAACTCCAGTCTGGTTTCTAGAACGGTGAAAAACAAAGTGAATAAAGTGTCGAGTGCGGTTTACATGAAAAAAAAACAAAAAACACCACTTTAAACCAATTTAAAAAATGCTAATTGGTCGTCGCTGCTTCTGCTTCTTCAGCTTGAACTTCGTGCTTAACACCGACTGACGTCTTCACCCCTGAGAGGGAGAGACCGGGTGTGTTTTCTAACAGTAGTGCCACTTTATCTTCATTTATACTCGACCTCCTCCTCCTCCTCCTCCTCCTCCTCCCCCCAGGCGAGGTGGAATAAATGAATGTATAAACGAGGGGCTGTAATGAGTGCGTGTCAACGAGTGTTAACAGCGGCGACTCCTGTTTTACATATTCATATAATGGTATTTATTGCAGACGAGTTTCTAGAACTGCGTCCGGAAGTCGAGGGGATCCAGATGTTTTAGGCGTGAAAATACGGAGACATTTAATAAAAAAAATTTAAAAAAAAGGGAAATTTTAGTCAAACGCTCCAGTGCTTCCTCATTATTGAATTCAGTGTTGATCACCATCTCTCATGTGTTTCCCCCTCATTAAAATGGATATTTAAAAAGATCAGTGCTTTATTAAATGAGCTGTCTCCTCAGTAATAAAAACTCTGTAATGTTCGAGGTGTTTGTCTGTTTTTTTTTTTTTTTTATCATCACGACGTATTAAAGGAGTCAAACTGTAAAGAACTTACATCCTATACGATTAACAAGAAATACTGCAGCTTTCAGAATAAATAAGACTTATATACTCATATATTCTGTCCTAAGTAGAGTAAAATATTCAAATTTATTTAAAAGTATTTGGGTTTTAAGTCAGATTTTACTTTGGTTGTAAATACATTTGCAGAATTTCTCCCTCCTGTTGAATACACTTATTTTTCCTCATTTATTAAAGTAATTATTACCTATTTAAAATATGTACATTGGTTGGTTGATGATGGGGAAACGAGATCCTTAAAAAAGTGAGCGTACCTTCTGTAAAGGAGTCGGGGTCTTCAAATTACTGCTACTGTGAAGAAAAAACGAAAGCCTGTTCACCAAAATGCTTTTAATATTTGTCTCATTTATAAAGTATTCAACTCTGCATTGTTTTACTGATGAAGTTGTGATTTATCAAACGTATATCTCTTTAATTTACACACCAATCTGCTCTTCTCGTTGTGAATAGAGTCGCCATGGATCGTCATTTTTTTAAAAAGTAGATCCCCAGAACACACCTTTAGCCTTAGAGAAACATTCTTACTCGTACTTGAGATATTATCAGCTGAGGAAAGATAATTACTTATTGCCTAAAAAAAGTAAGAACTGTTGCAAGTAGTTTATTTCTTCTACTGTTATTTGTTATTTTTCCTTTAGTAATCTGCAACATTAAGATGATTAATATGTATTCTTTCACATTTTTACTGTATGAATGAACCTGAGAGACAGAGCTGTGGGAGGGAATTCCTTGTTAGACACCTGAACTAAAACATGTGTAATGCCCCTTTAAGTCTTTAAATCCATTTTAAAAAGACTGAATATCAGTGTGACCGTCGCTGAAATTAAGCTGAAATAGTCTCTTAATTTAACACATTTTAAAACCCTCGCTGCTGCAGCAAAGCAGACGTGAAGAGATTTTAATCGTTAACACATCAGCGCATTAATTAATCCTTCAGATCTACCGTACACATCTTTTTATTCATGCATTGGTTGAAAGAAACTGTTAATATCTAAAAACATCTTTGGGTACAAACAGGAGAAAAGTCACACACACAAAAGCAAAACCAAAAGCAACAACTTTAAACTTGCAATCATTTATTTGAATAGAAGAACAAACCAGATGGCCATTCCCTGTTTACTTGCATATTACATCTTTTTATTCATCGATGCCTCAACCCCCCCAGCATTAAGATTTATTCAACGCTACAACTGCAAAGATCTACTTAACGTCCCCTAAAAATGGCCAACAGGTCGGTTTTCGCCCCTCAGGTTGTTTTATTATTGCATTAGTTCTACATGAGGAAAATGAGACGTATTGGTTTAAGAAAAAGGCTGGTATGAAAACATTTCACACACTATGCTACTGTTAGAGGTTGCAGGTGGGGGTCAAATCTTGATGCATTACACACAGTGGGACTTCCTGAACCTTACTGCACATATCACTGGGTCCTTTGTATTAACACTGATGAGACTCGTGTGTTATTCAAATCAAGATTAAAAACCGGGGGAATCAAAAGAATCCTGGATTTCAATAATATACTGAATATTTTGGAAACTTTAAAAACATCCACCGAGACGTATCCGGAGAGGATGGGTAACATTTGGTACAACAGCCAGGTCTCAGTATTTAGCATCATTTTGTTTAATTAAACCTGCTACAGAAGTAAAACATTAAATTCAGAGCTTTAAAAGGCGTAGCTCGACATTTTGGGAAACCCTTTTTTTCCACTTTCTTGCGGTACGTTAGACGAGAACACTGACACCACTCTCGTATCTGCCGTTTGAAGTCTAACCCTCTTGTAGCCGTAGCTTTGACATTTAACAGGAATAGACGAGCGGTCTCGATCTTCTCATCTAAATCTTGGCAAGCAAGCACATTTTCCAAACCTATTCCTTAAGAGACGGAGCCCAAAGATTCCCCCAAAAACATAACGATACCAAACTCATAATAACAAAAGAAATCTATTATAATTTAGATATTCGCAATAATACAAACAGCAGCTGTAAGAAGAGGAAGTGCTGTACAACTAAATAAAAGGGAATGATGCGATTAAGAGCCAGTACATTTTGATTCATTATTCTTGTACTGAGCAACTTAACTCATACAACGATGTAATTCAAATGTTATTAATGTATTATAGCCTGTGTTTAACTTTGAAAATGTATTTTAAAGGTTAAGTGATGTTTTAAAATGTTCGTCCCGACAATAAATCTCACAAAAACTCCAAAACCAACAGCGAATGTATCTAACGAGTGTTATTTGTTTTTAAAGCCTGTAGTTTATTTACACTGGAGCACCAAATGTGGATTAATCCGCCGCTGAAAATAGTCCCTAACAAATGTTTTCCTCCTGTTAGAGTAACGTTATTTACACCTTCAGTAGGAACCAGTGAGCTGACGTCGGACAGTATCGACTAACTATCGTTGGTTTTGGTATTTTTATGGGATTTGTTGACGGTAATGAAAATATAGAATATGACTTTATGCTTTAAAACAGATTTATTATTCTGATTTCCAGGAGAGGAGGACTCAACTGTGTCCACTGTCTATTCAGCAATGTTTTAAAATCACAACTGCTGCTCTGCATGTGGTCATTTTGTTGATTTTGACCAAAGTAATGTGATTATTAAAGCTAAAATACTGTTAATATTTAAGGTGAGATGCCACTGTGATTTTATGTTACGTGAATTGGAATTATCTAAACAATTAGCTAAAAGAAATATAATAATAATGTCTCAGTGATTTTCTAATTAAAGGATTAAACATAAAATCAGGATAAATAAGATAAATGGGAGAAACTGCCAGAACTCTGAGGTAAATTTGACATTCTGGTTACAGTTCACAGGAAACACATTTGTTTTGTTTTTTTTAAAAGCTACTAAAATATAAAGTAAAATATATAAATAAATACAAAAAAAAAGACCTGTTGGTGGTTACATACTCTCACATGGAACATCTGGTTGTGAACAATGTGACAAAGGTTTGTGAGCGGGAAGAACAGATGTGTAGAAAACCTGCAAAAGATCCACAATATACAGCAGGAGTGTAACGGTTCACCAAACCCACGGTGTGTGTGTGTGTGTGTGTGTGTGTGTGTGTGTGTGTGTGTGTGTGTGTGTATATAACCATTAAACGTATGCGGCGACATTTTGGGAAATATACTTGTTCTCTTTTTTTTTTTCGAGTTAGATGAGAACATTATTATCACTCTTATATCTGTTAGCGTAGCTTAGCATAGAGACTGGGAATGAGGGGAAACAGCTAGCCTGTATTTTTTATTTTGGTTTTTTTTGGGAGGTTTGTGTTTTGGACTGTTTCCCGTCCGATAAAAAGCTAATCTGCCTCTCCTCTCCTCCATAGACTGAGGCTGTAATGACTGTCTTTTAAAGAAAGAGTTTTCCTGACGATACAGGACAGCGTTTGCTCACAAATTGTTTTATAATTTACCTCTCGTAGGTTGTCAGAGTCACTGACTAACACTTCGTGCTCGGTTTTGTGGCTGTTTTCAAAGTCCTCTCATCTCCTACAAACTCAAAGTGTTCATCGAACGTACAATTTGTATCTCTGTGCATATATTTATTAACCAGAAGAACAAATTTGATCCTTTATAGGCTGTCTGCATGTAGAACGTCTGTATATGTATATAACGTCTATATGACCGTCACACTTCACGCCAAAAGGTCTGCTTCGACTCTACGAGGGCGATGTGAGTGAGGAGCTAAAATACTACTAAAATATCCAGGACATCAGCATTTTTTCTAGGATATTTGGTGATTTTAATCAATTTCCAGGTGTTTCCATAACTGGAAAACTGGTCTTTAAATGTCTAGGTTTTCCAGGTTTTCCCTGGTTTTCTAATTCAAATGATTATTCGCTCATCGCTTTGTGGTAAAACTCCTAGAAATTAAAACTTTTTACATTAAATGTACATAAATATGTAAATAAATATATTTTTTGTCAGTGATTTTGTGTTTGCTTGAACTTATTCTGATTTTCTGTCTCATAATTCAGCCACAGAATAAAAAAGAGCTCTGATTAGCTTTGATATTTAACATAGAGACGTGAGAGTGACATCAATCTTCTCATCTAACTGTAAGAAAGTCGGGGAAAAAAACTATTTCCCAAAAGGTCAAACTGTTCCTTTAAACCGCCGTTTGATTTGCAACAGCGAGCCAATAAATATATTTACATAGTGCAGTAATATAGACAGTATCGTGGATTTATATTGAAGTGAAATTAAAAAGGGAGAATGAGCAGTCGAGGTTACAGAGAACCTGAAACTGTATTTATATTAACAAACATGTTGTATTTTAACTGACATAACAGGATATACTGTCGGTATCTGCTTTTGTCTTATTCGAACGTTTACTACTTGATCATTCAAACGAACTGTGCGTCTTAAATATTAAAAAATACAATATAGGCTAAAAACAAAAACTTCAAAATAAAAGCATCAAAACAAGAGGAAGATTATTCATTTGACAAATGTCTGTATTCCTATGTCATCCTTTAAGTCTGTATGTTCAACACTACTTTTACTTACACAAAAAGTAAAATACTTTTTTGTAATTAAGACTCAAAAATGCCAACTGAACCATGAGTTTGGTAAACTATTACACTTCCACTAAACAATAGTAGACTGTGTGAGTTTTGATGGGCTGAAATCAAATGTTTATATATGTGTACATATATATATATATATATATTATTTTAAAAAGGGTTTTGTAATTTGCATCTCATAGTTGTTGCTGATCCAAAAAAGGGCTCTGGGGCCATAAATATAAGTATTGCTAACTACTAATTAAGAAAAAAGCAGTATAAAAATGCAGAGCATTAACTACCACCTGCATGCTGTAGAAGCATTGGTCTATAGGTAATACAAAATGTACAAAATAAATGTGCTGCAAAACAACCAGAATGTTTCATATACACATAAATAAAAAGTACAGATGTCATCCGACAAGGCAGATGGACCCTTGATTTAAATGTGATAAGTACCCCCGTTAACTTCCCGCTCTTAACCCCGCCCTCCCACTTCCTCAATATCGGAACAAAACAAGGAACACATTCTGTTTCTAAGGCATTTTGTACACTAGCTAATGAGAAACACAAGTGTTACTGTTACGTTTCCCTTTTGTTTTTGTTTTTGTTTCCTCCGATCAGTATTTGAGCCACGGGTGAGCCGCGATGGAGGCTTTACTGCGGTCTCCGTAGTCATAGAGCAACTCCTCGCCCTCGTCAATGTCTCGAGAGGCAACGAGGATGAGGTGAGGGACCGCGTTGATGTCGTGGAGTTTGGTTTGGCAGTTTCCATTTTTACTGTGATTTATCAACCTACCCATTCGACCGGTCTCTTTTGTGGCGTCCACACTGCGGGAAGAATAAAAAAACAAAAGAAATTAGTCTTTGTACTCAAGAAAAATAGCAAGAAAACACATCAATCAATTCATTTAAAAAGACTGAAACTTTAAAGTTCAATGTATTTACTTTTGGTAATTGTAGTTTTCATGGTTAGTCCACCACCCCGAGTTGGATTTAAACACACAACGAGAGCTTTACAGGAAATGATGAATACATGTAATTTCATTTCATTGATATCAGCCTCACTGTTCACTGTTAACTCAGAGCTACAGAAACGACTTTACTGCGTCCTGCTGCTGTTCAGAGTTTGTTTGTATGTTTGTTTGGCTGCACTGTAATCAGATATTTGCTGCTCAAGGAGAGTTTAAACTGTACTTGCTGTTACCATGGTAACAACGGGTGTAGCCCATATCAAACTGCGACTTTAAGCAGCAGCCAGTGTTGTTCTGGTTAAATTAGTCATTAGTCGGTGCAGGTCATCTTTTACACTGTCACTAAAGCTGAAATGATTAATTTTCAACTGGTTTTATGTTCTTTTTTTAAAATATTAATAACTAGCTGCTATAAATATAAGAATATAAGAAGCTTTTTGTGATGCTTTTACTGCTTATTTCTTATTTGTGAGGTTTTGTAACCATCAGACTGACAGAATTCTTGATTAAAAATCTAAGAATAGAAGCCAAATATCCACTTAAACTTTAAGATTTCTCCAACCAGTCAGCTATAATACAGTATATTCTCCAGTAATACACCGGCAGTTCAGTTTGAATGTTGTGGTGAATCGTACCAGTAAGTTTTGCAGAGGTACTGGAAGTAGTACATGTAGCAGCCAGTGGCGGGGTTCAGAGCGTATTCGGCCTCCCTCTTTTTGGCGTCGGTGATCTGCAGCAGGTCTCCGTGGTACTCCACCACATACTCGCCTTTCCGGAAACACCGAGTGGCAAACACCGCTCTCCCCTTTCCTTCTATGTGCTGCACCTACAAAAAGGTTTTCTGTCAGGACGCAACAGCTGGAAAAACATTTTAGCCTATTTGCATTTACTTTGAATATCTGATGGAATATAACAACACTTACAAACAACAAGAATAAAGCTGCCAAACAGAAGTTCTTTCCTCTCCACGTTTGGTTTCTTTTTGTCTCCATTTAAATCAATTTTAGGGTGCACGATTTCTTTCCCTTTTAAACTTTTAACGGTGTTTATACTCTATTATTAAGATGCTAAAAGTTCCCTTGACTGACTTCCTGCGCAAAATATGAGTTAAAATAATTAAAAAGAATTACTATATAGGGATCCTACATGTTTACAGAGCATCTTTACCCTCAAAAAACAGCATAAACTGTCTTATAACGGTTCAAATACATCTGGCAGGCTAAATCAAACCTTATGTGTGCAGCCCTATTTATTAATCCCTATCACATAAATACGTTAGATTGTTGTTAATGTCACATGTTAATTGCTACTGGAGATATTAAAGATTTTATCCAAACATAATGAGTTTAAAGACACATACAGGTATAATGAGCTTTAAATAGACAAAGCCCTCCTTCAGTTTGACTCTTTGATGGTAATTGTGGTCAAACCTACATTATTGAACTGAATTTCCTATAAATAAAACACACCTGCTGCATCATTCAGACTAAACAAAAAAAAAAGGGTACAGAAGCTGCGATGTGCAGAAAACTCAACGTACCTCCATTCCTTCCTCTATTCCCTTTGTGATGAGATCATCTATGTGTTTCTTTTCTTCACACTGGTGACATAGAAAGGAAACATGAGATTGTATTATACTCTAAATGACATTCAGTGATAGTACCACCAGTAGTGGTTGGAGACAGGATGAGTTGAGGTTAGGTATCACAGAAGATGACACAACTATGTTTCTGTGGCTCAGAGAGGAACAGCTTTTCAGTTAAACGTACTACGTTATGAAATAGTCTCAGTTTAATACTGATGCCTCTTTATGACCTACACAAACAAACAAAGACCTTCAGAGAGAAGATTTCTATCTCGTTATTCTTAATTCCTGCAACCAGAAACAAGGCGGTAGAAACATTCTGGGGCGCCAGAATCAACACAAATTCTCCGCTCCGCCCACACTCCACGTATTTGCCCATTTTTTGATTAACCGGCAGCCGGCGGAGTCAGGAGTGAGAGCCGACCACACTGAGCTTCATAAAAGCTCTTCACAGAGACTACGTCTATTTTGAATTATACTGCAAACAACCCATAACTCAGCACTTCTCTTTTCCAGAAAGAATAGTCTTATATTCATGCCAAGTCAGAAATATCTGGTCCAACTATATATTTTTAACATCTATCCCACCCAACAAGATAATCCTGACAATATAATATATAATATGTAATAATCTAATCTCACCTTAAGTTCTGTTTTACTCTTTCTGGAGCTTCGTCTTATTGGATAGTAGTCAGTAACTTTTCGGTTTTGGGAGTTTTTCCCTCCTGCACTGTAGCGGAGAAAGAAAACACAACTATAACAAACAAACACACAACTATCGCAAACAATATTTTTTCCTCGACGGCGTTTAGAAAATGGGACGTTGCGCGTACATTCTTAGCGTGGATTTCTTTCCTTTGACCTTGAGGCGGACTCCTTTCCTCTGGTGGCCGTGGAGAGCGCTGCCGTTGTTGTTGGCGTGGAGCGGAGTGTGAGATAAGCTGTTGCTGAGGGGCAGGGCGAGCTCGGTCGGGGAGTGAAGGCAGGTCTGAGTGCGGAAGAGCTGCGGCGACTGTTCAGCTAACCAGCAGTTCTCCATCTCCGGGAAATCAGTCTTTGAGTCTTTTGGTGTGATGCTATTTGTTCTCCTGCCTGGGAGGGAAAGAGTGGATGAAAAAAGTGTAACATCCTGGTGTTACTGTTTCTGTTTCTGTTACATAATGACACCGAAAAATGAACATAAATAGGTCCGTTTGTTCTCTCGCAGAGTGTTTACACACAGTAAAAACCTCTCTCCTCAGCTGGAGATCAATCTGTAAACCTGCAGCCAAGATACTTACCCTCTCCCTGCCTCTGGGCATCATTCTGCTGGCAGCATATCGGAGAGCACCTCCCCTCCTGTGTCAGCTTGATCGCCTTTTCATCGTGAACTGGTGATATGGACTTGGGGCAGCTTAAGACAGTGACTGGATGGTTATTGCATACAGTCTCCTGTGAATGCAGAGAGAGAGAAAACGTATTTAGTCTCAGTCCTGTCGTGTGTATTGTTATCGACGCTCCGCTGTATTTTGAATTAACACATAATTAACAGCGAAGGAGTGTGCAACCTGACAAAACATAAATTAAAAAAGACATCAGACAAAGAGATAAAACAAACTAAAACCCAAATATATCCACTTTACTATCACATATGACAAAGAAAAGCAGCAAATCTTCACAGTTGTTTCGAGCTCTCTATCACACATACAGACACAAATCTGCTAGAGGTTGCTCCAGGTTGGATTTATAAATGTTTCCAGAGGAAGGAATCGTGTTTGTTAGACCTCAAAGTTACACACAATACTGTACGGTGAGCAACAATGAATGTAAACCGTAAACTCTACAAGGCGTCCTTTAAGGAGCCATAAAGCCTATTCCCACTGACTGACTCAACAGGGTGATTAAAAACTCATGTACAATTACTTTTCCTCTATTATCAAACACTTCCTGAAACAATAACTAGACTTTAAATAACACAAATAAAAGCAAACACGTCCCTGAAGTTAGACGCAGCCCTTAACTGTTTATTTTTAGTATTTGAACACTGAAGAGGCCCTCCTATAAGATATATAAGATATGTTTAAAAATATACTCAGTAGGTCGATATCTCAGCGTTTCATTCATTCATTCAACTAAATTATTTATTTGATATAAAACTTTGAAGAACTGAACACAATCTACATTCACAGAGAATTCAGCCTCGTCCTACAAGTATGCATGATGCAAAATATTAATATTACATAACACAGATTATAGAGAATTATATTAAAAAGTTCTTAAAAGTATCAAAAAATAATAATAATTTCTGGTCAAAATTCACAGATCTCTTGTTTTACACAAACTTCCTGCTGTTATTGTGTTCACTGTTTATCAGCTGTTCTCTACTGTTACTGTTATACATTGAATATAATATAAAATATCTATAAAATACGTCACTAAGCAGCAGTTTACCCAACGATAGAAAATGGTTTCTTTTATAGAAAATGGTTGGAAACGACTGTTCTAAGGTAACAAAAACACAAAAATTCTTATTTTAAAGGTGATTATATATTAATAAAAACACCATATTCCTCCAATAAATGCTCCCACATGTTTCACACTGGGCCTTTGAATTAAGGCCGCACAATTAATCGAAATATAGAGCTGTAACATTTTGATAAAAAGGTTAAATGTGTGACAAAGCAGTATTATAACGACGTACGTAGGTGCACTGCTCTCCAGACTCAAGAAAAAATGTCACATAATCATGATTTTAACAGGTTTTTTGGTTGAAAATTAAATTTGTAATAGAACAAATATATCTAGAATCACAATATGTGTCAAAATAATCCCAATATGATGTTTTTACCCTATTTTACATGTAAAATCTACTTTTTTTTATCTATTTTTTTTCAACAAGAACCTTAAAGAAATATATTCTTTTAGTTTAGTTTGTGTTTTTTTTTTTGCTTCCAGTGGTGTGGGTGGGGCCCTGAGGAGGGAACCACGCTGGCTCCACATCCCATCATCCCATCACCAGCCCCCTTTAAACACACAGTGAAGGCCTCTTCTGTGCCTCATTATCTGCAGCTCAAACCCATTTAACAATAAAAAACAATAGCAGAAACTTCAAACAGCTGCTTTAAAACCATAAACCCTTCCCAAAACCCTTTAAAAAACAAATCTATAAATCTCAAGCTGTAATATCACAAACCCTTCTCTTCCCCAACAGCTAGCACATGTCCCCAGCTAATGTTAGCACTCAACAACAACAACAACAACAACAACTTACAGTACAAACAACGATTAATGATAACGTTACACACACACACACAGCCTGGAAGAGGGGGAATTAACCCACTTACAGGAGCTCGTTTACGCTACTTAACCTGTGTTTTGATGCCCCCCAACCGAGCAAACTTACCCCGCTCATGTCCGACCGCTGTTCGAGGCTCGTCGCTCGGCTCGAAGCCTCCCGGAGGTGGAGGTTGTTGTTGTTGTTGTTGTTGTTGTTGTTGTGTGTTTGTGGTCGTTTTCCAGGAGTAACGAATAAATTAATAGTTTTTTTTTTTTTTTTTCCAGCCAGTTGAGAGATTAACGTCGTCCCCCCCTCCCTCGTTACAGCAGTGCCCTCCCCCCTTTTCTCTCTCTCTCTCTCTCTCTCTCTGTCTGTGTGTGTGTGTGTGTCTGTTGTTTTTTTTAACTGCCAGCAGATCAACCGACGCAGCCTCCACAGCTCCCGGCCGCCATTTCTCTTCATGTTACAAAAAAATAAAATAAATAAATAAATATATGTAGAAGGAGAGGAGACGAAGCAATGTCGCCCCCTTCAGGCCGACGGTGGTACTGCGTGTGTTTTTAACCCACCACTTTATTATCTTATTAATTTAATTATTAACATCTTTTTATATATATATATGTTTATATTTATATAGATATTATATTTATTACTCTTTTTTAAATAATTATTATCATTTATTCACATTTATACACAGTGCACCTTTTAGCACAGTTCTATCTTTATCTTTATTTATTTATATTTTTAAAAGTACTTTATTTTATTAAGGCAAATTCCTTGTACTGTAAAAACTTACTTGGCAATGAACCCAATTCTTCTTTTAATTCCAGCTACAGGTTTACTGTACACTACAAGTTATATTTTATATTTGTCTTATTATTGTACGTATGGAATAAACCACTGTGACAATAAACCTCTTTAATCTTGAATCATTTATTCTGTCATTCTTGTAATAATCTATAACTTCGGCAACACCACAATCTTTAAAACTCGGCACATACTGTGGAATACATTTACTTTGTAGAAATTAGCATTTATTGTAGTGTATGTATTTCTATTTTATATATTGTGTTAGATAGATTAGATTCGATAGATCGATTTTATTGTATTTTATTCTCTTTTGCATTGCATTCCCCTGCTGCTGTGCCAAGTTTATGATGAAAGCATAAAAAGACAAAATATAAATAAGAATATAAAGTAAATAAATACATTTAATTAAAGGGATTTTTCTGTAATATACTAAAAAGTGTTACTACATTTTTATTTTTTATGACTTTAAGGGCTCTGACACAAGAAAGAAACTTGTTATGAAACCGAGCTTTCACTTTCACTTCCTTGGATTTGTGTGTATAAAATTTCCCAAGAATAATATGACGTTAACCAGAGAGTCATCTTTGCTATTAAAAGCCTGTAAACAATGTTCTTATGAGTAAAGATACCCAGCTGAGAAACCTTTGGGCAAACCACTCTTGTACATAAAGCGTCAGAAAACATACAATGGAAAAATAAATGAACAATAGCTTCAGTTTCATCACAAAATACACAGTAAGTTTCATCATAAAATACACAGTAAGTTTCATCATAAAATACACAGGAAGTAAGTTTCATCATAAAATACACAGGAATTTCATCAGAAATTAACAGGATTTCTATTATTATTATTATTATTATTATTATTAATAATAATAATAATAACAAACAGCAGTTGAACACAGTAGGCAGTACATGAACAGACAATGCCAGCGTAAACAGACAGAAATCATATATTAGTTCACAAAATTGTTGTAAAGTTTGGATTTCTCTTATTTTTAAGAGTATGGGAGTTATGTAACATATTGTTTGACTTCAATTTAAAAACTTTAAGAATGGTTAAAATGACTAAAAAGGATGGTTTATAAGTTGGACTTCTTTTATTTATGAATGTGAGACATTTGTTTTGGTAGAAGAGTAAGAGAGAAAAAGGCCAAACAATAAATTTCCATATGAAAGGGTAAAATCAGAAACAATATACTGGGAAATAAAAAAATAAATATATATATATATATAAAAAAAAAGAATAAAAATACCAAAATAAATAACATAAATCTTCTAGAGCCAGTTGACAAAAATGAGCACGTTACACCAATCTAAACAACGAGTTAAACTACTTTTAAAAGTCTCTCCTATGTGCTGGGAATAATAATGTACAATAAAATAATAATTTTATCTTTAAAAGAAACAAAAGCAGCCTAAAAAAATAAATAAATAAAAAAAAAAAAAAAGGAAGAAGACGTCGAAGAAGAATTTCTCTCCCAACGTCACTTCCTGCCAGGACTCCGCGGGGGTCACGTGACGCTGTATTAGCTCGCTGACTCTGCTATGTTTGTCGATTGTGTTAACGTTTTAGAAATGTCGTTAATCTTTCTCCTGTCGGTGTGTGGTCGTCGAGGGACGCGCCGCCGGTGTCTGAGCAGCCGTTTTCACCGAGTCCGGTCGAGCTGTTTGACTCGGAAAACGCCCGCGGTCGGCCCGCGCGTCACGTGACCAGCATGCGGCCGAGCGTTTGATTGAGGAAAAAAAAAAAAAAAAAAAAACAAGATGGCGTGAGCGCGGCGGAGCGAAGAGGATAACAAACCGCCCGAACTACCGAGCGCCGCCGAGCGACAGCGAGAGCCGGAGCCGGAGATAGAGACGGCCGTTGGAACTACCGAGCGCCGCCGAGCGACAGCGAGAGCCGGAGCCGGAGATACAGACGGCCGTTGGAACTGTCGAGTAAGTTGATTTTTTTTTTTTAACACTTTTTTAAAAGTCCGCCATGAAAGAGACAAACTCGTCGTGGTGATTACTCAACGGGAATGTTAAGTTTTTATATATTTTTTTTATTATTATTATTTATTTATTTTTGCTAATGCTAGCTTCGTCTCCGTTTAACCATAGATGTTAGAAACGTAGATAACCTCGTTCTCGAGTTGACTTGCGTCTGCGCGGTCGCCATGTTGGAGAGGTCAAGATCAGCTACTTAACGCTACTGAGAGGCGCAGACTTCGCTATAAAATTTACTGTAACTCGCTTAATTATCAACCGATTTTCATGGTTTTTAGTGTGTTTTATAAATGTGACAAACTGAATCTGATACTAGTTATCTGTAGGAATTAATTCACTTATTAGGAGCGGGTCTAATTAGTTATATGACAGAAATATTTACCCTTCTGGATAGACACTCTGGGATATGCAGGCTTTAATCTGTAAACAGGCAACATCAAGTTAAAATTATTTATTAATTCTAAATATTTCTATACACATTATACTGTTATAAAGTCACCTGGTTGTTTGTTTTTGTGAAATCTGTCTAGAAGGTAAATATAATTCAACAGGTGAATTAATTCACACCTTTTCTGTCTAGTTTCCAGGATTAGACAGTCATTTGTGCTTTAAGCACCAGCTCACACTCACTAGTATACATGTATTCATTGTTTTTATTCTGTATTTTAGCCAAAATACTGGTCTGACAGGTAATACAGTCAACATGCCTGCAGCATTTTTCCAATATGCGGTGTTTGGATGTACAAACTACCAGTCAGACCAGCACTTTAACCCAAAATACAGATTGAATACATGTATACAAGTGTGTGTGTGTGTGTGTGTGTGTGTGTGTGTGTGTGTGTGTGTGTGTGTGTGTGAGCTGGTGCATGAAGTATCAACACACTGTATGATACTGCGTTGATACTTTATGCACCAGGTTACTGTACACCTGCAAGCAAAAGTGTGTGTGTGTGTGTGTGTGGGAAATAATTCACCTGTTGAGTTATTATGTTTATCCTGTAGACAAATTTCACAATGTTAACAGAAACTAACAAAAGCTACAATTCTAATTAATTTACAGTTAATGTTTATAGACTGCAGCCTGCATGTCCCAGAGGAAGCTATGGCTTTTCAGAAGGTTCATTTTTGGGCATATAACTGATTAGATGCGCCCCAGCAAGTGACTACATTATTTTTTTTAAGTAACCAATATATAGCTCAACATCTAATGTTTATAACAAACCACATTTCATGGAAATCGGTCTGGAAATAAAGGAGTTACAGTCGCATTTAGTAGCGAAGCATCAACATCGCTCGGTAGCTGATCTTGACCTCTCCAAGATGGCGACGGCGCAGACGCACGTCCCAAAAAAAAAAAAAAAACGAGAACGCGGTTATCTACGTTCCTCCATGTACGCGCCTCAAGGCTCCTCGCTGCTAACGTTAGCTCGGCGACCGCAATGACACAGTGCGTGAGAGCACCGTCAACAACATCACAACAATGCGAGGGGGTAGTTAGCTAACCCCCGGCGGCCGCTTGGGAAGGACACGCTCCGGGTGAAGGTGCTGCTAGCTGCCGCTGCATGAGCTCCATAACGACCGTTTTTTTGGTTTTTTTTTTTTTAAATCAGGAACTCGTTTTCAGGATCAGCCAACGGCACGTTAGCTGAAACCCCTCCGTTGCGTTTTAATGTGTATATATATGTGTGTGTGTGTGTGTGTGATGTTTAATGGACTAAGTGAGAGATAAAGTTAGGAGAAAACAAGCAGGTAATAAACGCTTTGTGCTAACATGTGTGAGTGGCTACAGCCGAGCTAACCGCCGTTTGTGAGTCACCGTGGTTACCGTTAATAACACTTAACGGCTGTGAGGGGTTTCTTTTTCCTCTCATTCTGTAAGTTGAGTCGAGTGTGTATATATTACGTTATATGTATATATGTGTGTGTGTGTGTGTGTGTGTGTAAGTGTCGAGTCACTGGTGTGAATGTGAAAGTGACTTCGGTTAGCTGTCGGTTAGTGTAACGCTAGCGCCGCGATGCTAACCAGGCCAGTTGAGCAGGTGTGGACCGCGAAGGGTTAACGGACACTTGGACCGTGCACAGCGCTGAACACCGGTGTTACTTTCTGTTTGTGTGAATGATTATTAACCAGCTGAGGTAACCGGGGGTCGGCGGTGAAGTGAGGGGGGGGAGGGAGGAGAGGGGAGGGGAGGGGAGGCAGTGACCAGGAAGTTACACACACCGAAGTAGGGCATTGCAAACACGTGTCTTGTTTTGGGTCACTTTGGAAGAACCGGACCGGGCGTGTGGACCTCACTGTGTGGAAACGGCTAACTCATGCCTCTGTCGTTAGTGTGGATTGTGCTGTGACTTTTAGTTCTCTCTGTTATTGTTTTTATTTTTTTTAATTGTCTGTGTGTGTGTGTGTGTGTGTGTGTGTGTGTGTGTGTGTGTGTGTGTGTGTGTGTGTGTGCTGCTCCTACGGCGAGGTGAACATTTAAAATAGGGTTTAATATGTTGCTTACACCAGATTGAAACAAGACAAGTTTGGTCTTTTTTTTATACCAGATTGTTCAAAAAAAAATGTTCCAGTGGTTTATTTTTTTTTAATTTGAAAACATTCAGTGTTCGATCCCCACACATGTCCGGTACATGTGGGTTTTAATTGTGGTTTTAGCTCACAGTACTGTGGTTTTCCCTTTTCAGCACGCATTGTTGCGTCTTTTCACTCATAGCTGCTTGCACATAACGTTTAAACTACTGGAATTTGTCGCTATTGATGTAGTTGTTTTTTTTTTTTGTTTGTTTCAGCAAGTGTGGTTCATCCAATAGGTCAAGCGGAGATTAGTCTTTTTTTTTTGGGCAATATTTAAAGACACACTCTGGACAAAAAGTAACTTGATGTGTGGACAAGAAAGCAGTGTAATAGGATCTCAGTGTTAAACCTTGAACTTCCAAGTCTTTTATTATGTTGTGACAGGTTTTTTAAAGTTTGGTAAAAAATAGCATGAGGTTGCAGACCTCTCTTTAAGTGTAAATGCGTGTTTGTGTGTGAAGTAAAACAAATTTTAGCACTACATTCTCTATCCTAGGATGTTTTTCCTTATAGAATAAACTAATGCTTGAAATATTTAAATTTCAGAAGCTAGAACCTGCAAATTTTATACATGTATGACTTGAAATATACCGTAAACGTTTAATTTAGGATCAGTACTGATGTCCATGTATTTTTCTAATGATCAACTAATTGATTAATCCACTAAATGTTTAATCTTCCTTTAATCTTTTATCATTGTTTATTCATGAACAAATACTCAGCACGGTACACGGGAGACGTTAACTGAAGGACATAAACATTTGTCTTGCAGATGGATCCTGGACAGGATTTACTTCTCGCTGCCCTGAGTGAGAGCGGCATTTGCCCTAATGATATTGGCCTATTTGATGTTGATTCTCAGGATGTTGCACAGCCCTCTACAACCCAGCAAGTAAGACGATCATTAGCTTTGTGTTCTAGAAGTGATTTTTTATTAATGTTTTTCGTAACTGTATGTTAATGTTCTGATTTCTGGTCCTCCTCCAGTCTATCTCCATCAGTGCCCTGGATGTTGGCGTGGGGACAGAGTCAGTGGACGTTGTTCGAACTGAGCCTCCAGCTCCTGTCCCTATAGTTACTATCAGGGTGAGATTACAGAACATTAAGTTCCCTTAATTAATTATTAAAAGCACAATGTAATGTTGCTGCTGCTTGCTTTGTGTTTAAAATCTCTCTCTCTCTGTCTCCCAACAGCACAAACCTCAGCCATCAACCACCACGTTTGTCTTAAATCAGCTGAATCAGTTGCCGTCACTAGGATCTGCCGTGACCAAACAATCAGCAACCAACAATATCAAACATACCATAACTGTCACCAAGGTGGTCCATGTTGCTAATTCAGCCCTGCGAGGTTCTTCCACCCCCTCCACCACAAGTATTCCTCCTTCAGTGTCCACAGTAGTGCCTTCTAACAGAGATCAGGTACGTTTGTGAAGCCATGCTCTGAACCTCTTAAAGGAGAGAGAGAAAAGCGTTTCTTTTAGTGCTCATCATACCTTTTTTTCTTTTCTTTAGCAGATTCAGTTGAAAGACCTCCTTAGGACCAGCAATGTGAAGGGCAACAGTCTGATGGAACTCATGAAGCTGAAGCCTCCACCTGACATTACTACACCAGTAGCAACGGCGACAGCAACAGGTAATTTATTGTTTCTTGTCATTTAAATGTGCTTTTTTTTAATCCATCAGGTCTGAGCAATATCAATATTTTTACCTTTTGATTAATATTTAGCAAACAGGCTTGTTTTGGCGTGGTTTTAATAAGTGTGTGTGTATGTATATATATATGTATGTGTGTGTGTGTGTGTGTATATATGTGTGTGTATATATATATATATATATATATATATATATATATATATGTATATATAAAAAAGCTGTTTGAGGTTATGAGCCGTAGATTTAATGACATTTGGGGAAATGATGAGCTAAAAAGCTATCGAGGTTTCAGCACTCCAGATTTTTATTAGTTTTTTTATTTTAGTATTACGCAATGCAGGATCAAATCATAGCAGAGATTATTTGTGACTTTCTATCTGTGCAAAACACAATGTCTGTTTACCCCTGTTCAAAAGAGCCCAAAAATTAGGAACATTTATTGTGTTTTGTATTGTCCCTCTTTATTTTTGTGTGTATCTGTGTGACAAATTTGAGTAAATTCTAATTTTATGAGTATTTTAAAAACTTAAATAGGTCTGATGATCTACACAAAGTTATTTTCATTATCGATTTAAGCTGACAATTATATCCATCAATCATTTGGTCTAAAAATATTCAAGGTGTGATGTCTTCACATTGTTTAACCCAGAGATATTGAGTTAACTATCACAGTAGTCGGTGGCTCTATAACCAACCTGAGATTCTCTGTTCGTCTCAAAATATATTAAAAAATCTGTCCGCGCAGGTGAGACGTGAATTGTTTAAGTAACACTTCCTGGTCTCTGTTGGTGTTTCAGGTGAAATGAACAATGGAATCAAGAAGGAAGTATTGGGTAAAGATCCTGCCAGGATCTGGATCAATGACGCCATTAAAATGCATAACTTCTCACATTCTTTGGTAAGTATTAAATTACTGTTTTTAGAAAGATGTTAAACATTAAAGGCATCATTGGCAAATTCATATATATGGCAGGGTGTCTGAGGGGTCTTTTCTTTAGTCAAAAATACAATAAAATGCCTTTTTAAATATGATTTTTACTGCATTTTTCAGTCTTGCCTAAATGTGTCTTTGGGAAAGAATTATATTGATCATGCTGTAACATCTATAAAGCCAAACTGACATAGAATCAATACCAGTACCATATGAATGTGAAATGGGTCTTAAATTGAATTCATAATGGTCCTAAAAAGTCTTTAATTGAACCTGTTGAAACCACCGGAAACCCTCTATGGTTATGTTTAGGGGATGGTTTAAAAGCTGAAGAGTATTGTGAGAACCGGATGTCTCATTATGTAAATCCGTGTCCACAGAAACCCCCTGGGATGAAGGAGGAAGATGAGCCTGAAGAGGAAGAGGAAGATGAGTTGGGCCATGCAGAAACTTATGCGGAGTACATGCCAATGAAATGTAAACACGACTGTTGTATTTGTTTACAATCACTCCATTATTGGGCAAAACAAAGTGAAAATGAACTCGACTGAATGATAACAGCACTTCATTATATTATCCTTCATCAACATCATTGATGAAGGATCATTGAAATCAAACAGTTCTCGTTAGTTGCTCGATCCACTGACCAGTCGCTTTTATCACTGCAGTAAAGGTGGGTCTACGGCATCCTGATCCTGTGGTGGAGACCAGCTCCCTGTCCAGTGTTAACCCTCCTGATGTGTGGTACAGACTGTCCATCCCTGAAGAAACCATTGATCGTGGTTGCCTGTCGGCTCTGCAGCTGGAAGCAATCACATACGCAGCTCAGGTAAGCAGTGATCCTTTTGTAAAGAAGGACAAAACCTATTGAAAGATATTCGTTTAACTTATGATTGCATGTCCTGTGTTGCTCTGTGCTTATATTGTGTTGCTTTTATATGTTATTTTTCACAAATTTATTCGGTTATGTATCTTTTTAAAAACGGTCTCAATAAAATGTGCCATTACAAAATATAATATGGCCTAAACTAAAATACATTTTCATCACAGGAGTGAGACTAAATCACCTCTGCAGGCAGTTGACGGCGTCTCTTTTTGGTTTTTAATTGTGCATTTCTTGTCCCGATGTTACGACAGCAACATGAGACGTTCCTCCCGAGCGGCGATCGAGCTGCCTATCTCATCGGTGATGGAGCCGGTGTGGGGAAAGGCCGAACCATTGCAGGGATCATCTATGAGAATTACCTTTTAGGCAGGAAGAGATCACTGTGGTAAGTACTCCAAATCCCTTTTACATATTTAACCCAGATTACAAACTGTTTACTTTTCAAACGAATGTTATGCCAACCGAATTACCTCCACTGTTTTTAACCTCTTCTTACACATTCTCCTCTTTTTTTGTGTTCAGGTTTAGTGTCTCAAATGACTTAAAGTATGACGCTGAAAGGGATTTAAGGGATATAGGAGCCAAAAACATCCAGGTTCACTCACTGAACAAGGTAAGATGAAAACAGTAAGACGTGTTTACTGTCTTTCTTAATGTCAAACTGTGACACAATTACATTTTTTATATTTTCAGTTCAAATATGGCAAAATCTCCTCAAAACACAATGGGAGTGTGAAGAAAGGTGTGATATTTGCCACCTACTCGTCCTTGATCGGAGAGAGCCAATCAGGAGGGAAGTACAAGACCAGATTTCAACAGCTTCTCCACTGGTGTGGGGAGGACTTTGATGGAGTTGTATCCTTTCAAGCAAATGGCCATGAATTTGATGAATAGATGTTCTCAGGAATTAATTTTTACTTTCTTATATTAAACGTATACTTGGTGTGCTTAACTGTGTCAAAGTAATGAAACAAGATCCTTTTTATAGACCATCTTTTTTATAAATCTGGCTACTTTCCTTAACCAAATGTCTGTTAGATTGTCTATGACGAGTGTCACAAAGCCAAAAATGTGTGTCCAATTGGATCATCCAAACCTACAAAAACAGGGCTCGCGGTGTTGGAACTGCAGAACAAACTGCCCAAGGCTCGGGTTGTGTATGCAAGTGCTACAGGTTAGTAGACGTAATCGAATGAAATTTGCTTTTTAAATTGATCGGCATTCTGAACGCTGAAGGTGTACTGAGTCTGTGCAAATTCTGAAGATGAACCCGTTTCTATCTAGGTGCCTCTGAACCGCGAAATATGGCCTATATGAATCGTCTGGGCATCTGGGGGCACAAAACACCCTTCAGAGAGTTTTGCAACTTCATCCAAGCTGTTGAGCGCAGGTACGTTTCTGTTTTTGCAGATTACAGCAAATGTTTGCAAAAGAAAAACAAGTTCTTGTGTAGAAAACCTAACATGTATGTCCTCACTTTCAGAGGTGTTGGCGCCATGGAGATAGTTGCTATGGACATGAAACTAAGGGGGATGTACATCGCAAGGCAGTTGAGTTTTACAGGTGTGACTTTCAAGATTGAGGAGGTTCCCCTGACCCAGAAGTACATAAACATGTACAACAAATCTGTGAGACTGGTAAGCACATAAGAAATAATGCATTTTAAGCACATTGCTGTGATTTTTTTTTTTTTATGTTTTTGCAGTTAACATATGGATTTCATTATGCTCTCCTGTTTCTTGTAGTGGGTGAGTGCACGTGAGAAGTTCCAGCAGGCTGCAAACCTGATGGATGCAGAGCAACGCATGAAGAAGTCCATGTGGGGCCAGTTCTGGTCTGCTCACCAGAGGTTCTTCAAATACCTCTGCATTGCCTCCAAAGTCCGCAGAGTGGTCCAGCTGGCTAGAGAGGAGGTCCAAAATGGAAAGGTGACACTACTCAAGAAATATAACAGTACTTCTGGCAGCACAATTAACTGTCAACAGTTCCGCTGTGTTAACATGAGGTGAGAGATACGTTGCCTTTAAAAGAAACCTCACAAAAACGAGTGTGCATTACTCAGAGACCCAACAGGAAAAGGCGGGTACCACAAACTGTAGATGTGTTTGAGACAGAGGAGTAAAAAACGTGATATATTTAAGTTGTGGTCTGGTTCCTGTTCACACTTTTAAGTAAACCACGAGGAGTAAACATGAACTCATACAGATGGGTTGTACCTCCATTAATAGTTTTGCCGTCATCCATCTTAACAAAAATCAAATACTGGTGATTGTATATCATTCAACACTCATAAGATGTGTTTATGTTCTGCAAATCGCGCGCATGTTATGAATAACGACAAAGCTATTGGAGCCGGGATAAAAAAAGAAGCGCTTTATACAGCATTAATCTGGCAGGTATTTCTGTGGGATCGCTATGTCCTGCACTTTTAATGGACTTGCTGAACTGCCAAAGTCCACGAAGTAGGATGCGAGCACAACAAACTACAGTTTTAACGGCTGTTGACCGTTCGATTGATCAGGGAAAAGACCATTGCATTGAGGCAGCTCTTAAAGGACAACAGGGGTTGAGACTTAAAATAATCTCGTAAAACTGAAAGATTAATGCTTTCCTGAAACTTAATGTTGTGCTACTGGCTCTAACGTTATACAACATTAATTTGCTCAGTGGTATCATCAGTGTATAAAATACTTAACAAGCTACTTCCTCTGCAGTGTGTGGTGATAGGTCTTCAGTCCACTGGGGAAGCAAGAACACTCGAGGCCTTGGAGGAAGGAGGCGGAGAGCTCAATGACTTTGTGTCAACTGCAAAGTACGGACTGACTAAATTTATTTTTTATTGCTCAGTTTAAACACCGTAACGTGTTTGTCACTGTAATAAAATGTTTTTGTTTATAGAGGTGTGCTGCAGTCGCTGATTGAGAAGCACTTCCCAGCTCCTGACAGACAGAAGCTTTACAGCCTGCTAGGTATCGACCTCTCAGCTAAGAAGACCCCCTCTCCAAGTGAAACTGCAGCCCAGCCAGAACAGAAGGGGAAGAAAAGGAAAGGTAATCAAACGTTTAAGATAATGCTGAATCACGAGAACAGATTAAAACTAAACCCGATACTCTAAGAAGACATAACAGACGGCTTTGTCTTGAAAATGTCTCCATTCTCGTGGACCGAATTGTGTGCTGTTCAAACATTTGTCTTCATTCTCTCATCATGTCTCCAGGTTTAGAGATCAAAAAGCAGCAGAAAAAGAAGCCTCGCAAGCACGGCGGCCTGTCGGGCACCAGCTCGGAGGAGAGCCAGTCGGAGGAGTCGGACAAAGACAGTGACGACAGCTTCAAATCTGTCAGCTCAGCGGACGAAGACGACGATTTCAACCCGTTCAGAGACGAGTCCGATGACGACGAGGAAGATGGTGAGACTACCGAGTGAGGTTGTGGACGTTGAATTAAGACGTTTTATATCCAACTTACAGCGAACCTCTGTGTTCCTCTGCTTTAGATCCATGGCTTATCAGAAAGGAACCAAAGAAAGGGAAGGAGAAGAAGAAGAAAAAAAGAAGGAAGAGTATTGATCCAGACTCCATTCAAAGTGCCTTGTTAGCCTCTGGGCTGGGCTCCTCCAGGCCTGCTTTCACTGCCTCTGTTATTCCCCCGAGCGCACCTGCCACAGGTGAGCATGTTACCACACGAAAAAGCAGAATGATGGCTCTCCATTTCAGCTTTTTGAGGATTAAAGAGTGCTTTTGTTTTTACTTGTTCTTAAGTCAAGCCAGAGGTTCAGGATAGTTGCGTAACGAGTGAGGACGCAGTGGATAGTGCCCAGAAAATGAAGAGAGATCTGCTGGAAAAACTGGAGGATCTAGCTGAGGACCTCCCTCCCAACACTCTGGACGAGCTAATAGACGAACTGGGAGGTCCCGACAACGTAGCTGAGGTATAAACGTTTGTGCTTGGCGTCAAACTGTTATTTCTTTTTCGTTGCTGTCTGTTTTTCAAAACCAGGTGATTAGTTTGTATCTTAACTTAACGTAAATGTCTTCAACTGTGCTTCAGATGACTGGTCGCAAAGGTCGTGTGGTCAGTAATGACGATGGCACCATCACTTATGAATCTCGCTCTGAGCTGGACGTCCCCGTGGAAATCCTCAATCTCACAGAGAAGCAGAGGTTCATGGATGGAGAGAAGGTAAAGTCCAGTCAAACTTTATTTATGAAGCCCGAAATCACCATTTGCCTCAGATGGCTTTAAAATCTGTACAACATTCAACACTTTCTGTTCTGGTAATGAAACTTTTTAATGAGGAGAAAAGGGAATAAACATTGTGCGACCAAGTTATTGTGGAAATGGGAACAAGCTTTTACCAAACATGAATACTAATACCTGAATCAGGACTAAGGGCCCACTGCCTTGAGAATCTTTCATTCCCACAGTTCACTTATTCTGGAACAAGGAAAGAAAAACCAAGAGGTGTGAACATGAAGTTAAATGGACTGACAGGGTTACTTATTCATCAGGACCGACATTGGGAAGTTCTGACAAGTCGAGCCGCACCTCATTCGTCTCGCTGTGTTCATTTATGTTCTCTGGTGTCACCAAGAAATAACAAATGTTATCAATAATGACAAACGGGATGGAAAAGAGGAATCTTATACTACAGTATTACAGAAGTGAAGCTGCTGTGTGGTCACATGTTCACCTGCTGCTCATCTGTTTTGGTTCCTTTTTGATTTCCTGATAAATCAAAGGAAATACAAACGGCCAGAACATGGATTTAATAGTAGTTACGCTTTTGAATTCATTGTAAAAATCACACCTACTGTCTCAAAATCTTGTAGTCGGTCCGCTTTGCTCTCTCACAAGAAACAAGTAGCACCAGGATCTACTTGGTAGCAGCTCTTTAGATCTTCTCAGTGGGATTGTTTTAGTCTACACCAGAGCTCCTTCGACAGCTTTGACAGTTTTCACACCAGCACAAACAAACTCAACACACAACCACGCCAGAGTTTGTTTGAACTGCACAAAACCAGTTAAGTGTGAAAACACTTTAAGTTGCAACAAACCAATTTATTTTACTAATTGGTGCAGCGCCCAGGCTCATAATCTCTTGTTATTGTGTTCCCCAGTGTTACACCGCACAGTGTGATTTCATATCCAACTACTTTTTCTCTATGAAAACTAATTGTAAGTATCTTTCTTTTCAACCAGAACATTGCCATCATCTCAGAAGCTGCCAGCTCAGGTATTTCCCTGCAGGCCGATCGTCGAGTGAAGAACCAGCGGCGGAGAGTCCACATGACACTGGAGCTGCCGTGGAGCGCAGACAGAGCGATACAGCAGTTCGGTCAGTACATATAAACCTTTCGCTGAAAAGCCTCAACCAAAACCTGATTACAGTTAAAAAAACTGACCCCTTTGTACCTGACAAAGCACCAGTTTGAGCTCGTTCTACTTTCATGTGATGTATAGAGAATAATCGTATTGTTCAAAATGAACCAAACGTTCTGCTGCGTGGTTTGTTTGGTCACAGGGAGAACTCACAGGTCGAACCAGGTCACCGCTCCAGAATATGTCTTCCTCATATCGGAGCTCGCAGGAGAGCAGAGATTTGCATCCATTGTCGCCAAAAGACTAGAAAGCTTGGTGAGAACAAATCGACTGTATTATTCTTGTTTTTTTGTTTTTTTTTTGTGAAAATTTATTTAAAGAAAGTTAAATATTGATATGAAATATTATCTGTGTGTGTTTAATTCTTAACAGGGTGCTCTCACTCACGGAGACAGAAGAGCAACAGAAACCAGAGATCTCAGCCGGTTTAATTTTGACAACAAAGTAAGTACATCAATTGTCTCGGAGGTTATTAATGTTTTTATGTGCCAGTGACTCACTCACATTTATCTTTTTCCTACAGTACGGCAGAAACGCTCTGGAAATTGTGATGAAGTCCATCGTGAAGCTTGATTCTCCGTTAGTGTCTCCCCCCTCTGGCTTTAAAGGTGATTTCTTCAAAGGTACGACTTATCTGCTATTCCAGACTGGTTATTGCAGATCGTATTGATTTCTCTTCTTTTAATCAGTTGTTCTCATCTGTAGCTCTGAGTAATAACTGAATTTTTTTCCTCTGTAGAAATTCAGGGTGGATTAATAGGTGTGGGCCTCATAAATGTGGAAGACAGATCCGGCACACTTTCACTGGACAAAGGTGATTTTAAACTGTTTAACTTTTCTCGCTGTTAAATGTGATTTGCAACACACGTACACTTCTGTGGAAATCTAACTCATATACGTTGTTCCCGCTACAGACTACAACAACATCGGCAAGTTCCTGAACCGTATTTTGGGTATGGAGGTCCAGCAGCAGAACGCCTTGTTCCAGTACTTTTCCGACACGTTGGGAGCAGTTATTCAGGAAGCCAAGAAGAATGGCAGATATGACATGGGCATTCTTGGTAAGATGGTCAACCAAAATACAGAAATAAAACTGGTACAGAAGCCAGTTTTTTTTTTTTTACTGTTAAATTATTCAAGGCACTTTTGTCTGTGAGGATCAGTTGAGTCATAATCATCTGTCTGCCCTGAAGGTTGGATTTCAGTACCTCACTGGATCTGAAAGGTATCAAATGTTATTAAAAACAAATCTCTCTGTCTCTCTCTCTGTCTCTCTCCCTGTCCTCTATTAGATCTGGGCTCTGGTGATGAGAAGGTGAAGAAGGTAGACTGCAGGAAATTCCTAACACCAGGCTATACCACATCAGGACACGTGGAACTCTACACAGTATGTTTATATACACCATTTATACCTTCCTCCACTCTTTAAAGATTGAAGGTTGCAGCAACATTACCTGACTTTGTATCCGTCTTTTTTTTTTCCCACAGGTGAGTGTGGAGAGGGGAATGTCGTGGGAGGAAGCCACGCATGCTTGGGCAGATCAGAACGGAGCAGATGATGGCTTCTATGTACAGGTACAGGAGCTAGCTGCAACATTTGGACCTGCCCAGTACAGTAACAGTAAACCAAACTTCATAAGTAAAACGAATGGCGTCCCCCTTTTTACAGTTACAGTTAAGTACAGCGTGTATTTTGTTTTTTCAGATGAGGAACAACAAGAAAACAGCCATACTGATCAAAGAGGTCAACACCAAAAAGAGGCTCTTCCTGGTGTACAGGCCGAACACCGGCAGGCAGCTCAAACTGGAGACGTACGCAGACATCAAGAAGAAGTTTAAAAAGGTTACACAATATTCCTCACTGAGAAATTCATGTGAGAAACGCTCAATGATTTATGTGTTGAATCATGATTTTTTTTTTTTTTTTTTTTTGTTAGGTCTTGTCAGAAGACGCCAAGCAGCATTGGATCGACCAGTACAAGTCGTCAGCGCAAATCTGCTCTCATGCATATTGGTATGTGCCCTTTAGGTCCCTGTTAACTGTTAAGACTGCTTATATTTTATGTTTCTTTCCGTCAACAAATCTCATAAAAAGACAAACAAGGAAGTGTAACATATCTTCTGATGAACCTCCAAAATACTATTTAAAAAAAAAACCATCAATGAGCCGCACTGTTCCTTCATTACATTTATTTGGACCCACAAATACTCTCTAGAACACCGGGTGTAAATTAATCCGCTGTTGAAAATAGTCCCTAACAACCAATGCAATATTTACCCATTTTAGTAACATTGTCCAGCTGTTTTAGGATATTTTTTTAAATTTAAACTACACATTTGTGACCTGTTTTCAAAGATTTGTCTTAAGTAAAAACAAATGAGCTTAAAAGTCACAAACAGGCTGAGGAAGTCAGAAAATGCTGAAACACTTGGTTGGTTTATGTCTTTTTTTTTTTTTCCTAATCTACGCCTCACTGTTAACAGTCAACTTAACATGTTTGCTTCCACCTTCCACCGTTATGAACCCCGCTGTGTGTGTTTGTGTGTTTTCTGCCCACAGGCGGGGGAACTGTAAGAAGGCGTCGGTGGGTCTGCAGTGCGAGGTCGGTCTCCGGTGTAGGACGTACTACGTTCTGTGTGGCTCGGTGCTCAGTGTGTGGAACGAGGTGGAGGTCGTACTTACTCCAGTCAGCGGAACCAACGTGAAGGTGCAGATTGTCCGCCTCAGAACGGAAGATGGACAGAGGATAGTCGGTAAGTTGAAGGGCTTTTTGGGGAAAACCAGCTTGCTTGGTTTCTTGCCGAGAGTTAGAGAAGATTGATCTTACCTTTTTAAATCCTCATCCTCCCCTTTGGGAAATAAAGCCACATTGAGCTCCCTCCATCATTCTCTATTCAAGGCCACATATTCAAGGTGTCTGCAGGTCTTAAAACTCTAAAGCATTTAATTTAGTCTCCTAAAAAAGGCCTTAAGAATTATTAAAGTCTTTAATATTACTTTAATATTGTCTCTTGCCTGTCGTAAGCCATAATGTTAATTATAAATCACTTATGTACCACGATGCGGGCTGTCGGCAGACTTTATACATCTATAAACTAAAACTGGGATTGTTGTGAGAGCTGATTCTGCTGTAGGTGACTGTTGGCTCTCACAGACCTGCAGCAAACACTCACTACTGCAGCTACAGTAGCAGGAAGCTCATCAACTCATAATGGGCAAAAAAAATTCATTAATAATCCATTTTCACGTCCAACTGAGAGGAGAGGGGAAAAAAAAACCAAAGGTTTTATTTTACCAAAACTTTACATTTAAAAAGACTTTATTTCTTTTTTTTTTTTTTATTTTTAGGTTTTTTTTTCTTTATTTTTTTTTCTTTTCTCCCCCCCCCCCCTTTTTAAATAAAAAAAAAAAAAAAAAAAACAACAAAAAAAAAAAAAAACTTTTTATTTTTTTAAAAAAAAAAAAAAAACAAACACCCAAACCTTACAAAAAAAAAAAAAAAAAAAAAAAAAAAAAAAAAAAAAAAAAAAAAAAAATTAAAAATTTTTTTTTTTTTTTTTTTATAGTTTTTTTTTATAAGTTGCTTGTTTTAATCCGTACAAAAACTGGAGTGTAAAAATGACGAGTTGAGCTTATGTGCTGGAATATTTCTTGCCTGGGAGCAGTGATTATTTTCCAGTTTCATATTTACCGTACAGACATGAGAGTGGTATTGATCTTCTCCTCTAACTCTCACAATAAAAGTGAATAACGTCGAACCCTTTTGCTTTTAATATGTGCTATAAATATCCCCACCTTTTGTTCATTCTCAACCCGTTGTTTCTCTCACAGGACTGATCATTCCAGCGAACTGTGTGTCTGCTTTAATTAACAAGCTCTCCACGTCGGACCAGTGCCAGCAGCTCGCCGTGCAGGAGCAGCAGAAGCGGCAGCAGCTCCACCCCCAAAGTTTCAGTCACGCACCCAACACATAGTGCCGCACCCGACTGCTTTGCGGGCGTCGATCCCATCTCCACCCCCTCGAGTTCGCATCCCAGTCTGAAGGGATTAGTCTCTATCTCTGCACTGCAGACTCCAGGACCTTGTTCTGCACCCTCACGCCCCTCCTCCCCTAATGTCTCCGAGGGTCAGAGGTGTCACACCAAGCTGTGATGATTCTCAGATGTAAACAGTGGTTGTACAGAGAAAAGATTTCAGGGGTTTTCTTCTTTTTCTTGTTTTTTGTTTTTTTAATCTTCACCTAGAGAGGTTTGGTGGGTGATGTTTTGTCCTCTGACATTCAGAGTGAAAAGATTTGTGATATATTGATCAGACAGAGTGGAAACCTAGAAGAGGGCATGTCGGCCCGTGGCACTCCCTCAACCATGCTTTAGGCTGTTCAGTCCTGACTACCTGGTATGAAGCAAAGACTTCTGCTTTCCTGGTTCAGACTAAAGGTGGATGAGACGAAGACCAGTGTGTCTTTGGAAGTGTGAGAACTACCTTTAAATTGTGAAAAAAGAAAATAAAAAGGGCATTTAATGCTGAACTACAATCGGATATTAATATATGATAAACTGTCAGTTTGTTGCTCCTCCTCCGTTACTCGGGACCGACGTAGAGAACGAGACGGCTCTTGGAAGTAGAATAAGTGATGCAGAACATTAGTCCAGTTAAATACAGGAAACAGATAATGCTAGTGCTAATTCTCTGGTTCCTTGCAGCTGTTTAATGTCTTCACTGTCAGATTCCACAAAGCAGTTTCTCTCGTCTTTGTTTTTGCACATGGTTGTCAAACTGATCAAAGTCCCTCGGTCCCTTTTTTTTTTTTATTTCAGTTTTTTGTTCCTCGCCCAGATGGAAGAGGTGGAGGATAAAATCTACAGTCTTTCTGTAAAAATATTTCCTAAAAGTTTATCTGAAGCTGCTCTGAGGCTTCTGTTAGACACGTGGATATCTTCCAAAGTTACGGCCTCTTTTACGTTTCCTCGTTCAGCTGAAGTAGATGGACAGAAACTAAAAGGGTTTTTGTACTGAAACATTTCCACTCAGAAGGTCTCGTTCATGTCAGATAAACGAATAAGAATTGAGGATTTTGTCTCCCATCGCTTACGTTGAAAGGATTGCATCAAAAACTGGTTTAAGACTGGCTGGCTGAAAATGTGTGAACTGAACCTTTAACAGCAGGAATTTTCCTCAGTATCAGTACAAACTGCAGTCGGACACCTTTCCTTTTACAAAAGCACTAACTTTGTCAGACTGGTGAAAGACAGCATCAGCTGTCTGGTGGTTTCTATTTAAAGTGCACAAAAGTAAGAAAATGTTTCCCAAAGATAAATATTGAAACAGTAAAAACAGACACTTTAATTCTTCCTGTGTAACATGAATAAAGCAGCATTGTATATGGTTTATAACTCACTATAATGTAGTTATAGGCAGGACATTTACAGCCGTTAGAACTCCTCCTGTGAACAGATGTTTTATATTATTCCAGCTGTGTGTTACTATATTGTCATTATCTGTTTATACAGCAGCATCCAGTAATGGGTGCCCGCAGGAGGAGTTAGAGCTCTTTATAGTGTGTTATAAAGCATTAAGTGAATGTTTATATACGTGCTGGAATAGTGTTAAAGCCAAGAAAACGCTAGCTTGTTGCTTCCCCCCCCCCGACTCTACGTGAATACTTACTTTTAATCCCACCTTCGGTCTTTTAACTCGACTTTGAGTAAAAGCGAGACCGGACTCGGTGTGGTTCAGAGGAAACGGGAACGTTCAGTGAAGCAGCCCGAGAGAAAATGTGACGAGCATGTCCGCGGACAAAGACGGGAGCAGTCTCCAGCGCCGTGCTTCTGATTGCTTTTTAATTATTCTTTTTTTTTTTTTTTTTTAATGGAATTCTGCTCAGGGGTTAAACTCGTACAAAGACCCTCTTTGGAAAATCTTTAGAGTTTTACAAAGTATGTGAAATGCATGCCCATAACTCAAACTGCTCTGTAACGTTAGCTCTGTGGTTAGCTGTTAGTTTACAGCTCCTATCCTCACAGTACATGTTCCCCAAAAAACACATCTCTCTTAATTCCTCTGTTTCCTTTTTGAGCCGAGTTGTAATTTAAAAAATGGGTGATTTATTATTATTTTTTTGCTTCTGTTGAATAGTGTCCTCAGTCCTTCACTGCTTCCCACTAGATCTGCACTGGAAGGGACAGACCAAAGTCCGGATACATGAGCTGTCCTCTTTATTGCTGATGATTTAAAATACAGGATGTGTCGCTCAGGCTACATCTTTAACCTGTGGATTAGTTTGTGTTTATGTAACCTCTTCTGTTCTTGACTGACACATTTACAAAAAAAAAAAAGCGAAAATAGGAAGAAGTCTTTGTATCATACCAATGTGCGTTTTGTATACTTTGTAAAAGGATTCTTCTTACATCTCAGCCGTTGGACCGAACTGGGAGAGGCTTCGCTGGGAGGCTCTCTTAATTGAAAGTCACATCTTTTAACTTGAATGTCCACCATTATATAAGCCAACAACTCATCTTTTTTTTATTATTTTGGTCTTTTGAGATGTCGCATACACGGGCTGCCGACTTGGTGACTTTTTTTTTTTTTTGAATGCCGTAAAAGTGTCGCAGCAGATCGGCTCCTCCGAAGTCGAAAACACTTGAAGGACTAATGTTTTTTTTTTTTTCCTCTCTTCCTTTTATCGTTGCACGAGTTGCACTACTGACAGAGTTGTACAAATATTCAACATGACCTGTACATGAATGAGTGCAATGCTCAATAAAGCTTGGTATACTTCTACCTCTGAGGACTTTTTATTGCATTCCCACTGTAATGTCCCACAAATATATAGAACTTTTTTATCATTTTAAAACTGATTTACAAATTGGGAACAGTTTTCTTTGTTTTTTAAATTTACTTTTTATTAGATTTGTCTGTTAAAGAGTGCAGGTAAACAAAAAGGGGTAAATAGATCAAAATAAGGTGAAGATCATCTCTAAAACAATCCAACATCTATACATGTATACAAATATGCTCTCAAATATCCATATTTGTACATGGAAGAGAATAATTATTTCTAAATGGAAGATATATTCCTTTATCTCCACTGTATTCCCACTATACAAAGTCAGGCCTTACAGCTGACACTTGTCAAATTCTCATTAAAGATAACAACTTGAGTTCTTAGTTTAAATGTAATTCTCTCCATTGTGTCTGTTTATGGTTGCTGTGTCCAGTTTCTGGTTAAATAAAGTAGTCGAGTCCTGTTTTCCTTCATTTAAGAGCTGTTTCTGGAGTAAAAAAGATCTGGAAGAAGTCATTCAGGACTGTGTCTCCCTCCCTCTCTGTTCATTTAATAATTGATTTCACTGATCGCTCCTACAGAAAAGTTTGACCCCTTTGTGAGCTTATATTCTCAAACCACTTTATAAACCCTGTGTTTTTTAGAAAGCTGCTATATCACCGAGGAAGATGATTTTAAAATAGAACGAGCCGGTTTTAATCACGGCTACTCGTTTATCACTGAGACCTTTTTGTTTGGGCTCGTTCCTGTGAAACTGCTACAGTTTGTTTATTTTTTTAAAGGTCTAAAGACCCTTTTGTTGCTGCATTTTCCAAAAACCGACTCCTTGAAAGGTGTTTCAGGAAGAGAAAGTAAGTATTGGGATTCTTTTACTTGAGTAAAAGAAGCAATAAAACAGTAGAAATACTCCATTACAAGTAAAAATCCTGCTTAAAATGTTACTTAATAAAAGTATGTGAGCTAAATGTTATTGAAGAGTTATTGAATTATTAATTTTCACTACTTTTATACTAGAGGTGGATGATCCTGTAACAGTACATTATATTTTAAAAGATTGTCACATGTTTTGTGTATAAAATCTTAATTTCTAAAAGCTGACAAAGAACATTACTCTGTAAATATGAAAGTTACACATCAAACCAACAACTTTAGTTTATAGATAAAAGATGATGTGTAAATTATTAATGAACTATTTATTGAATATATCTCTAATCTCTTCAAGTAATATTTTATAAATATATGTTTTAAATGTAAAATCATACAATAACAATCTAATAATGTCATATAATATATATAGTCCCTTTATTGATATATACTGATGATACTTCTGTACTTTTATGATTTTGAATGCAGAAGTTTTACTTGTAATAGAGTATTTTTACTTTAAAAACATATTATCCTGCCATTTTCAGAAAGAATAGAGACCCAATCTCATCAGTTAAACATATAATATAGCAATGAAAACACTCCTCGGACCTTCAGATGACAATAATACTAGTAATAAATAAGATACAACAGATAATCATAGTCTAAATTACAGTATAAATGTCATTTAATGACATAATATAAGTATATATTATTAAATATACAAGTATAATCAACTTTAAAAGTGGATTATGAGGCTGATATTGATATTTGGGAGTTTAAAAAGTCTGATAACATTGTATTAGTCAACTATTAGAACTATGAAATAGAGACACTGTTTGTAAACGAAGATCTGTTCTGCTTAAAATAATAATCATTCTCGTTATTGATGAATCTACCGATCATTTTCTTGATCCATGTTTTGATTCTTTGGTCTATTTAATGTCGTAAAATAGTACATATGTTTTCCCAGAATGTCTCGTTTTGTTTCACCAGCAGTTTAAAACCCAAAGACGCGAGTTCACTGTCACATAAAACAGAGAAAAGCAGTGAAATCTCACATTGGAGGAGCTGGAAACTGATTTTTCTGGGTTTTTTAGTTAGAAAATATGACTTTTAATGTGATAAACTGAAGGATGAAGTGGAAATTCTTCTACTTCTTAAACTAAATAAACTACTTGGATGAGCTGGATGGATCGTCACAGAGCTGAAATACTTCTACTGCTGCTATGTTATGTACATTATATATTATATATGTTGGATCTGAGTGAGATGTTTACTTCTTGTGGTCACTGTTTGTATTGCTGGAACTGAAAATATAATGAAGAATATTGTTGTTTTTTGTTGTTTTGGTACTACTTGCTTCCAGCTCTTGTTTCCAAACACTTTTTTACTATTAACTCCATTATGTTGATGTAAAATCTAACCTTAAATCAAATATACCTACACAAAGTTCCCTGCTGGGACTAAAAATGCAATAAATTAAGCTTTTTTTTGTTATTTTGGTACTTTTACTTAAGTAAACATCTTCCACCACTGTTTTTCTGGACAATATTATAATGAAATTAATTATAATACACATATTATTGCTTATTATTTGCTTCCAGCTCTTGTCACTGAAACAAACACTTTTCTTTACTATTAACTCAATTATTGTTGAAATTTAACCTCAAATCAAATATACCTACACAAAGTTGCTTGTCAGGACTTAAAATTGATTAAAAAAATATTGTTTAAAATGAGAATACTTAAACCTCTTTTTGTCATTTTGGTACTTTTACTTCTTCCACCACTGTTTTTATGGGACAATATTATAATTAAACTAATTAAAATACACACATTTTCACATTAACAGTGTTGAAACCTGACTGTACATTCACCAAACACATCTTGAAGTCAAACACTGTTCACCCACTGTTATCTGCCCCCATCGTGGGGGCTACCTGCCCCCTTTTGTGGGGGCCACACCGCTGCACCAGAGGGGTCCCAGGTCGTGACACTGGAGGCCAGGATTGGGCCAAACCCTGTGGCTGTGCGTCCAACCATGAGGGGCCTGATGGGTCGAGGGTTGAGCTGCCTCCTCCTGTTGAATGGAAGAGGAGCCACATGCCTCCAGAATCAGAGTGGATCCTTTATCGACTCCAACTCTTCTTTGTTGATGTGAAAGCTCTGCAGACTCACGGAAGCAATGGATGCGCCCCCACAGACAAAGACAGGTATGTGCAAACTGCTTCCAGCTCTGGTTCCCTTCAAACAAAAGCTTTTCTTTTTTTTATTTTATTTTATTTCACTATCATTTACATTAGTGTAAAAAAAAATAAATAAAAAAAAATAAAACACATCTTCACTTTAAGCTCCTGCTTTTTTTTTTTTTTTTTAAATAAAAAATAAAATCTTGCTTTTAATGTGATTTTTAAAAATATTAAGAGTTTAAAATAAGTACAAAGTGTTTTTTTTTTTAATGTTTACACTTTTTTAAACATTCATTATTTTTTTTTATTAAAAGTGTATTAAAAGTGCAGTTTAAAGTGGAAACTAAATGAGTGAAATGTGTGTTAAACCGTGTGTGTAGATTCCGCCGCTTTATGGTGGAAATCACGTTTTAACCATTTCTTTTTCTTTTTTTTTTTTTTTTTTTTTCCTTTCCTTGATAACCCGCAATGGATAGTAAGCAGTGTTAGAAAGCACAGTGGGTGTCAATATAAAGTGACGGCCATATTTGCCGGTGCCGCTGTTGTAAACAAAAAGTGAGAGACAGACGCTTCACTGAATTTCGGGTCATTTTTATTTCTTTAATTTACAATGTCTTTGGGAATGTCTTATAAACCCAATGTCCATCAGCACATTCCGGGAACTTCTGGGAACCAGGGTAAGGAGAAAAAATGGGGGGAAATCAAAGTATCCGTCCGTTAAATCGAGTGTTAAATTCGGGGTCTCGGAGAATACCTGGAGAAAGACCGTGTCTGTAGTTTTTGTCCAGTTATATATATAGGGTCAGATCCTGGGAGCTAGGCTAATTCATATCCGCCATTATTACTAATGTAAAAAGAGCGCCGTCCGCGGCGCGAGGCGGCGGCGAAACGACGGTTGGGATGTGAAAACGAGGCGGCGGCGGTTCCGTAAATGTGGTTCTCCGTCGTCCCGGGTCCTCGTCCCGCCGGTTGGGAGCCGTTACACGGTGACAAAAATGTATCACTTTGTGTCTTCTTGAGCCAGCCTTGTTCCGTTTCCTCCATGATGCTCCTCGGTCGGAGCTGCTGATTGATCTGCCTCTGAGAGGTTTTTATGACTCTTCGAGGACATCTCGTGTTGGAGGTTGAATATTACAACCGAAACAAAGCAGCAGGGGAGAGTGGAGGGAGGACAAACACGCACAGAGCAACCCTCCCCACCAGACTCCGTTCATTTTTTTAGGGATTTAAGGGTTTACGGTTTAAAGTTTTTTTTTTTTTTGGTGTTTGATTATTTTTTTTTATGTTAGCAAACTTTATAATACAATTAATTAATTAATGCTATTCTCTGTTTTTATATAATATTTGATATAGTTATATGAGTTACAGTTGAATATTACAACCGAAACAAAGCAGCAGGGGAGAGTGGAGGACGACCAAAAAAACCCCAAAACAGAACAACCCTGCCTACCAGACTCAATTCATTTTTTTACTGATTTAAGGGTTTACGGTTTAAAGTTTGTTTTTTTTAGTGTTGGATTCTTTTTTTGGTCGGCAAAATGTATAAGTAGAGCTGCAACAATTCATTGATTAGTTGATCGAAAGACAATTGATTAATGCTTTTCTCTGTTTTTATATAATATTTGATATAGTTATATGAGTTACGGTTAATTATTACAACTGAAACACAGCAGCCAAGAGTGGAGGACACAGCTCTGCCCACCAGACTCCGTTCATTTTTTTAGGGATTTAAGGGTTTACAGTTCAGAGTTTGTTTTTTTGGTGTTTGATTATTTTTTTTTATCTTAGCAAACTTTATAATACAATTAATTAATTAATGCTATTCTCTGCTTTTATATAATATTTGATATAGTTATATGAGTTACAGTTGAATATTACAACCGAAACAAAGCAGCAGGGGAGAGTGGAGGACGACCAAAAAACCCCAAAACAGAACAACCCTGCCTACCAGACTCAATTCATTTTTTTACTGATTTAAGGGTTTACGGTTTAAAGTTTGTTTTTTTTAGTGTTGGATTCTTTTTTTGGTCGGCAAAATGTATAAGTAGAGCTGCAACAATTCATTGATTAGTTGATCGAAAGACAATTGATTAATGCTTTTCTCTTTTTTATAATATTTGATAGTTATTAGGTTAGGTTAATTTTACAACTGAAACAAAGTTATATGAGTGGAGGACACAGCTCCCACCAGACTTGTTTTTTGGGGTTTAACTTAAGTTTACAAGTTTGTTTTACAGGATGACTCCAGTGTTGGATTGTTTTTAGATCAGCAGAATTAAGTAAAGCTGCAACGGTTCATTGAGTAGTTGATCGAAAAAGACAATTTATTCCTCCTTTTCTCTTGTTTATATAAATGGAAGTTGAGTTTCAATATTACAACACTTGTTTTCAGTATCGATAAAGGAAAATAATCGTTGGTTACGGCCCTAATTAGCTTTGTTTTATTTATTTATTATACATTTCCCTTTTCCTCTTCTCCTTTCCCATCTGTCCATGCGGTGTATTAAAGTGTCGTACATTTGCGATGTTATATTATTATCAGTTTGCAACAAGAAAAAAAGCTCCTACATCCGGCAGATGTGTTTGTTTTTGCTACTTTTAGTCTTGACTGATGTCAACTTGTGCTTTCTGAACAGTTGGAAACCTCCAGTCTCCCTCAGCAGCTAACCTGGCCACGTTGCAGTCCTACAGGCCTCTTCTGAGTGACTATGGACCGCCATCTCTGGGATTCTCACAGGTAACCGCAATCGAACTGAGGCAGCCGAAACCACACAGACATTTCATCTATCTTCTTCCTGTTTAAACTGTGACAGATTAACTATTACTTGTAGTGTATGTATTTTCACAGTGGACAAAAACCTGCCCACCAGACTCTGTTCATTTTTATGGGAATTTAAAGTTTTTAGCAACATAATCTTCAAGTCAAATGTTTTTTTAGGATGTTTCTACTATTGGCTTATTTTTATTGTCATTATCGATTAATCTGTGAATAATTTGCTCGATAATCGATTAGTTGTTTGGTCCATAAGGTGTATTAATATGGTAAAACATGTTGATCAGCCCAAGGTCACCTCCTCAAATGACACAAAGATATTCAGTTTACTGTCATAGAGAAATAAATAAACCAGAAATAAAGAGAGTACTTCTTCCCCCACTGCTGGGTAGCACTCCACATGACTAGGAATATTAAATTAATTGAATTAAATATTACAAAAGTGTCTGTTTGTGCCTATTTTCCTTGCCCTTTCACAGGAATATTTGTCATTTTTGTTGCACAATTCTTCTTCACACGTCTTTCTTCTGTCACTGCGTTGTTCTCTGGACTAAGATTGCCTTCCGCATACCAAAAAAAACAGTGCGAAACGTGTTGAACCTGGCTTATCTTCCTGTTTGCTCAAACTTCAGGGCTCCTCTGGTAGCCAAGTGCCTCAGAACAAATATGCAGAGCTGCTGGCCATCATCGAAGAGCTTGGAAAGGAGATCAGGCCCACGTACGCTGGAAGCAAGAGTGCAATGGAGAGACTGAAAAGAGGTAAACCTCCATAATGCAGAACAATTAAAGTGCAAGAAAACATATAATTCAAAATGGAGTCTAACTGGTGTTTTTCTTCACACAGGGATAATCCACGCCAGAGGGCTGGTGCGTGAGTGCTTGGCCGAGACGGAGAGAAACGCGAGGTCCTAGCTACGAACACGCACACATTCCTCCCTGCAAGAAGAGCTAACAGCGTGTCTCATGAAAAAAAATAAATAACTTGCATGGCATTTCCTTCGAGAAGAGGAAGTAAACGAACAAAGGATGGAAAAGCGAGCTCCTAGAGAGAGAGTAAGAGAGAGAAAGAGAGAGGGGGAAAAAAAAATACCACAATTCATGACTCCTGAGGGTTCTGGAGGATCATTTAAAATCATGCGTGGGTTATTGGGATTCAATTGAGAGGATATCGTGTTTTTATGCCCCCACTTTTGGGATCTTAGTTTTGACTTCATATTTAAAAACGTTGATTTCTGCATGCGGACGGGCCCGTGGGTTAATTGTAGACAGTGCATGGCTTGTACAGGGGTAGATGGAGAAGTTCTTCTTCTTTTTTGATAGTATTTTGGTCTGTTTTTCGGACCCCTATAACACACATGACTGAGTGAGTGAGGGACAGAGATGTGCCAAATGCATCGGTTCATTCGTGTTGAGGTTGGTTTTGGTATTAAAAAAAAGGAAAATGCTGTTACTTGCATCTTTGTATGTATTTATTACTCAGTGTAATAAATTGTATTTTCAATATAGGTGTCTTGTGTGATTCAGTTTTGATGAGCCTGTGTTTCTACCCAAAAAACATATACCGGTTGTTTCTGTGCAAAGGTAGCGGAAACTTCAAATATGGTCGAGTCTCCGGTTCTTGTTTGTTTCCATCATCATCAAAAAACATTAATAATTCCCTGCAAATGCATTAAAACTAAAGAAACATGCTGGTTTTTAAGATGTTAGAAGTTGAATGTGTAGATATTTATGTAAAAATGTTGGGGGTAAAAGTAAAAATGTAAACTGGAGAAACCTGAAATAACTACTTAAGTACGGTTGTGAGTGACAGTGGTGGAAAATAACATTTCACTACATACATTTACTCAAGTGTTTCCTGGTTCTGATACTTTATACTTTACTACATTTCAGAGGAAGATATTTTGCTTTTTACTTGTTCAGCTTTTTGCCATGTTTCTAATGAGTTGTTAACAGCTCCACAAAAGAGACATTTCCTCTCTAAACCTCTCAGATAGTCTCTTTTAAACAACAGTTTGAGTCTCAAAGAGGTAAAATTATCCAATATTTCACAAAAAGATGAGAGAAAAAGTCCAGAAATATCCTATATATATACTATATGTGCAGCACAACCTCTCAGATTTATCTGACGACCCTCTGAAGGGACCCGAACCCCCGGTTGAGAACCACCAGACTAAACAATCTAACTGTATATAAAGTAGTTCAAACTAAAACATCTGCTGCAGCTACAACAATAACAGTAACTCTAACTGTGATATGTAATAACGTGTTTTTCTCTGCATAATGAGTAGTTTTACTTTTTGCTGATGATACAAAGAGAAAGTAGTCGTACTTTTATTTAAATGAAGGATCTGAATACTTCCTCTACCACTGGTGAAAATAAAGGAAAACTACAGGGAAAAGAAGGTTTCTGTAAGTTATTATAATGAGAAACTTTCTTAAAATGTTGACATAACATCTTAAAATACCATCCTACTATCACAAAGTCATCATTTTAAAATACTGAGTCCATATTTTGAGAAGGTTTCTCATTATAATTACTCACAGAATCCTTTTTTCCCCTTCACATTGGCAGAAATTAGCTTCCATACATGTGAATAACTCGTGAATAACTTTCTTCAGCTGAGGTATCTTCCGGGGCGACTCAGTCGTTACGACCTCTAATAGAGTTGGCGTTTCAAACTCTGGCTGTTGAAGAGTCCTTGAACACGACAATGAGCTCCAGACTGCTCTCAATGGAGTGTGAGTGAGTGTGTAAGCAGATAAAGCTCTTTGGATGCAGTTCATTTCATCTCAACACTTTCAAGTAAAAGGAGAAATGTCAATGTTTGTAAACTGCTAATGGTTTTTAACTTGCAGATCAGATTGTGCCTGTATTAAACTGTCAAAGGCCATTGAAGTATCTTAAGGGCTACTTAATGGTAACATAATAGTGGCTCAGAGCAGTAATTCCCAACCATTGACAGTATATGTGAGTTCCCAGCCAGCAGTGCTTTGGCTCCAGGCCCAGCTGATTCAATTATCATTTTTTTGTTTAGTTTATAAAAACACACATCCAATTATTTGTGTGTTGTCATAACAAACAAAAGTGATGCTTATGTTTAGTATATTAATTCATATATACATACATATGTATCAAAATGGGCCGCCACCAATCATAGAAGATGAAGTAAATCATAAAATATTTGTATTTGAGAAACTGGAAGCAGATATTATTTGCTTAAAAATTTAAATAAAAACTGACGTAATTATACATTTTTAAACTATTTGCCAGTTAATTTTCTGTCTAACTGATAAATGGACTTTCAGCTGTAGTTTGCTGTGTGCACTGTACTTTATATGGTAACTTTAAGAAGTAATAGAGTACAAAATAATGCACAGAGGGCAGGAGGTGGGTCAGTACATGGATCAATAAAGACGCCCAAAACAGGTTATTCTGGCCCTGGGTTTCTATAGCTGAAGATCACAGTGCTTACTCACACCCACTGTTACAGAAAATATAATAATATATTAAATGTACAATGGAAATACACTGTAATATATGAAATACACTACAGGTCAAGTACAGTACAGGTTGCAACCGCCATTAAACATTAAACAGAATTAACTGTACAGCCAATATATCGTGTGTATTATATATGAATATATGAGACTAACTTGTGTAACAGATTAATCGATAATAAAACAGAGTGACGAATCAATACACTCAAAATATTGCAACAGATGTGTACGCCCCTTTTCCCTCCCTCCCGCCTCCCTCCCCACGAACAACCAATAGAAACCCGAGCTGGAGAGTAACAACCAATCAGAGCGCTGTATTTTTTTGATCTCGCTCGGACCAATAGGGAGGCGCGCTGCGACCGTTACAGCAGCCGGAGATCACTGCAGTGCAGCAGCCACCTTGTCTCCTCACACACACAGCAAACATGGATGAAACGACGATACAAGTCAACGGGTAGGTTAACTGTTATTTAACGTAACGTTGTGTGGGTTCGTCTGTTAAACAGTAGCTGCTGTTATAACCCCTCCCCTCCTCTCTTCTTCCCCCCCCCGCGCCTGCGCTCTGCTTACAAACCTGTAATAAAAACCAACTTAGCTCAACTTAGCTCGCTAGCTTAACCAATCCAACTGCCTGTCGCTGGTAGTTGAAGCCAGCGTGTTAGCGGGGTAACTCAGCCTAACTGACCCGGGCTCAGACAACTTTTACCGGTCTGTCACCGTAGCTAAACCCGCTAATGTAGCTGGTTTTTAATTGTACAAACCGCTGCACGGCTGTGGCTAATTATCTGCGCTCTGTGGATTGTGTTGTTAAGCTGGGTGTCAAAAGTTAATTGGCTATGCAGTCAAACCTGGCCAGTTCAGACAGACAGACAGACAGACAGACAGGCAGACAGGATGGCAGACAGAGGAGTGGATGCTAATACGTAGTATTTACACACTAGCATGAGGCTTTGGGATTGTTTTTGTTTGTGTTTTGAATGTCAGTAGCAGATGTAAGCTGAGGGATAAGACACGGATTGGGTGCTTATTCTTGGCTGTAAAAGCTGTGTAATAAACACTGCTTTTGTTGTGTCAGTTTTCACTTCTATACATTGCAGGAAAACACATACAGAGTCTAGTTTTCCATGTAAACACCTGGAATTTGATTTAAATGACCAGAAATCCTGGAAATAAATCTTGTAGTCCTGGGAATGTTTTTATTGTATTTTAGTTCCTCACTCACGTCACCAAATTTTCTGTAATACAAGATAAATGCCACTTGATTGGAACTGTTACTTCTGGGTTTAAGGTGAGAGGAAAGCTGTGGTGAAGCCTGTGCTCCACGAAAGCAAGCACACATAACACACAATAAACCTGTGACACTCCATCATGAACCCTGCATCGTTAAAAAAGAAGTCAATACCAGACACACCGTAAATTATATGACCGTTTATGAGCAAGTGCTGTCCTGTATCGCCAATAAAAACTCCTAGAAAATCTCCTGGAAAATGATTTCTTAAAAAACTTGACTTGATATTTCCCAATGTCTGACCTCCTGTTGTTTTCCCCTCTCTTGGTTTTCTAGCTGTCAGACTGACCCCCTCTGCATGGGCCCATAAACATGTCCACAGATGACAGTATCTCTGAGGATGTGTCCAGCTCGGGGGCTTTGAGCCATTGCCATGCCAGTGCTGACGGGGATGGGGGTAAGGAGAGTGAGACCTCTTTGGTGTCCTCTGAGGGGACATCAGCCTCGGGGCTGGCTGTCTCAGAGGACAGACACACAACCTCCCAGACAACAGGAGGCACTGTGGAGAGCAGGCCCATGGACATCACACCAGCATGCAACAAGATCAGGTGCAGTAACTGTAAACACACCACTGTGTATAGAAGATAAAGACTCTCTGTGCGGAGATTAAATATAAAACAGTGGCCACTAGGCACTAATTTAAATGTTCTTCCCACGTATAAATGGTGTTCAATTCCAACATTTTAATCTATTTCCTGTGAAGGGTCGTTGCTGTTGTAGTTTTTTGGATTTCCCTGAACACAGAAAATAGATTCAAATTTAATATCATTTATGTGTGGGAGGATATTTTGCATTTATTTCCAGAAGTAAAATCTAATTAGAGGGAGATACAGTATGCTGTAGAGTGTGAAGGCTTGTTTAGGTGTAGAAATGTATTTATTTCTTTTTAAATAAGGCTTAGAGAAGCTACTTGAACTTCGGCGAGAGAGGGAAAAAAAATCACTGCATTATCAAGAATTCGATGTCCTAATCTGATATGTAAATCTGGCCGGAGAACCATGTATATTATCTCTATCTTGCACATATAAAACAATACTCAGGTATTAGTGTGTGATTTTATTTCAGGAGTTTGTGTCTGAGCACAGATGAAGCATTTGAACAAGGGAAGAGCCTCCCATTCATCAACCCAAGCTCCCTCGAGACCCTTAGGGCTTTGGTGCAGGAGATCCAGAGCAGCGGCGAGACAGACCCTGAGATCTGGAAGGATTGTGAGGTGGGAATATACCAACCGAGCTTGAAAAGGCAGTAGTCGCTGTAAAGTGTGTGAACGAGAGTACAAGTGCACGCTGATGGCGCTGGAAGTGAAGTTAGGGTTAGCTGCTGTGGCAGTTGTTCTTGTGCGCTGCATTTGGCAGCTGGCAGCCTAATTTCTGAGCTGTCACTTTTATTTTTTGTGCGGATCACACCTGACAGTAAAATAGACACAGACACACACACACACACACACACACACACACACACACAGACCCTGACACACATATACAGACAGACACACACTGCAGCTGATCTTTTCAGACAGACGATGTGATTTGCAGAGAACAGACAAGCGTGATGTGCTACAACACAAAGAGACTTCACTGCATAGTTCATCAGGCTGGAGACCTTTTAGTTTATGTACCTGGTCATTAAAATGTCTTTTGTAAATGACTATATTGCTAAATCACTAGAGAATTATAGTTCCTCTTTAAATCACTTATATATATCAACTCTCTGATGCACAGCTGCTTCCCTCACACCTTCAGAAATACACACACATATATGTGCACACAGGGGGTTTAATGCACTTAACCTCATTGTCACTCACTCACTCAGTGTGTTTACATGCATTTAAGTAAATGTCATGTAAACGAGAAACCCAGTTGCTGTAGTCGGGCAGGAGCTTAGAGAAACCTGCTATATTTCTTTTGGATAAAGCGGATTTCTTTGTCATGTATAATATATGTGTAATAGGAGGATGTATGCGGTGCACATTGTTCTGTCTGCATATACAGACATGTTCACACACGTCAGGCTGCACACAGACTGATGAACTTCCCACCATGCAGACCCTTGCAGCCCCTGGGATGCTGGCTGTATAAATTGGCTTCAACTTTGCTTCTAATCAGCTTTTTACATGTGAGGAAGAGGAGGCTCCAGACAGTGAAAGTATAGCTGTGACAGCAGAGCGGTCTGGATGAAAGTCATCATCATTACACATACACTTGTTTTCTCAATAATCCATCCTGAACAAATATGACCCAAAGTAACCTCTGGAAGTCTGAAGCAGTCAGTTTACATCACTGAATCATTTTTACTGTCTGTCAGCTCACACACACACACACACACACACACACACACACACACACACACACACACACACACACACACACACACTACCACTGAGTGATGTATCACTGCAACAGTTAAAAGACAAAATAATTTGTGTCTGATATGGTTTTTCAACAAAAATGTTAATTTACCTGTTTAACAATTCTTAAAATTGACTCATTGGAAAATCCAAAATCTATGGAGATGTAAATATTGTTAATTTCAAAAGTTTAACTGCTGGACACAAGATGCCCAAACTAGTGGTGATATCCCAAAATCCTGAATGTACATCCATGTGTTAAACTGAGATTTAAGGTGAGCACAGAGAAACGTCTTCTAGTGTCAGCACATACATCATTTTGCACAGTGAAGGTCAAAGAGCCAAGTGAAGTTAACAATAAGGACGTTTCTAAGGCCTTTGTAATATGTTGGGAGTAGGGGATAATTAATGTACCTGTACCTGTATGTGTAGTTGTGGATGATTACCTGAGTAACCTGGTTTCTTGTGTGCATGTAAACATACTTGCTCATTAGGTGAGCTGCCCTTTTAATGCTTGTGGTGTTATGGGAGTTCATACTTTAGTTTAGAATCACCAGACGTTATGTTTCCACTTTGCCTCTGCAGTAGAGGATTGCATTGGGATTGGGATCCCGAGGGACCCATCGCATGACTCACTGGAGCGAGTGGTTTTCACTTTGCGGGCAGTCAAAAAATAAACTGTGGGTCTCGGGATTCAGCTGGTGCAAACTGCGAGTCAATAAATTAAGTTTTTACAAATTAAAAGCCAAACAAGACAAGTTTGACATCAGCAAATACAGTAAAAGACACATAAACTGTTTTATTATTGCGGGTGGGAATGGACACACATATATTAATGGTCAGAAGAAAACAGACCCACACAGGGTTTTGAATGTTGGTCTATATTAACAGTGTTGAAAATGATCCTGTCTCTGCTCCAGCTGTGAGTGATGACGGTACCTGACGCTTTGTTTGCTTTTTTATTGCGACAGGGCCGATGGTTGCATCTGTTTCAGCTGGTTGAGAAGCAATACCAAGAGCAAATACTCGCTCAGCAAGAACAATACCAGTGCCAAATACAGGTACAGCTTCATTTAGTCGTGTCTTATCACATGAGCTGATTTAAAATATTGTTATCCTGTGAAACAATAATGTGTTTGTTTTTTTTCCCCCCCAGTTGATTCAGGATGAAATTAAGGCCCTGGTTCAGCTCCAGAACCGCCAGGCCAGCTTCCAGGCACACACAGAGTTCTCTCCAACTCCGGTGACCAAAACTACCACAAACACAAAGGACTATATTTTTCCCTTACTCTCCAGTGACTGCAAAAATGTAGCCAGTGACAGTGACAGCCTGGCAGCCCCTGCCCATACCCCTTTTAGCTCCCCCTCACCTCCGCTCCAGAGATCAGAGACCGCCAACCAGGGGGAGGAGCGGGCGACCACAGTGCTCAGCAGTGGGTACGGAACGCTCTCTGCTTGGGAAACAAGCCTGGAGCCTGCTGGGTCTCCGGGGAAAGATGAGGATGGTAGTCAAGGGAGGGAGAAGCATCATTGGTCCCCAAACTTCCAGGAAGTCACAGAGACAGCTGTGATCGGGTGCCAGCAGGATTTTTCCAATGAGAGGACTCTGGGAGTAGAGGAACCCAACACATTAGTCTACCAGCAGAGAACCTCTGGGTATGTCTGAGCTGTCACATTAACCACAACTCCTTATGCTAGGGAGTCTGCAGGCCTTGGAAAGTCTTGATTTCAGGATAGTAAACCAACTGCTGCTAATTGAAAAACAACGGAGGAGGCAGATCTGATAGTATTGAAACAGAAAGCGGCAGGATTTCTCTGCATGCGTCTGGTTGTTGTGGAGCACATAATTAATCACCATGCAGTGTCTGCTGTATGTTATTGTGACATTGCACCAATCCCTGACACCGTTCACTGGTAACCTGTCAGTTTAAACATGCATTAACAGATTTTTTGGCCACTTGGGTGCAGAGGTAACATTCACATAACATCATCTAATTGCTCCTGTATGTTTCAGTCTGGTGATGAGTAGAGAAAAAGCTGCCCGCTGCAGCTGAAAATGACGCTGAGAGCAGTGAGAGTGAACTAAAACAGTACAGCTGTGGTCGGACAGCTAAACATCTCCATAAAGCTGAATGCAGGTGGCACTTCTCTGTACGTTCATGTACATCGTCGCGTTGTCGTTTTATGGATTTTTCAGAGCAAGGCTGCCGATGGCCCGAGATATAATGCCGATATCAAAGAAGAGTCATAATTCTATTATATTCTATTGGAAATTCAGGGAATAAGTTACAGCAGGATGCACAAGAGTACAGGGATCGAAATTAACTTTTTCACCACCTTCCCAAAACTCACAACAGCACTAACGTCATTCCACAGCAGGCATACTGACACGGCTGCCAACTGATGTGTCTGAGCACATTTCATCAGTCTATCACTAATTATAGACACTTAATTGATATCATGAGGAATTATTGTTACATACTGCTGGGAAGTGCTGACACAAATATGATATAAATGTCAATAAATTAATGGGCTTGGTAAATAATTCAAGGCCTTATCATTCCTACTGTTTTTAATTGATGTCTTTCATACTTTGGCCCAGTATGACCGCGCTCCATCTGGCATAAAAAAATTCCTCAGATTTCACCAACAGTTCGTCTGAGATATGAAATTAAACTTTGTACACTCACCCTGACTTCTCTTGGCAGCACCAGCCAGCTTTTGACCTCCTGGGCCCAGAGGCAGAAACTCAGGCCCAAGAAGAGCAAAGCAGGACAAGTTTCCCCCCAAGTTCCCGAGTACCAGGAGCAGCCACGCAGCCTCAGAGAATCCCACAAACAAAACCCCCTGGAGAGCTCAGACTCCCAGGACCAGGTACAGCTCACCAGGTTGTAACAGCTGCTCTTTAGGACGGATAAGATTTTTATCTCGGCCCTGTGCATCTGTAGTGTTTTTTGTTTTCGGTGTGTATGTCTGTTGTGGTTGTTCTGATTACATTTGATCCCTCCACTGAATCTAATCCACTCATCTCTATCGGGTTTCAGCAGCGACCGCCCGGGCCGTCGTCCAGCTCCTTTCCCCTGAGGAGGAGTGACAGCCTGATGTCTGAGGCATCAGGTAGCAATTCACTGACTCAGACAAAACACAGCACAGCAAGACTTGGGCCAGTGTGAAGAAATGACTGCCGATAAGGCTGTGATAGAATAAAACAATACAGAATATTACAGTTTTTATGAAAGATGAAGCCCTGTTGCAGTTACCACCAGTGGCAGTGAGAGGGCACTGTTGCACCACTAGGGATTTTGTTTATGAGGGAAAATGATATTAGTTCCTTTTTTAATTTCCTGAAACATGTCGCAAACATGTGTGTGTGTGTTTGCTAGTTATGCTTTAAACACAGTTTGAGCATTGAATTTGATGGATGTCGCCTGAAACTGCTGTGAAAGCAGAGCGAGACTGTAACAATACATCATGTCCCATAGTGTATTCCCCCTCTTGCAGTTATATTTAATGCTTTTTAAAATAAAAATCTCTGTCTTAGGCCTCACTTACTGGCGTCTGAATGAGAGCGAACTGTATCATCCCCTACCAGACAGCTTCGATAGTGGCGCTTACCTCCTTCTGCAAGAGGCGTCCGTGAGTCTTGTGAGTAACAACGCCTGGGACTGGTCTGATTGAGGGATGAGTAGTCCAGCAATCATTGATAGTGAATGTTATCGAGGCATGAAACAAACCATTAAAACTGTTAAATGCTTTAAATATTGAAAGTCAACTGGCTTTTAACTAAATGTGTCTCCTCCATCTCCCGTAGACTCCGTCTCAGGAGCCTCGGCTGTCTCTCAAAGAGATTTATCAGAACAAGCAAAGAACAGACTGTAAGCGCTCAGACTGGGAAGGCTCTGTTACATCCAGTCCTTCGTCACCACAGGTATGTGACGTGACTCAGCAGTGATGGGTTTAGTCCCTGGCAGAGCCTCTAACACACCCTCTTTGTGCTTTAGGTGTTAACTTTGGATCCAGCAGCTAACCAGCGGCAGTCAGATCGTACCTCCGGCTTCACTTCGCCCTCTCACTTCAGCAGCCCTTCGTTTGCAGCTCAGCCCCACCTCTACCCCAGAGTAGGGACCCCTGTAACCCCGGACAGCATGGTGGAGGGCAGCCACAACCCCGGAGATACAGACTGTATCTCTGATACCTCCAGTGTTTCAGCTGCCGGACCTTCCCCTTCTAAGGTGCAAAGCATGTGGGGAAACACATCCCAGGCAGTCCTGTTTACCTCCCAGGATAAGACCCAGCCCTGCTCCCACACATCCAGCCAGCAACGCAGAGCCAGTGCCCCCTTAGCCAGTGAGGAGGAGGGCAGTCACACCCACACCAGCACCCTGAAGCCTTGTTCAGCCTCTGGTGCCACTCTGCGGCCTGCAGTCAGTCCACACATGGAGAGAGCTTCATCACTAGAGGATCCTGTTGTCCTTTCTCTGTGAGTGTCACATGCACAGGGTGCTCATGCTTGATGGCATTTACACATATTTACAAAATTCTTTAGAGTAAAATAAGGAAGAAATAAAGTAAAACAAATTCTAAAAGATAAAATGAGAATTCAAAATATTTACAACAAATAGAGAAAGCCATTTAATAAAAGGGATTTTTAAGGAGGGGTTTAAAAGAACATACTGACTTTGCCTGAGACCAGATCAGACCCTGAGACCCAGCTGGAGGATCTCAAGCAGCTCTCAGGCTCGTAGGGTCACAGATAGAAGGATGAGCCAGACCATGCAAGGTGTTAGGAAATCAATTCTTAAAGCAGCTATAATCCATTTTTTTTTAGAACGACAATGTTTCAGATGACGATGTGAAGACTATGTGACAAAAGAGCTCGCTTGTATAGATGAACCTACAGAGAATTACCACCTGAATCTGTGGCTCCCCTCCGCTTTATGGAGCTTCATAATGAGTTTCAGCTCATTGTTTATCCAAAAACAACTAAAAGAGAGTGAATATTGGATTCATATTCATCATGTGGACACAAACATGTCAAATCAGTTGGTAACCAGTTAACTGCAGCACCCAGTATTGCTTCCTTTATTGTTCCTCTATCATTAAAAACAGTAGTGGACATTGTATTTACTCTGTGTTGTTTGTATGTAGTGTTGGTGTCAGGATACCTCATGATAGCAGTTTCATTCATCTTCTGCTTTTCCTTTTTCCTCCCCAGACTAAGGCAGAACCTGAGAGAGAAGCACTCTCGACACGTGGCTGATCTGAAAGCATATTATGAGTCTGAGATCCAAATCCTGCGGGACAAACTGAAGCTCAGAGATCTGCCCCAGGATTTAGAGAAGAGCAACCAGGCCCTCTCAAAGAGGTTTGTATCATCATTTATTCATTCTTGTAAATGAAGTAGTCAAGCCATTTAAAGACTACATTAAACAGGCCGTTAATTCTGAGGTATTGACTCGATTTTGAGGACACAAATGATTAATATTCAAAGTTTTGAGACCCCACATTTCCCCCAACTTAACATTATACTTCAGCTTTGTCCACTTTAACTCTGTACTGTTGTAATTTGTGTTCATGCACAGGTGTAAGCAACTAGAGAAAGCTCTGGCTGAGGCCACCAGTCGTATTCAAGAACTAGAGGCAACAAACAGCTCGCTGGAGAAAAAACTGGTAACGTTCCTCAAAATCCTTTTACTTTATTTGTTGTAATTAATGTTTTTTTTCTTAATATAGCAAACAACATTATGTGAAAAATAAAATGACTAGTAGTGTAGTGTCAGCAGGACCCCTTACAAGCTATAAATGCCTTAAATTGAATTCATAAAGGTCTTAAAAGTCATTAACTTGTCAGAAGAATCAGAAGAATTTCCACCTACTGGACCAACTATATTAGAGCAAGTTGGCTGCCTCTCATGCTGTGGTCCTATTGTGTAAGCAAAGCCTGTAATGCCACTTGTCAATGGATCTTTCCTTCAGAAAGGTCTTTAAATCATTAAACACAACTCTCTGATATCTGCAACCCTTTAATTAACCCGTGGGAAAAGTTGAATGGACCCTACTTAAGGGATCCACAATGAAGCTCTGTGATGAGAGAAAGATTAATACTTTTCTAGCTTACATAATGTGTCTCTAGCTTAATAAAATAAAAAGTTCATGTTGCCCTCTGCCGCTTCATCAAGGGCGATTTCCTTAAATAACTTTTTTAAATATTAAGTATAAACCATTCCTTAACTTTGATGTGACTTTCTGCTGTTAGGCAGAGTGGCCGGAGCGGTATGCCGTAGCTGGAGCTACTGTGAAATCCTTGCAGCAGCGACTAGAAGAAAGCAAACGCTCGGGCAAAGATAAGGACACGCTGGTAGCACGCTTGAAGACCCACGTACGGCAGCTGGAGGAGACGGTGCAGAAATCCGGCAGGGAGGCAGACGAGAAGGAGGCCAGGAGGGAAAGAGAGTACAAGATGCTGCAGGACGTGAGTGTGACTGGGCTGTTAAAGAGAATATTATAAGAAAAGAATATTAGTACATAATATCTCACCTCTTAAGTTCTCCTTTTCACTGGAACATTATTACTTTTTTTATATTAAATCTTCCTTTACTTACTTTAATTACTTCTTTACTCTAGAGTCATTTAGCTCAGTGGTTCCTAATCTTTTTCCTTTTCTATCATTGTTCATTGTTTTGGTTTTTCTAAGGAAAAATAAAGATAAAGATCCCTGTTTATCACATCAGCACAGTCCTGTTTATCTGGAAGTGATGTGTTACAGCCTCATGTTAAGTTAAATTAAGAGTGATTCCAATGTATTCCATGTAGTGAGGAACTGTTATACAGATTTTAAAGTAGAGAAAAAGAGAGTCAGTTGGATTAAAGCCATGTTCCCTTTTACATAACTCTCTGTCAGCACTAGTTGAGGTCTCTTCTTTTGTTTCCTCAGCTGCTCGGAGAATACGACTCTCTGGTGAAGGAACACGAGGGATTGAAGGTAGTGAATTCCTTACTGGAATTGATATATTACATGTTGTTTGACTGTTTGATTATCATTGAAACATGTAAGATATTTTAAACAGCGACAAACAAGATCTTAATGTCATATCTTCATGCAGCCTCATGCGGTTTTTAACAGTGCTTTGTATCTACAGAACAACCTGGTGTCAACAGAGAACAAGCTTTTCGATGCCACTGAGCAGATATCAGACCTGAAGAGGTGAGTGCATGCTATACTGCATAAACTCAGTCCCGTGTATGGAGGGATCGCACAACTACAAAAAAGTGTCTCAACCTCAATGAAATCACTTTTATGTAGTTGACACCACTTTCACTTCTGTGCAGTGATGTGAAGTTGCAGACGGTTGGCTTAGCTTAGCACAAAGACTGGAAACGGGGGGAAACAGCTAGCCTGACTCGGTCCAGAGGTTGAAAAAATGACTCCTACCAGCACCTCTAAAGCTCACTGAATAACACGTTATATCTGGTGTGTTTAATCTGTACAGAAACTAAGTTAAGCGCCGGCCTGTTGTTGGCTGGAAGCGGTGAATTCCTGGAGTCTTTCCTGGTTGCCTGGCAATCTCACGGCAATGACAAGATTACCTTTTATCTTATGACAGAGCTTAGGGTAGCTGCTTCACCATTTCCATTCAGCGATTAGTGAATTAATCGCCAACTGTTTTCTTAATAGATTCATCGTTTTTTGTATTTTTTTTTTACTTTTAGAAAAAATCTCTAATTTCAGCTTCTCAAATGTGAATATTTTCTGGTTTCTTTATTCCTCTATGACAGTAAAAGGAATATTTTTAAAATAAAGATTAGTCGTAGCCCAATGATAAGCTAAGATAAGCGCTTCTTTGCTCCAGCTTCATATCTATCATAAAAGTGTGTTTCCCAAAATGTGGAACAGATCCTTTAAACATTGAACAAAAATTAAAATACACATCTTGTCTTTATGATCTAGTGGGGAAGATTTTGAGTAACATTGAACACAGCTTCACACTTACAGACACAAACCAAGAACTACATGTAAATAGCCAAATAGTGTCTTCTTCTGAGTTATCGTATCTGCAGAGGGAGCTCACAGCTGAGATGTGACATTAGCGCTGTAGTGTGGTCATTAGCTTCAGGCTTATCACTGTCAAACGGCATCACATTGTCATTGGCTGGCTCCAGCAGTTTTGTAAAAGAGCTGCAGTGGAGATTGGGAGACAGCAGGAAGATCGATGGGTGAGGATTAATCAATAGAGCCTAATGATGGTCTCTGTGCAGTTGAAAATAGATAATAACATTGGCTGACACCACACAGCAACTTTCCCATTGCAGTTTCAGCTCTTGCCTGCAAATTGGCACCAATAGAGACAACGCATGGACTCTGCATTGATAAAGTCTGTCAAGTCGATTCAGCGGATTCACTGACAGTTAGCAAACTACAGCTCGCCAAACATCAATATGTGTGTCATAGGAGGGCTTTAGCTCTGAAACAAATGATCTGGAGGGCAGCCAACGGGAAAAGAAGGATGGAGAGGTCCTGAGACCTGTAAGTGGCCTTTTAAAAAGAGGGAGTCTGGGAGAGAAGAAAGTACGATGTACAAGCAAACATTCAGAGATGAGATGAGACAGGTCGGGTTAGGACAACATTTTAGAAAAGACTTTCTCTCGTGATGAGTGGAAGAGCAGCACAAAAGCTGAGAGGTAACCCAGAAAAGACACATGAATTGGGGAAAAGTGTAGTGACAAGAGGATCCTTCCAGGCATTCGATCAGTCACACGCACAGAGTCGACGTTAAACCATCACAAATGGAAAAAAGTGTGTAAATAGCAGTAAGATATGCAGGAACATTGGCAGCTTCAGGGTCTAACGGAGTCTCACAGTGAGACCTGCAGGAGGAGTCTAAAGATTGTTACTGAGGCCCATCACACTAAAACAGGCAAAAGCAAATTAGAGCCAGATCGTGACAGCGGAGAGAATTTATAATCCACAGGAGATAAAGTGTTGAGATAAAGGTCGGCTTTAGGGGTCATTTCGCTCCTCTCATTTTCAGTGAAGTTAATTCACTTGCAAGTACATAAAGAAAGAATAGCTCAGGATGCTTTAAGCACTCAGATTCATTCATGATGGATTTCATTTTTTTTTGTCAGACTAAACTGAATTTTTAATGATATTAATGTATTTATATAACGAGCCAGAGGCTACAAAAACGGCTTTGCAAGGCCAAAACAAATACACATACAGTACATATTAAACATACACACCTAAGATTAGGAATGTAATAATACAAATATGTGAAGATTTAAATTGTGATTTTCTTTTTAAATCTACTTCTGACTTTGCTTGTTCGACATCACAAAGCAAAGACCTCAGTTTCACTTTTACAAAGAATAGGGAATAAGAACAGTTTATACTCAACCTCAGAAATAAAAAAAGTCGTATCATTTGATAAAGAAAATATAACAGAAAACATATTTTGTAGTTTTATTTCTACTTAGGTCTGACAAATAAAAATCTCTTTCAGTCGTAATTTGTCTTCAATCTCATTTAGTACATTTTGAGAAAACCCAACCACAAACTTCATCCTCCAAAATTATCGTCCAGCTGAATCAACACCTCCGTAAAACAGTTTCTACAAAAAACTGAACATTATAACCTTCATGAAGGAGGATTTATTGCAGGACTGCTTTAATAAACTGTTTGTTTTTTTTAATTTAGTCTTCTGTACAGTTTGGACTCTTAACAGTCTTAATGTGAGGAGATGAAAGTATCTTTTATCCACTGCACGGCCATCTCTGGAGGATGTAACAGCACAACTCAAACCACTAAAGCGCTCAAGTTTTATAAGATCTTCATAACTTTAATGTACAATTTTATAATTTTCCCCCATTGATACATCATATTATATATGAAAATTCAATAAAATATTTGATTGATAATAGATTTAAACAGATTCAGCCCGACAGCCATGCTAATATGCAAATCAAAAAGACAAATGCTTCAGCTTTAGTTTATGTCAGCCTCTCTGTTTGTCATTTTTCTGTCATTGTATCTATGAATCTTAAACCCACATTTTATATGAAGAAGTCAACAGAAAGCGAGGTTAACCTGTCACCTGTCTCTCTCTGTATCTTTAAACCTTGTGACCTGACTGTGTCTCGGTCTGTCCCCTCAAGAGTAATCTCTAAACTGGAGTCTCAGGTGAAGCAGCTGGAGCACGAGAACCAGGCCCGGGCACGTTACGCTTCCCACAGTAACACGCAACCCTCTGGGGCCGGGTAAGCATGTTTTACACGCACATCTGCATCTCATGTGTTCTTTGTTAGAGGAAGAATCTGAACCCAAGAGGGAGGAAGTTATATTTGTATTTGTTTTGATGATTTATTTGTGGAATACCGATAGTTCTCCAGCTACGTAGATGCTCTTTCACTTACTCTTCAACAACATGCTGTCCGCTAATTACACATGGCTACAGTTTGTTTACTTTGTCTCTCGTTCAGCTGCCTTCAACCAAACACAGAAGCAGCTTTATGTATGTTATCTAGTTTTATTTGCAATAACTGGTAACATTGTATGTCATGTTATTGTTAGGATGAGTGTCTAATTATGATAAAGTAGGGTGGTAGGGTGAGACAGACACTGCTGCTATATGTGAGTGTTATAGGTAATGTGATTCTTACCATTTTTACTCACATTATGAATGATAACTCAATGATGATGAGGTTTTTGAGGAGTCAGTATATGTGGGGCATTTTCTCGTTTGTTTAATAGTTTTATTGTTGTGTTGTTGTCTTTGTTCTGTCAGTTGTTAGTAATAAAAAGTGAATTACAAAAACTTTTTTACTGCATTAAGTGATTCCTAAATGTAAATTTCCTCTCAATATGTCCACAGTCTTTTCCACCATCCTGACCTGCTGCTATCACCCAGTAAAAGCAAGGCAGAGCCAGACGTCACCCGCAGGAAGTCACCATGTCCTCTATCAGACCAGATAAACAGTGGCAGAAGATCTCCTTTCCCTCAAACTAACCAATCAAGTATCCACAAGAAGTCACAGTATTCGTTAAATGATCAAACATCGGGAACTGGAAGCTCTGTGGACGCCTCATCAGCTGGTGGAAGCTGGAGGTGAGTTTTCTTTTATTGTTGTGGATATATAGTGAAGATTTCACGTGATTTACTGAGATCCTGTTCTGCAGGTGTGCGTCTCCCCCGGAGTGCGAACAGTCTCTGCCTCAGCCCAGACACCAGGAGCAGGGCGCCGGGCAGCGGGATGCCGGTCGTAGAGAGGCGTCCTGTGCCCTGACGCCCATGATGAGGGCCCTGATAGAGCTGGAGGAGACCAGAGCGACAGAGAGCCGGGCCCCCTGTAAGAACAGCTCCACCACCCACAGTATGACTCACACTCACTCACGAGACGTTACCAACTTCACAGATTTAAAACCGAACCACTGGTAGATTGTGTAGTTTCTGTTCCCTCCATGTTTAGCTGTGCCCATAGTTAAAGAACCCCACTCTAGTCGTACGTTATCTAGTTTTATGTGCAAAGGTTTTGAGACAATTTCTTGAGACAAATCAAACATAAAGTGGCCGCTGCTCCGGAAAATGAAAGTGCACAGGAAGAGAAGCAGTCTGCGTGTCTCGGAGGTTGTTTCCAAGAAAGAGTGAGCGAGCGACCAGCCGGAAACGAAAAGGAACAATGGCCGCAATCACTTTTCTAGTATGTGACTGTGTTGTGAAGCGACTCTGGCACCCAATCAGGACACTATTGTCGCGGCTCAGAGTGATCAATCACAGCAAAGTCTGAGATGTTTCTTAGAATAAATGAGGAAATAAAAAAAGAGCCCTGTACCTGTTATTATAAACGTACAATTATTTCTTATCTGCATCTGAACAAGACGGAAAAATAGCAACTGAAGTATCAAAAGCGCCTTTTGTCTGTTTTTATATGATACAGATGTGAAAATTATATTCTTTTTAGGGCTGCAACTAATGATTATTTTATTATCAATGAAACTTCTGATTCCTCTCTCGAATAATTGAATGTCAGCATGTTTATAAAATATCAGAAAATAGAGAATAATGCCCATCACCCTCAAAGTGGCGCCTTTAAGTCCAACACTTAAAAAATAATTAATAAGACAAAGAAAACCAACCAATTGAGAATCTCGAACTCGAAAATGTTTCAGAAGATGAGCTAATATCTATTAATTTAATTTATTCCTTTAGAAATTAAAGAATGTATTCCAGTTCGGATGCTAGCTGCTTCGTGCATCTTCATTAAAAGATATCTGGACCTTCATATTTGAAGCTTTGTTGTGTATCTGAAAACAATAAATCTATTTATGGGAATAATTGGCAAATTTATCATCGTCAGGTAGAAGCTGCATCCTTTATACAAAGGATCAAAAAGGTCACGATGTGTCTTCAAATTAAGAAAACTGTGGTTCACTTATATAATTGAATCTGGTTTCCTTTTATTGATTATGTGGAGAATCTATTATTTCCTACATCTTGATTGCAAGTGCCTTTCATAAATAGAAACACACAGAACCTTTGTTTCCCCTCGAGAGCTAATAATGTGTATTTTCTTTAATCATATATAATTTATTTGAATCAAATTTATTTTGACTTAATACTGTTTTAATTATATTTTTGTTGTATTTATTTTAGCCGTATATTCTCACACCGACTGTATGTATTTGTGATATAAAGCATTAACTGCAACCTGAAGAAGTTACAGGCCAAACGTGTTGTTTTCTCCTAATAAATCACAATAAGGTAATTCCAGTGCACGGTGGTTCACTCTGATTATTATGGACTCTATGTTACTCTCAACAATAGTCTAATTGTTTTGTATTTTCTTTTCTTTGTACAGTTAATACTGATTGTTGAACTGGTATAAAAAAGGAAAAATATTTAATTAATTTTCTGTTGATCACTGAATGTAACGCTCGTGTGGTTTCTCTCTGCAGGGGTCGGCAATCAGAGGACCACAGTGGGGTTTGTGGAGCGGAGGCACAAAGATGTGATTCAGGAGCGAGCGGGGCTTCAGGCTGACAGGGAGGTGGTCAAACCTGGAGGAGTTGTGAGCAGAGCTGAGCGAGGAGGAGGAGGAGGAGGAGGGGGAGGAGGGAAAAGTCTCAGCGGAGCAGAAGCAGCTACAGCTCTGCTGAGAGCTCAGAGGAGTTTGTCTCCGGAGGGCCACAGATCCTCCTCCCTGCCTCCTCCGGCACATCGAAACATACCCCCGACTACGCCCAGTACGTCCACCAAGGCTCTTCACACTCACCTTTACACCAAGTCTTTAATTATTAACATGTATAATATAGTTGTACTGATATTTTTCTTACATAAATACATGTTTGCAGGTCATTTAGATGCTAACAGATGCTGTTTGGCTCTACTCGTTTAAAACCTTCTCTGTCATCACTCATTTTAAATACCGGTGCAGTCGACCTCAAAGCACAGCTGCTCTCATTAACCTGCATTTATATTTATTTTGTCTGGGGATTTTACCTGCAGCTCAGCAGCTCGGTAATGGCCGCTGGTAAACGTGGTATTTATGAGCCGCAATCGAATTTTAGCCTTGTTCTGTTGTCTGACAACACAAATAGAAAAATATGTAAATGAGAACAAGAAGATTGTGAATTCGGCTGCGTTAAAACAAAATATTGGTGATCAAGGGTGTGTGTGTGTGTGTGTGTGTGTGTGTGTGTGTGTGTGTGTGTGTGTGTGTGTGTGTGTGTGTGTGTGTGTGTGTGTGTGTGTGTGTGTGTGTGTGTGTGTGTGTGTGTGTGTGTGTGTGTGTGTGTGTGTGTGAAGTCAGAAACAAATTAAATGCATCAGTAAAGTTTTTTTATTTGACATTATGGACAGATGAACTTAAGAGAACTGACTAACAGTAAACACAGAAGGTTACATACTGTACTTGCTCTTATAAACAATGATAGAAAACACACATTTAACTAACCAACTCTACAATTTTAACTTGTGATTGATGCTGTTTGCCAAACCCAAAACTATAAATAGTATAGTTAGACACTAACCTGATCAATTCTTAATCAAGACAATTAAATTTTTCTCAATTTAACTACAAACTCTCTGGAGAATGTCGTTTTTAATTAATGGTGTGTTGGTTGTATTAAAGTTTTAATTAATGTGTGTGCTATTTTGCTCCCATTCAGCAAAGAGAGAAACTTTACTCATGCCGCTGTCTGCGAAGTCGAGTCCTAAACGCTGCCCCACTGAGAACTACTCCACTGCGTTCGGTCGCCCGATGCCGAGAGAGGAACACCTGCACAAAAGGTGAGCGACACACAACATCTCCCCAGAGGCAGGGCCTGCGGTAAAGGAATAGTTGGACATTGTTGCTATAAAATGTGCTACAGATGTTCGAAGTCCTTCATAGTGTGTGTGTGTGTGTGTGTTACATGAACAATAGAACAGCACTGGGTTTCTACGTGTAAGTTATCTCCTAAGTTAGGCTGTAAAGTCGATACTAGAGGTTTAGTTAGTGAGGAGCGGCAGTAGCTCAGTGTGTAGGGATCTGGCTTCCTGGGCACTGTGGAGGTACCCTTGAGCAAAGCACTGCTCCCAGGGTGCTAAGAATCATGACTAAACAAGCAGCCAGTCAACAGTCACAGATACTAGAGTTCCCTCATCAGGGTTACGTAAAGCGCATTGGCTTTCTGGCTGGCTTGAGCCACTTGGCATGGTGGCACATCGTAATAAGCTGGATCGATATTGAGAGAACACGTCAATAAATAAGCTCTCTACTAGATAACTGTGTTGCAAAATGTCTGCAGTTAATGAAGAAATGATGCTGTGCGGCAGAACAGAGCAGAAACGCTGCCTGTTGAAGGTGTCAGGCTGCTGCCATCCTTCTCCACATCAGACCGTTTGTTTACTCAGCAAATGAGATAATGCAAAGTGGGTCACACAGAAAATCACAGCTTGTTAAAATTCAGTCAACTATAAACAGCTTAGTGAGGCCGAGCCGAACAATAAACCCCAGAACAAAGTGGGTAAATTACCAGTTTGGCTCTGGATGAAATAAATAAAAAGATCACGTTGTGTTTCTGTCTCCAGGTTTGACGGAGAAGTCGACCAGAGACGTCATTCGTTCCACATCGGCAGTCCCAGGAAGAGACTCCAGTTTATGTCAGCGGACAGAGAAGATGGTAATATATTCGAGCTGTAGTAGATATTTTTGTTTAAAAGATCTAGTGAAGAGGTAAAGAAGTTCAAACACAAACCACAAAACTAACTGCGATGCAAGTTGGTTAAACTTTCACCTGCAGCAGCAGCAGCCCGGCAGGAGAGACGCTCAGTGGCGGCTGTTGGATTTAGAGTTCCCAACCTTTTTACTTGAGCAACTTCCTTTTCTATCATTGAGTAAACTAACAACCACTGACTAAGGGACATTTTGTATAAATATTTGACATTATTTTTAACAATAATACTACAGGAGAACTGATAAACTTTACATTAACGCAAACAAAGCAGGAAGTTTGAGTTGAATTTTAAGCAGATTATTTACTGTGAATATTGATCAGAGATTAGTTTTCTCTGTCTGTATTATGTCATTTTTACAATCATACAGACTTATTAGGCTTATTTTCTTGACACATTCAGTGTTTTCTTCTACTTGACCCTTGAGAGAGTGAAAGCTCTGTGACTATAACTTGTGTTCAGGTCTTCAAAGTTTATATCTTATATAATAATACCAATTTAATTAAATCTTTTTCACATAATTGAACGAAATTCTGAGATATAGGTTAACTGTATGTATATATTTTAAAGTTTTCTCACATCCCCTAAAATTAGGACTGCCCTACACTGTAAAGTATACTCAGTGGCCACTTTATTAGGTACACCTGTACAATCTCACACAATTACATGAATTCTATTTTTATGAGTTTTTGTTGATCATTCTGCTTTAGTATTGAGTTTATAGTGGGTGGTGGTGTTTTACTGGAGTGCTTTATATTGAAAGGTGTTTATAATACCCCCCCACCCTCATGTTGTAACTTACCTAATTCGTGGTCCTCCTCTCTCTCAGACCTCCAGCATCCCTCCGGCAGCGTGAACCCGCCTGAGGGAAACTCCCAGCTGGGCTGGGAGGAGCAGGGAGCCTGTAGTGGATCTGACCCGCAGGACTCCTACGAGGACTCAGCCCCACTTCTCCTGGACAGACTCCACTCGCTGGCTGAGGCCGAGAAACTGTTTGACGAGCTGACGCAGGAGAAACTGCAGGTGAGACGAGCTCGGCGTGACACTCGGCACATCACACACGCCGCGTTGTTTCCACCCGTCAGCCGGGACGTTTGTTATTAACTCAGCAAAGGGAATTTACCAAAAGATTGTGATGTCAGTGTGTAGTTTAAAGAGCCTTGTATCTGTGACAGGCCTAAACAGCACCACTCTAATCCCCACCTGACCTCTTATGTAACATCGACTTCATTGTTTTTATTCCACTCCTAAATGACTTCTATTTATAGGAAGTCTGCTACCCCTCCCTCTGCCCTGGTCATACAGGGACATCGGCCTCCCCATCTGCACACACACACACATATAAACACACACACACACATATAAACACACACACACACTTCGCAGCCGACTAATCTAATCAAGTCTACAGAAAGTGTTTCAGTCAGTCGTGTGCCGGTTGTTTCATCAACATAATTATTTTTGGTAATAAATGATTAATTTTCGTGTGTGTCTGTGTGTGTCTGTGTGTGTGTGTGTCTGTGTGTGTGTGTGTGTGTGTGTGTGTGTGTGTGTGTGTGTGTGTGTGTAGATTGAGGCAGCTTTGAGCCGGATGCCTGGAGCAGGAGGGCGAGTGAGTCTACAGACCAGGTTAGATGAGGTAAGACAGCAGATATTGATTATGTTCATATCAGTTTCAAGCTTCTCAGATGTGACAGTTTGCTGCTTTTCTTTGTTTTATGTCACTTTAAAGTTTAAACTGATGAACTTTGGGTTTTTAAAGCATGTCAGTATCATCATTGTGATAATGTTACCATACTGATGTTAGCATTCAACTAAAAGCACTGCTGTGTCCGGGTACAGTCTCACAGAGCAGCTAGCAGGGCTGTAGATTGTTACTGTCGTGCACTATTTTCTGGCATTTTACGAACTAAACGATTAATCAATTCCTCCTATAATTATATTGTTTCTTGTAAATGTATTTTTAACAATGATTGATAGAATTTCCCCTTAATGAAAACAGCTGTGAAAATATGTCGCTTTCCCCTAAAGCTGCAACGATTATTTCCATTAGTGAGAAATGTGGTAATTATTTTCTTGATTAATGATCAATTAATCGTTTTCTTCTCTAAAAATGTCAGAAAACAGAGAAATAATGTCTATCACAGGTTCCCAGAGCCCGAGGCGATGTCTTCATACTGCTTTACTAACACAAAGCTTTGAGCTAAATGCTAACATTCGCCATAAAAACACTCTTTGGTCAGTCTCTGTTGTCTTAAAATTTAAGTTATTAATTAAACAATTATGTATTTATTACAGTTGAGGCTAGAAAGCAAAAATGTGGCTCCACTAGTTTTTGCTTTATAATCCTTTTTCCGCTCGTCTGCATATAGAAGAAAACAAGGAAGGAGCAACGAACACTGCAGGACTCTTAAATTAGACTATAAAATGAGCTAACGAACTCTCTGTAATCTGTTTTGGTCACTGTCTCCCTTTGTTATTCAGTAAATTATAAAAAAAACATTAAGGAACAGCTTAAGATTTGTGTCTTAATGCACCTTTATTATTAAGGAAAATACAAGTATCAGATCAGGACTATAATCGCTTCACTCCACCTTTAACACAAAGTACAGCTGACGCAGACGGGAATGTCTTTAGTTTTGACCTGATGATGGCGCTAGAGGAAAAAGTCAGGGACTCCCAAAAGTCATTAGGATTCATCTTCCGAGCACCACAAATATCTGAACCAAATTGGTTCAGATATTATCTAATCAATAGTTCTGGAGACGTTTTGATTCTGGACCAAAGTGGTGGACAGATTAACGCGGATAAAAAGCAGCAAATCTTCACGTTTGAGAAGCTGGAACCGGAGAATTTAAGAGATAATTGCTTGATAAACAAGTTTTAAGTGATTATCAGAGTAGTTGCAGGGTGTCCAAAAGGTAAAATGTAACAGAAAATGATTTTAAAATTGATTGTATTCATAAAGTTAAACATTATTTGTATAAATTTGACTTGTTTTTGGGAAGAATTTGTACAAAACAAAACCAAAATTGAACCAATAGCGACTTTCCTTCTTATCTTTTGTACATTTTTTGCCAGTATGGACGTTAAATAGATCTTAAATTACCTTCATAATAGTTTCAAAGCCTCAAATTTAACCTGAAACCAGCAGAGACCCGGACTTACCGACTACCGTTCTGCCGTTCTTCCGTCCTCAGGTGGCCTTAGAGAATCGTCTGGACAGAGTGAATCGTGAGCTGGGATCCATCCGCATGACTCTGAAGAGATTCCACGTCCTCCGCTCCTCCGCCAACATATAGCAATGTCTGTCTTTTTACATCACAGTGTCGATGCTACAGACTTAGTGTCTTGGTTTTATACACTGCACTGATTGTTTTCTGTGCCATAAGTCCACCTGTACAGCAACTCCACGGCATCTTTTTTATATACGTATTACTTATTACTCGGGGATATTTTTTTATTTTGTATGAAAGATATATTGCAATTTTTCTGGAGTATATTTTTAGTAACACACAGATTTGTAAAAGTCGTTTACTTTTTTAGTCACAGAAAATATTAATATGATATGTTTTACTCGCCATATTCAGGTGTGGATTTTTAAAATCAGCCATGTTTGAGTGTAAATGTGAACGATTAAAAAAAAAAAGACGTTTCCAACAAAGACATTCATCCACTTGGGAAATATCACTGCCATTTTTAAATGTTTTTTTTCCATTTGACATGACTTAAAATGTATTTATTTAATGTTTTTGTACGTCAGATTTTAAATTTTGGTGCATTTTACACGTTTGCTTTTATAAGTAGGTCGTTGTTTGTTTGTTTGTTTGTTTGTTTTGGGCCAAATTTTGTCGAACTTGAAGGAAATGTTTGTTTACTTGAATCAAAAATCGCCTTTTTTTCTTCTTATACTTTCCATTGCTACTTTGTCACTTTGTTTGCTTTATGATTTTAAAATTTGCTACAGGACTGGACCCTCCAGATCAGAACCACTTGTACAATCCAAACCAGCACACTTTCAGTACAACACACACACATTTTCACACCGTCGGTTGTTTCTTGTCGAGCGATGCTTGTGCATGAAGGTGCACTGCTTCCTTTTTGCCATGCAGTTTTCCTACCTGACATGAACTTCACTGGAACTATAATGTTGTTGTTGCACAATAAATGAAGCTTTTTTTATATATATATAACTGGATGTGTTGCTTCTCTATTATGTCTTTTTTAGGACAATAGTTTTCTGAGTTGTCTGAAGGATTAAATAGATGAATTTTGGTCAAATATGAAAATAAAACTATAAAAAAAGGTTACAGTTTTATGATATACAGTATAACACATTATTATTATGAGTTACAATGATCCTTTAAGGGTTGAAAAGGGTTTTTTCTTTGGTTGAACAAACATTTTATTATAATTTCACAGAATATTAAGTCCTAACAGATAGAAACTTGATATGAAGTTGAATTATATATATATTTAACAACTAATACGGTAGAATTTAATACTGTAGATGGCTAGATAAAAGAATGTATTTTGAATTATATATGAAATACTTTTATTCAATCATTTTATGATTAAATGTATGTAACGTTTACGTAAAACCTGAACCAAGATGTACATACATTCACTTAAATAAGATCAGCACATACAAATGTATTTGGATTTATTTATTTGCACAATTAAAAACAACCAAACAGAATCACAAATAAAAGAAAAGAAGCAGAAATTGTGCAGATGTGATTTTAAAAATCCTCCTGCAGGTTTGTGAAAGATAATCTCAACAAATACAAAAACATGTTATCTATTAAAGTAAACCGGCAGCAAACAAAACACACAACACATGACAGGCAAAAGCAAGATAAACAAAAGAATAACAACAATTTAAAAGAAATAAATATGAAGAACACAATAAAAAGGAGAGTTTGATCTCTTAAACAATGCATGCTTGGAAATCTGCTAATGCAATTAAATAAACAAAACTTGTATATTTTACATTAAGTTAATGAGAAAACAGTTGTTGATTCCATTAAATTCCTGTATGTATGTTACAGTTGGTAGCACCTGTGTTTACCCTACTTATTAAAAAATTACTGCTGTGAAAAAGGTCTGTGATGCAAACTGAGGAATTAATTTAGAAAATCTCTGTTTGTGAATAAAATACTTTGCGTAAATAATCAGATATTCGAGAGCTTCATCGTCTGGTTTATCATACTGAGTAATAATATGTTTAAGATTTAATGAGTCCTGATCCTTTAGCAGGAACATTAATGTCAAAATGGCTGCTGTGAAAAAAGGTCTGTTTAATATGGAAGCTCATTTATGCCGATATGATGAGAGGGGAAAAACTATTCTGTAACTAATTTAAACACATTTAACTTCCCTAAAATACTGACTTAGTATCTGAAAAGGACAAATTAACTTTACCAATATTTTGACTTGGCTTCTTAAAATAATGAATCAGCGTCACAAAGTCTTTATTTTGAGATACTAAGTCAAAATATTAAGAAAGTTTCTCATTATAACGACTAACACAATCGGCTTCTGTAATTTAACTCTCGGAGAAAAAATACTAAATTTAGAAACATTTCTTTGCATAAATGAAATATGTAACAACATAATCTGGTTTATCATAGTGAGTTATAATATATTTAAGATTAAAAGAGTCCTTTAATGATTAAAGTAAAGTTTCAGGAGGAATCTCATGATGTTGTTTTTCCGGCTGCAGGCGGCTGTTGGCCGCTGGGGGGCGCCTTTCTCCTCTGCTGTCCGACAGAAGGAGGTCCCATCCTCTGATGTAACTGTTAACCTGAATATATCATCAGCCACCGGCTGCACACGGAGGCTCAGACACCGGACAGCACGGCCGTGTTTGTGTATGATGGAGGTGCGGCGGTGACTTCCCTCCACAGCAGCGGGGACCGACAGGCGCACACACCCGGGGAATGAACGCTCCGTGTGGGGTGGCAGGAGGAGGACAGCAGGACCCTCCAGTGTAGAATATATATATTTATATATTTATATATTTATATAAACACAAGCTTCCATCAGTCTGCACTGCACTGCTGGGGAAATACAGCCTCAGCTGACAGCGATGTTGCATTCAGGCTCTCTGCAACGTGGAAATCCAGCTGAATAACCGAGACTGCAGAGAAACTGCAGGTGAGTCTCATATGATGGGGTTGTTGTTGTTGTTGTTGTTGTTTACCTGATAGCACAGCTGTCACCACCTCAGATATCTCATTAATTAGGCACATTGTGGTCTGCAGTGGTCAGTCAGGTGGCATCCATCACTGTAGCTCTGATCAATACAACCTGTGTGTCTGTATTCTGGGCTGCTGAAGGGAATATTATTGTGTGTATGTTTCTGATTCTCACGTTTTAACCTTAACCAGTGGAAATACAGGTTGCATAAACCTCCCATTTATAACAACAAACAGATACTGGGTCTACAAGCTATTGAATGCTCAGTTTACGTGATAATTTAATGTCTATATTTCAGTAAACAGGGTTGGATTAACCTGTTAGTGAGTCTCTGTTGGGCCCCTGATGCCTCCAGCACTGTGTGTGTGCACTATGTATGCTCCACCATTAGGTTCCCATCGGTACACGCAGGAGACTAACCATCCCTAGACTCCCTCTGTGGCAGCGAAATGTGATTAAATACAACCTTATTGTAGGAATTTGTGCTATTTGAGCGCAATTTAATGTGAAATAATTCATAATCAGTGTAAAAACCTGACTCAAACTGTAAGGATATTTAAGTAGAAGTAACTTAAGTATTTATTGTTAAGATTCCATTCAGTTAATTTAAGTTATTCATATGCAGCATTTCTCCAAACTTATTTAAAACGTGTGAACAGAATTTATCTGAATAAAGTCACTTAAATGCATCTTCTTTATTTAAATGTTACCAACAAGTTGAATTTACTCAGTTTATCTTCCACTAAAGCAAATTATTACATTATCTGTCAAAAACAGCTGATGAACATCAAATCTTTTCATTTTAGGGGATCACTAAGAATGATTTGGATTCACATTTGGGCTTATAATGATATACAACATTATAATATAAAGTTTACCTCAACAGTTTAATGAAACAAGCTGGAATTATATCGCCTGTATTTAAAATACGAAGACACTGGATTCCTCTACAGGACATGCAGGACTGATTTTGTACTTAATTGTTGTAAAATGTCCAAATAATAAAACCATCAACAACCAACCTGCGGGTCGAGACCCACACCAGGGGTCGCCAAAGCTTCACAGGAGGTCGCAAGGCCTTCTTGATTTTAAGGAGTTTCAGAAAACGTGAACAATATAAATAGTATCAATCAATCAATCAATCAAACTTTATTTATATGGAACATTTCATACAGTTTGGTGCAGTTCAAAGTGCTTTACAGGCGACTGATAAGACGATAATGAGACAGAATGGAGTAAAAAATTAAATAAAGTGGATTAAAAAATAAAATGCAGTGAAATTATAATAAAATACAGATATAATGAAAGAATTTACTAAAAACTAAATAAAGTACATAAGAAAAGCAGGCAGAAGTAACAAACAAATGAAACAATAAGAAGGATATTTAAAATAAATTAAGTAATTCAAATTATTGTAAGAAAATACAATAAGATAAATGAGTATAAAATGTCTTTTCTTAAGTTAAAAGCCGTTTTAAAAATCTCAACAACATTTAATATCTGTGAAGAAAACTAAATGAAACTGTGTCTTTTTAAAGTTAAAAAGATGATTATTTAATGAACACAGAGCCTTTACTCTCCGATAAACAGCCTGAAATAAACTCCAAGATAAAATCTTCAGTCTAAAACATAAATACATTCAATTTACAAGCACAGAAAAGTAACTGCGAGTCAGAATACTTCTGTCCTGTATGAAAGCGTCTGTCCTTGCTACACATGTTCTGTCCATCCTAATAACAATGCAGGCATCTGCCGGAGCTATTCCTAGACACAGAAGGTGAGAACACTAAAGAGGTGCTGTCGTACGTGTGATCCTCACCCGGCCTTTAACTTATTTAGACGGATGCTGCAAGTGGAGCCAAAACTTTCTAGGAAGGACACTTTAAACCTGGAGAGAGTTAATCAGCCTCAGTCGCCACAGAGCTTTAAATAATCAGCGTAAAACACTCGGTTTTCTCTTGGTATTAAATCTCTCTGTAGATATTTAAACTTAGTGTAAGTAATGATAGATATTATCCATAAAGTGGGAGCAGTTGTAATAGTTTATTCTGGGGTTTATTGTTCATCTTGTCACCAAAGTATCAGATAATTGTTTGGACACTGTTCCCAGTAGCTTGTGTCTGTACCCGGACTGGGAGCTCGAACCCAGCTGATTTACAGCGGCTCCGACCAGGACTCTGAGTCTGGGGATGAAGACAGTAACTGTTAAAGTTATCCATCGTCCATCGTATCGATACGTTTTCGTTTAGGTGAAGTTGTAAGTTATTTATTCTTTGTTTTAAACAACGAGACTTCTGTGATGTTATACTAAAAAGTTAGCATTTAACAGGCTTAAAGTCTATATATTTAAATAATTGAATTAATATCATAAATGTGCAACAACTAGTTAGCTATTGGCTTTATTTAATGATTACTAATCGACTAGGAAAAATCTTTAGTTGGGGACGGCCCTACTTGATGCTGGGATATTCTACCGGTTAAGTGGAAACTTTGACCTGCTGGTGGCGCTAGAGGGAAAAGTCAGGTGATCACCAAAGTCTTTAGGGTTCATCCTCTGTGGACAATGAATGTCTGCACAAAGTTTCTTGGCGATCCATTTAATGATTGTTGAGATATTTCAGTCCGAACCAAAAGACAGACGGACGTAGAGCCTTGCTAAAACGTCGCTCAAACAAAAAACCCAAATCTGTTTCTGGAATTTGTCCTGCTCATTAAAGTTGTATCACGCGGCTTCTCTAATCACCGCAACCATCAGATCCATCAGGCGATGGGCTGGTTCTTGTTTGCTCACATTTCAGGTTCAGTGTGCGTGATTTTAATGTGGTTGTCGGGGAGTGGAATAAGATGGAGCCTCACAGGATCTGATTATCGGGCCAAAATGATTAGGTTTGCTTTAATGAATGCTGTTAGGAAGTGGCCACCGCAGAAAGAATGAGTCATGGTATTGATTGCCGCCCCCTCCTTCAGTTGCTCCTTCTCTCTAGCCTTCCCCTCCCTCCCTGCCTTTGTCTTATCCATCCATCCTTCCCTCTTGAAATCCATGTTTTCAGTTCATCTTTCCCCCCCTCCTCCTCTCTACGTCAGCCAGAGGAGGGAGAGTCGGCATGCGGGCCGAGCTGAGCGTTGCATACCAATAACGGCATGACTCGCTCGGCACTCCAGTCTGGATGAGAGAGAGGGAGGAGGAGGAGGAGGATGGGGAGCCGAGGAGGGGCAGAGGAGGAGAGGAGGAGGGGGTCTTGTCACGAGATGCCACGTCATCGCAGTGTGTGGAATCTATTTTTAGCAGGGTAAACAGAGGGATTCCAGCCCACTGATCATGGCTTCACAGTCAGGGACTGTGTGGTGGGAGGCTGGAGACGCTCTGTAGTGTCGCGCTGGATGTGAATGAATGAGCGACACTTCTATTTAGTCTGCCTCCGCCGTCGCTCCCCTCCCCGCCGCCTGTCGGGGAGAAACACTGCGCCACGAATAGACCAACGAGCTCCCAGTCTGACGCTCTCTCCACATGCATCCACATTATTATGCTCTCGCGTGGAACACTGTAGCGTGCACACTTTTATTTGTGTTTTAGATTTTTTTAAGTGCTTTAGATTGGCTGTGTGTCAGAAATGGCCTCCTCTCATTCAGGGGTGTTTTGACTACGGTGGCATGATGTGTCTCAGCTTTCCAGTTATTCCCAATTTATGCAATTCCAACACAGTTTTAAGGACCCCAGAAATGTGCGGATATTCATACCACATGCAACAAAAAACATTTTCATTCAGATATCTTGAGGTCAGAGGTCAAGGGATCTCTTTGAAAATGGCCTTGCCAGTTTGTCCATCGCCAAGATTCAACGTCCTTGCTGACATGCTAGCAGGACATTGTTGGTACCAATGGATGCGTTAGGTCTTCTGGTTTCATATGACATCAGTATCTTCACCCTGGCTTTCCTGCTACAGCCTCTGAAGGGCTGGATTTGCTGGAGTTTAGTGTCAGGGTTTGGGAGGGTTACTTTAAAAATGTAATATGATACAATTCCTAATTACCTGTTAAAAAATGTATTCAGTAATCTGATCCAAGTATCACATTATTAAAGTATCCTCCACTGCTTTTCTTTTAAATGTATGTAAAATAAAAGTACTTCTGTTTATGCTTCTGGATATCAGACTGATGAAGCTCCCTCAGTACTTTTGAAAAGGAAATGAAAGACCTGTGTTTTTAAGACTTTGTCTGACCTTTACTGTGTATGTTTAATATTTTTATCGTGTGGTTTTACTATTTTTACTTCAGTGAAGGCTTTGAATACTTCCACCTCGTGCATATAGAACAAGCTGTATATAGACATCACATTGTCGCAGCGGGCAGTCAAGTGGTGCCCTTGCAAGAACGCTTTATATATAGATCCATACATGACGTCCCCGGGTTGCTCGGGGGGTTGGCGTCGTTGAGGTCATGTGAGACCGAGGTTGGTGAGGATGTGAGGATGGGAGGGGGGTTGATCTGAGACTCTGAAGCTGTCACATTTGGCCACGTTTACGGGACTCGGTTCGAGCACTTACTCTAATTAACAATCTGCCAGCTTTGTACAGAACCAGCGAGGCGTTGCGTCCTCATCAAATATTCAGATGCACACACATATTCAGTGGTATGGGTGAGGTACAGGGGCCCGCTTACTTGATACTTAGAGCGTCACTCCGTTAGTTAAAAGTAATCTCTGAGCATCTGTTTCCTCGGAGATTAGACTGATTGATTGTCACACTCGCGGCTCTGTGAGGCTGCAACACTTTGGAGCTTTGGGCTAAATGCTAACATCAGCATGCTGACATCCTCTCAGAGACGTGCAGATGTTGAGCAGGTCAAATGTTTTACAGGTGTTTTGAGTGTGCTAGCACGCTGACATTTGCAAGTAGAATGGCAGCTTTTTGGTCATAAAACAAACAGATATTTTTACCTGATGGTGGCGCTAGAGGAAAAGTCAAGGGATCCTCAAAGTCAGTAGGATTCATCCTCTGGGGAACATGAATTTCTGTGCAAAATCTAATGGCAATCCATCCAACAGCTGTGGAGATATTTCACTCTGGACCAAAGTAGTGCATAGACCACGCTGCTAGCATGGCTAATAATTATTTAAAGTATTAATTGATTATAAAATTGTTACAGATTAATCTTCAAACAATAAAATGGTTGTTTTAAGTCACAGCTGTGTGATGGGGGACATTCAATTATACACAATTTAAAGGTTATATATACCAAACTCTCTCGCCAGCACACCAGACTCCATAAACAAAACCAGTAATTTTACCTAGCAGATAATCGTAAAACACACTTCAAACTCTTAAACAGTCTTTTTTCCAGTCTTCCAGTACGTCCACTAAAAGCGTTTGTTTGTGCGAGAGATAGACCTTTCACAAACTCGAAAAACAAAACCTTAATTCATCAGCGTAGTTTCACATTTGAGAAGCTGAAACAAGCAAAAGTTTGAACTTTCTTGACTCGACTTTACCATTCAGCTCTAACCTGTGTTCACCATTACCCTCCCAGTCGCCCTGCAAGCTGCATGCATGCATAAGTGCAGCTTTTATAATATGTGTGTAATGATTCTGTGCGTGGGTGATACGTCTCCCCTCAGCAGAAACTCACTCGTTTACAGTCTGACATTATGAATGTGAGTAATCAAGAGATGGATCTGTAGTCTTAATGGACGCTTAATCTCCGTGACAAATGAAAGTGGGTGAAGGGGGACCTGGTGTCACCGCAGTCTGGCTCCTGAGAGCTCGCTGCTCCGTGTCTCCCACACTGCACTGCTGTACGTTAGCCAGCCTCGGAGGTGCTGGAGCCGGGCCAGACGGTAATGGGATTGGCCCGAGGAGTGGATCCCCCTTTTTTTTATCTCAGGGCATTTTAAAATCTCTCGGCTCTATTAACAACAGCGTCTTTCCTCTCCTGTCCGACTGTTTCCTCGTCTCTATCTCATTAACAGCAACGCTCCACTCTTCTGTCCGCCTCCACTTCGTCCCGCTCAACCTTCTAAGTTCCCCTGTGTGCAGGTATTTGTATGTGTCCGTGCTCAGGTATCCAATTTTAAAACCATCATCTCTGCCTCGCCTCGTTTTCTCTGCAGTTCCTCACAACAGTGTGAAGGTGAGACTGTACAAGGAGGTGAACTGTGAGTGTTTAAAAGAGTCAGTTTGTGGTTCATTGATCTCGACAATCTGCTGCCTTCCTCTCATGGAACAACTCAGAAGAATAGTTTTGATATTTAGGGAAATATGCTTGTTTGCATTCTTACTGTCTCATCAAACTGTACAACTTTAAACTCAAATCCCAAAGCACAATCACAATCACAATCAGCTATTTATATATTTGTTTACATGCAAAGCTGGTTGTAAAGAAGAGACCAGTAGTCAGGGCTGGATCTCACTATTCATCATGTGTCAGTTGGTCTGTGGTTATCTTTTCATTAGATTAGGTTTGGGAATAAGCGCCACTGAAGCACTTTATCTACTCAAAACAAAAGGGGGTCTTCGAGGACCAGTGTGTAGGATTTAGTGGCATCTAGCACGTTTTGTTACAGGAGATAATTAAATATCTTGACTGCGGAAGCAGGCTGGTTCTCACTGCCAACAAGAAGGGAACTATTTTCTGTCAAAGGTTGCCTCAGTATCACTTCTCATATTTAAAACCACTGCTCATCAAACCAGATCTGAGGCCAGTTTAACCCCCCATCGAGGGAAATACTGAAGTCAGCTTTCTCTAGTAGGAGAATAAATTAAATGATTCCCACTGGTTGATTTTAACAGATTTATGTGATTTGATTATGTTTCTTCCTCTTTGTTGTACATTTCTGAGCTCAGTGAGACTACTTAAATAAAGGTTATATATACATGAGGATACTTGTGTCTGCAGCTTGTTCTGCTGCCTTCAGGTGAGCTAAAAATCCAGGAACTCTTTGTAAATCATAAGCTGTGTTTCCATTCACTTACACATTAAAACATCTGGATGGAAACGCCTAAAATTTGAAAAAAGAACTTGAAATATGAGTTTTAACACTCCTTGAAGTAGAAAAGTTTTGACAATGGAAACAAACTTAGCATCAGCAATGGGGAGACAAACATAAATGCCATATTTACATCATATTTTCTTTTAATCGTTTCATCTTGTTGGAAGACTACACTTAATGCATCTTCTTTATACAAATGTTACCACTCATATAAACAGCTGACGTATACGATGAAAACAATCTACAATTAATAGATTTTCAAATTGGTTTTGGGGCTTACATTTTTGTAATAATACAAATAAATAAATAACTAATAAGCACTCAAAACAACTGAGTTATTAATTCAACAGTTTGTTTTTGAGTTTAATTCATGAGAATGAGGAGGATTAAGTTACGTTAACTTACTTCTTTTATTGGGATTTAAAATGTTCATGTGGGCAAAACAACAACAACAACAGGAACTTATTGTAAATCTTTGATATGTAAAATTGTCTCAAGACTGGAATTATCCTCAAAGTAAATGAAATGCTGCTGCTGGCGACCTTAAATCCGTCTAAGCTTTATATTTTTATATCTAACTCAAGAAACCTGCAAAATAAATCAGTGAACTCCTGCTTTCTCATTCCTCAGATGTTTGTTTTTAAGTGATCGGTGAAAAACCATTACAGATGCACAAAGCCAGCGAAAGGCCCAGATGAACGGCGTGAGCGGTGATTAGCTCCCCTCCCTCCCCAGACAGTGATGCATCGCCGCCATTTACCAGGACGCAGGAAAGCAGAGCAATTTGAGAGGCATCGCAACTAACCCCACCCCCCCCACCCCACCCCACCTCTTCAACCCCTTTGCTTTCAGCCCCACCACCATCACTGCTGCTCTCTGCCTCCACCGCCCCGAGCTAAAAATAGCCTGTCCTCTCTCATCACCCAGCCATCACGTCAGGGCCGCGTTCACTCTCATTTGCTGCCCACGCCTCCTTCTTTTTTTTTTTCTACGTTGTGATGTTTTGACAGCGTCAGATGATCACATTAGCTGTTGGTCACCCATCAAGGGAAAAAAAGAGACTTCCAGCTAATTTAATAATAATAATCAGTTTTCAAATAGTTTTTGCTGATATTGAACTCTGTTTTATTCTCTTCTGTAAGTCCTGTTGCATTTAATTTTTTGCATTCCTCAGACTGGATTGAGGAAGGAAATTGTTTTGAAACATGACTTCTGCTCCATATCTGGTATTTCTGCAATACGAGTGTGACATCTTGTGACAGCTTCCACAGAGCTATGTGTTAATTCTCGAGCCCTGAATTCATGTCACTGTGCACGGCTCGTTCAGCAGCTGCTCGTTGAGTCTCACCTCGGCTGTTTCTCGTTCACAGGGAGGAGGGTGGAAACCATCGCTGGGAGATGGACTGCAGGTCAGTGACAACATCTCTTTATCTTTATTTTTTGTGAAACATTCAGATCATTTAGTTTGAATAAAAGCAGCAACAATGAACAAGTACTCAGTTACAAGGTGAAGTCCTTCATGCAAAATCCTACTTAAGTATTAGCAGCAAAATGTACTAAAGTATCAAAAGTGAAAGTAGTTCAGTAAATCAGTGACTGATTCTATGTGACATTATCAGATTAATGCTGATGCATCAGTGTTAGAGCAGCATTTTACTGTTGTGGCTGCTCTAGTTCGAGCTAGTTTGAACTTCTCTATATACAGTTTAGTTCCCAAACTAGGGGTCGGGCCCCTCCAAAGGGTCATAAGATGATTCATTTATTTTAAACTTTTTACATTTGAGGACAAGAATTTTGAGACGACCAGCACAAGATGCAAAAAATGGAAATTAACAGACAAAACAACCCTAAAAAATACGATATTAAATTAAATAATAACTTAGTACTCTCACATAAGGGCTTTAACTTCCCAAACTGTCTCTTTTACATGCACAAAACTAACAAGAAATAAAATAAAACAAACACTCTCCAAGACCAAATAAGACTATGTGAGCAGCACTGAGCCTACTTATAAACTGAACATGAAAGAAAAATAGTCAAAAACAAGAACAAGTTCATTTGAGTTAAACGAGCAAAGAAGTGTTGAAGTCATTAAAAAAAAGAAGTAACAGATCTGAACGAGTTGTTCCAGACGGACGCTGCTTTTAAATTTAAAAGATTAATGATGTAAGAAAGAAGTTCTTGGACTTTTCTCTAATATTTGCTTCTTGTTTTTTAAGAGTTATTTAAATGAAACCATCTGAGACGTAACAAGGAGCCTCAACTCGATGCTGGGAGTCACAAACCAAAAAGGTTTAATATTTAACAATGTGTTGTATTTTATAAGCTTTTTTTAGGATTTATATATAGAGCAAAGGTTGAGTGTTTACAGACATTGTAATGCAGAAATTATGCATTTTATATCTTTAAAGCAGCAACAAGGAACTTTAATTTGTGTTGCTTCTGGCGGCCTCTGTGGACAAAGACGGTAGTGTCCCTGCTGCCTCGTTTCATTGATTATAGACCGAATCCGACCCGCTGAACAGCCAATCTTCTAACTGATAATTTGTTGTGTTTATGGAGGTCATATAGAGGTATTCAGCATTGAACTGAGACTCTTTCATAACCAGTTAAAAAACTCCTAAGTGTACCTAATCTTTAAACCCTGTAACCTCGCCACCAGGTAGTAATAATGAAATTGCAACTTGGCTGAAGTGAAAAACAAATCCAGTGGGAATTTAAACAACAAACAAACACACACACACACACGCCGCAGCATGCCGGCATCTCGACAAAATACCCTCAGTAACATCACAGGAGTGCGGTGACCCTGCAACCCAGGCACGGGAGGAGTAACAGGAGTGTCTGCTGAGGGAAGACGTGTTTGACAAGATCACAAATTAACAGCTGTAATAGTGGCAGATGTTCCCCGTCGTGGAGCTGTGTGTATATAAGCGAGGGGCTGGAGGTGCTCAGAGAGCCAGGGGTTGATTCTGTTAGCGTGTGTTCTGCTGATGCTCAGATAAAGTGTGTTTGTGTGTGTGTGTGTGTGCAGGGCGGAGTACCCATCAACAAGTCATTTCATTCTGCACAACCCTGCAGCTCGAGGATAAAACGAGAGGCTGAGAGCGAAGGAGAGCGGCTGTTTGTTGGTATGACAGTGAGTTTAATCTCGGTGTAAGTTGCTGGAGTCCTCAGCTTCGTCCCTTAAACTCTTAATTCTTGTGCCGGATGTTTGAAATGTCCTGAAATAATATGAAGCAGCGACAGCCACTCGATGCCCCCTATAGAAACGCGCCTGCCGTCTGCAGGTGGGATATTTTTAACCTCAAACCCTCTGAGACGTGTTGGCTGGATGTAATTAAAGAGACGTTTATAAAGCATAGACATGTGAGTCATGGAGTTTATCCTACGCTCGCAGCGCTCACTCAGTGCACATCAGGTCTCATTCAAAGAGAGAGACAGGGAGCTCCAGTTTCTCATGTATGAACATCCAGTTACAGAGAAACACCTTTTTTTTAATGGTTTTTCCAGAAGTCCCAGTGTGTAACATTGAGGAGGATCTATTAGCAGCCATGTTGAACCGCCATGTTTCTACGATAGCCCAACCTTTTTCCTTAAGGGACCCTTTTTTTATCATTGAGTAAACATCTTAAGTCACATATTTTATGGATATTTCTCTCACTAACTCATTAACTGCAGGAAGTTTGCGTAAAACGAGTGATTTCTGCTGAATTCTGAGCAGATTTTTAAACAATTCTCTGTCTGTATTATGTATTTTACTTTATTTAACAATCCTGCATACTTAATAGGCTTCTGCTTCCAGGCTGTTTTCTTCTCATTATTCTATCAGCTCTTTGGTTGTTTGAACCTTTCTAACGCAGGACGAGACGTCTCAAATAAAAATCTAAACATTAAAAAATAACAGTTTATAATCAGTAAGTGTTTCTAACTATTGTTAATCAAAGCTTTCTCTATCACGGCTATCAACCTGAGATTGCTCTTCAGTCTCCAGTGGCTCCTGTTATTTTAATATTTAATTTATTTATCATTTATTGTTGCTGAAAGTGATTCTGACATTCTCCAGTTTGTTACCTTTGAATGAGCCATAAAACTGTCTGTAATGAGTCTCACGTCCACTGTAGTTGCACATTAACACATATTTCTTTGCATATAGGCTTTAATTTTAGCATTTTGAATCACTCTGTTGGCGTTAAACGTACAATTTAAGCTGTTTAAGTGTAGAAAAGCTGCTGCAGCGTCCATGTAAACGCAGACTGTAGCCACTGAGGCACTACAGTCTCCTCGCAGCCGTAGGCCGGATCATACACGAGGCATTTTTAAGGCGCATGGCTTGAGTCATTCACTGATTTGTTAGTCAAAAGGAAAAGACCTGTGTTGGCGCCACTCAGCTGGCTCATTCAAATTCTGTGGACAATGCAGGTGAGACAAACACACAGCGGGAGAGGCAGGATGGTCACGACACCCTGCGAATAGATGCATAATCATCAGAGCAGGTGATCTGCCTCTGGGAGCGCAGATAAAAAGTGATTCATGCACATGATCTGCATGTGGCTTCGCTGCACGCCACTTCGTCTCTAGTATCACATTTAAAAATATAATAATCACATCTTAATGGAGGCGTTAAGGATTTGTGTGGATGTGTGTCGGCAGAGCTCTGCTGCTTTACGGTTTGTGTTTCACTGTGTTGAATGTCCTGATTTTAAGCTCTAAAGGTCCAGTTGTGTAACATTGAGGAAGATCTACTGGCAGAATTACAGTATAATATTCATAGGTATGTTTTCATTAGTGTATAATCTTCTAAATCTAATAATAATATAACATTTGTTGTGTTTTTGTTACCTTAGAATGAGACGTTTTATATCTACAGACGTGTTTCATACATTACCTGGTGCCTTTCCTCCACATTTTGCTGAACATCAATGGGCTAACTAGTCTTGTGTCTGCTTAGCTAGGCAAGCTATGAAGTCTAAATCCACAAAAAAAGGAAAAGTCTCAGAGGAAAGTAGAGAATTGAGTAGTGTGTGGATTTGTTTGCTTTCATCATCCAACGCTACTGGCTTACTGGGATGCTCGAAATTAGCATTATAAGGCTTAGACAGCCAGAAATGGCTCTTTTGATTGTGACAGTTGGTGACTCCTGCAACAACTAGTCAATTAATCAATTAGTTTAAATCATTTTTTTAATGCAAAAATGCCCAAAACTTCTCAGTTTTATTTCATTGTATTATTTATATCTTTGGCTTTTGGTTGGTCGGACAAAACGAGACATTTGAAAATAAAACCGTCGACTTGTTTTGTGGCATTTTGTGAGCCAAATGATTAATCAATCAACTGAGGAAATAATGGGGCGGATTAATAGATACTGACATAATCAGAGAAGGCAAATTGTTTACAGCAAAAAGATTACAGCTTCTCAAATGTGAGGATTTGCTGTTTGTCTCTGTTTTATGTCATTAATGTCACTGTAAAAGGAAAACATTAGAAAACGTCACCTTGGACTCTATTATATCTATTTGTTGCCCTCTTTAATCAACCAAAAAAAGGTTTTATACACATTTTTTATGACTGCTTTCTCTTTATATTTGATACAAAATGAGACATTTACTAAAGAAATTAATCTTTTCCTTTTCTTTTTCTTTGAATATGGGGAAAATCCATAATAATAATAACAATAGAAGTAAAATACTAATCAAATAAAAGAGGAAAATAATAATAATAATAATGTACAGATGTTTAGCTTGTAGTTAAATTCTATCAAAAAGAGATTTATATTAATGGGAAATGTCGCTCTGTGTGTATTTAAAATGAGATTAACAATAAAACATTTTAGCTATAAATTCTCTCACTCGACACAAATTCCTGAAAACTTCCCTGACGAGTTGGCAGTCATCAGACGAGCGGAGCGCCGAGTCTCAGCGTCGGGGGGGGGGGGGGGTGGTTGATGAGCTCTGAAAAAGGCAATCAATCTGGTGGGCTGCACCGTCGACTCACCGCGTCACAACACACTCCACCAATCGGGCTTCAGCCTCATGCGTCTCCATGGTAACAGAGCTTCCTCAGTCCCAAGGAGGTGGAGACAGCGAAGAGGGAAGGGGTGGGTGGTGGGGGAAACAGAGCAGAGGTGGCTGGGGAGGAAGAAGAGAAGGAAGAGGTGGGAGAGAGAGAGAGAGAGAGAGAGAGAGAGAGAGAGAGAATCGATACCTTCTCTTATTTCGCTGTGAGGATTTTAAAAAGCGAGGCTCCTTCCCGATCAGGGGGGCGAGCCGGTGAGGATTGGCTGACAGCAGCGAGCGCAGGGAGGATGGGGTGGAAGGATGCCTGGGCTGCTGGTCTCTTAAGGACCAGGATCTGCAATGGCCCCCTAAGCCTCCCCTGCTCAGTGGATCAGCTGTGCTGCGAGGTAAACATCTGCTTTTCTCTCGCTCGTTAAAAGGCGGCGTTTTTCCTCTCAGCTGCACTGTTGTGAAAACAAATCAGATTGCAACATGGACGCCTGCCTGTTCTGGACCTGAACCTCTGGCTGGTCCCGGACTGATGTAGATGCAGAAGACAACATTAGGTTGAGGATCTGCAGGTGGCTGCTGTTTTTTTGGGAGGTTGGGAGGGGGGGGACTGCAAAGGTGGCAGTGTGCGGGATTGATCTGCGGGGATCAATGTGACTGCTTCAGTGGTGAAATGTCTGCTTGTGTTGTGTGCAAACACATGTTTAATGGTCACGTTGGGTGGTTGTGATGTGCTGCACGTTCGGGGAGTTTTTCATCTCTGAGTAGTGTGCGCTGACGGGAGGAAGCTGGGAAAATCAATCAGTGTAGGAGGTAATAGTTTGCACAGGAAAGACAGCTAGTAATACTCTGAATTTTGCTCATTTTTACTGCATATTTTGGAGGCGTTAAGCTACAGCTGATCTACATTTCCAGATAATTTGAATGAGAAGTACTTGAAGAAATGATCCCACAGTGTGTTTGTCATCCTCGGCCCGCCTGTGTGTGCTTGGCAGACGTCATCCGCTTCATCCGGCGTGTTTTCTTCAGATGTGATTTTCAGTGATGTGTTTTAAATCCGTGTGTGTGTGTGTGTGTGTTTATTATGATTATCAAAAGTGGAGACAAATCCCGCCAGGGGATCTTGTCAGCGCCGCACGACTCATGTAGCTCTTCTAACCGAATCAGATGCATCCCGGTGCATCACACTATGATGTGTAAAGAAGACATGAAGCATCCTTGGTGTTGTATTTGCTGGTGCATGTCAGATTACAGGGGGGCAGATAGACGTATGCTTCATATACCGTGTGTCCTCGTGATTATGGTAATTCATTGAAGATGCATTCTGCCGTCACGTTCTGAGGAATTTAAAGTGGCTTTCTGATTTTCATGAAATAAACATGACCATCGCACATTAAAGAGGGACTTACCAACGCAAACATGAGAGCTTATGAGGAGATCAACAAGAGGGAGATGTTCTTGTGCGAGTCGCCGAAGTAACGGCAAAAAAAAAAAAAAAAAAAAAAAAGGGGGAACCTCCCTTTCGGGTTCAGGGTGCAGAATTAGCTGTTAGCGTGTAGCGATTTTGCCAGAGGTGGGTGAGGAAGAAGCGTACGTTTTAAAGGTCGAGTGTGTCGGATTTTAGTGGCATCTACCGGCGTAGTTCTGATGAATCGAGTTTCTGCAGACAGCAAACAGATACAGTTATCAACTAGCTGGTGAACATAATCGAGCATTTACAGCTAAATATTTCCCTCAGGAGTCGGTGGAGACCAAAAACAGAGCTAAAAGAGAGTGAATATTGGATTTAATTCACCAAACACCACCACAAACGAATGCTGATGTTGCTCCTATGTTGCTATCTATTAATTCTATGTTCTGTATGTAGTTGAGGTCTGACATTATCTCAAATGTTTTCCAACAATGTTCAAACTTATTCAGGTAACGCTGCGTTTCACCGGTCGCCTGTCGATGGCGTCATATCCCCTTTGTGCCTGCGTCAGCGTTGTGGTTGTCTGCCAGAAGCTGTCATACACTGACTGTTTATCCAGTCTGAAGCCACATTGTTACCATCCACTGTTTAGATCTTGGTGCTTTTTAACTCTAGATTTGAACCGGATGAAGGATTTTAGTCATCGGACGTCTGGATCTTAAGTTATCAGAGAAACAAGGGGGAGAAGCAGTGATTGTTAAGGTGGAACTGCTTTCTTCAGTGTTTATAGTGGTTTTAATCAGCGGGTCTGTTGCTGCTTCACCACAACTTCATCTTCTGTTATTGTTTTGATGTGAGAGACTTCCTCTAGCGGCAGAAATTACACACTGTACTTTTAAAAGGTGATAATAAGTCAGTGTGGTCTCTTCAGTTCATAGATGTTATCTGAAGTTTTTTTTTTAGAGGTAAGTGGTCTCAGCTCTTCACATTCAGGCAGAAACACTCACAGTGTTGAGCGTAGCGTGAATGGGTTGACGGTAGGCCGGAGTGGGTTTTTCGACCCCCGGGAAGAAGGTGCTGGCAGGCGTTGATGTGTGTAATGGACCAGAGCTGTTTTTCCTCTGAGGCGGTTGCCTCGGTGGCAAATTTGGTGCAATTTAGCTGTAGGCCTTCTCTGTCTGCCATCACACAGGACTTTGATGGAGGGCAGCTGGCAGCCAGTCACCCTCTCAGTGGGGCAGATGAGACATTTACTTTCTCTGCGGAGGCGGAGTGGACACTGTGATTTTCGGCTGTGAGCTCAATTAGGAGGCTTTTTTTTTCTCCTCCGAATTTAGCCAGGAAACTACGGGATTGTTTGAAGTTTTCCCCCCCGGCCGGCTGCACAAAGACAATCCTCTCTTGGAGGTTTTTGCCGGTGATTGTGAAAATGTTTTCACACCACAGCGGCACTCCGAGCCACCCGGCAGCGCTCGCAGTCGTTGATTCCTATAGAGGCCGTTCTGCCTTTATGATTGGCTCCATGTTTTATTCCTAATGCTGTAAAACTTCATCAGATAAATGGATTAGAGTGGGTAGAGGTGCACAGGGAAGCCAGAAAGCTCATTTCCCTGCATGCTGTGGTCTGGTAGCTCTGTTGGAAATTGGCCATAAGCCCGAGGGAACTTTGTTTAGGTCTGAACCCAAAGTAATTAGAAGGAATGGAGGAATCAGAAAGAGATATTGAAGGATGTTTGAGATGAAAAGCATTACATCACATGCTGGTGAAGTGCTTCCTGTTATTCTGTGTGTAGTGTAACGGTAAATGGACTTCATTTGTATCGTGAGACAACTCAAAGCGCTTTTACACTACGACCACATGACGCAGCATCAGGAGCCACTTGGGGTTCAGATACTTCGACGTGCAGCGAGGAGGAGCCGAGTAATTGAAGTTTTTGGTTGTCTGTTCCACATTTTAATGTTCTAGTTTCAGGGTTAAACGGTCAGCTTATGTTGCTATTGGGCAACATGAATATATACTAAAATACTTGTGTTACAGATGTGCTATGAAAAGCTTTAGACCATCAATGTACTTAATACTGTACGATAATCAATGATCTTTATGTTTCTGTCTCTGGTTATTTCTTAATTTTGTGTTAGAACAAACTTCTTATTCTGGTTTTGTAATGAAACATTAAATGGCATTAATGTAGAGCTGTTGTTGGATAATATGTAAACTGCTCTGATGATTAGTGATTTATAGTAATCGATTAGTCGATTGACAGAAAAATAATCAAAATATTTGATAATTGAGCCAAATATTCTCTGGTTCCAGCGTCTCAAACGTGAGGATTTGCTGCTTTTCTCTGTTGTCTTTCATTGTGAACTGAATATCTTTGAGTTTAGGGAGCAAAGATGTTTGTTGCCTCTGGAAACTTGATGGATTATTTGTCAGTATTTTGTAACTTAGCTTAAGGGATCAGTGTGTCGGAACAGTGAACACAACATAACATATCATCACCTTTTAAGTTGATCTTATTGGCAAACAGTGGCTTTGTTACACATTCAGCAGTTACAGAAAAACATTATCGTTCACTTGTTTGTGTCCAACATTCACTCTCTTTTAGCTCTGTTTTTGGTCTCTTCCAACTCCTGAGGGAAATATTTGCCTCTTTAGCCACCAAATACTCCACATTGTTCACCAGCTAGTTGCTAACTGTGTGTTTTGCTGCTTTTTTAGAGTTTTTTCTGCTGAAAATGACACTTTGAGAGCAGTAAGAAGGAACAAAACGGTGAATTTGTGGTCAGTGAAACTGAAACAACTTAGACAAGTAATTTAGCGTCTAAGGCTGCAACTGATTATTGTCTCCTCGCTGTAAAGCAACCACCCTCTTGAGATCATCCTTCAGTTTCTGTTCATCTTTTTTCCAGCGAATGCAGGCGGCTGCATTTGATGTGCTGACTCACAGCTCACTTAGCTGATGGAGGCAAATAAAAAAAAACAAAAAAACAAAAGGCTCGGGTCTTTCACGCATCTCTGTATCTGTCTATCTGTCAGTTTTCATCTGTCTCTATCTCACATTTTTGCTTTATGGGGATTACTGTGTCTCTATATATAGTCGTTCCTCTGTCGGTCAAGGACTTATTCTTCACAGGATTCAGTGAGAAATGCCTCTCTCCATTTCCCTGCCGTAATTGTATCAGAGCACGAACCCCTTCGGCACGGTAAATAAGGTCGTATGTTACAGCCTCTGGAGAGCCGCTTGGATTTGAATCTCCCTTCATGGTTGATCCAGAGCGCGCTGCAGATTTAATACCTGTAGCTGTTGTTTCACTGCGTGCATCGTGGGAATTAGCACTTGTAGCTCACACACGTATTTCATCTAGAAAAGCCTCGGTGTGGGTTTTGGAGGGCTGAATGATGACCCGGCTATATTTCTTCATTCACATGCCATGTTATTAATGGCCGTGGCTATTTTTAGCTAACTAAACTGATCACAGGACAAGATGAATCTGGGTGGCTTACTAACAGTTTCCTGGGGGGGAAATTCTGTTATTTGTTCTGAGCTTCTTTAACAAATTAAGAGTGAATTTTAAAAGATTAAGTTCTTTATAATTTAATTTCTCTCCCCTTTTTTTGTTTCTTACATAATTTATATCTTTTGATATTGTGAATTTTAAATTATAACGGTGGAGGTAATACATTTTCCCTCCCCCCTGCTGTCTTTCATTTTAAGTCCAATAACATTTTTAAAGTCTAGAAGATTTACAAGATTAAATTATTTGTCTCCGTTCAAGTTAACGAAGGGCTGAACTTCTTCTTTTTCTTCTGTAGTGTGCTCCTTAAATGGGTTTCATGAATGTCTGGACAACATTTTGTGGCCATAAATACAAAGTTTATACTTATTATTTGAGTCTGGACCAACACTACTAGCGTACATGAAATTTTACATCTTAAACAAATGTTAAAAAGCTCCTGAAGCTCCATCAGGATGTGAACTACAGGGGAAACATGAGCTTCCCTGAAAACATGACATGTGAAATGATGGAGGGGTGGTCTCTAAATTACTGACAATAAGCTATTTTTGCCATTTCTTTCTGTATCTTCATCATCGTGAATCATACGTAGGCTAAAAGGGTGATTAATAGTTCTAATTTAACTCAATTATCAGAACAGACAGACTCTCTAAGTCCCACTCAGTCTGCACATTGCATTATTTGTTGCTCTGCTTTGTAAGTCAGCATAATGTGAGTCAATCAGTCCTCTCTTGGGGCAGTAAAAGTGAAAGCCAAGGTATAGTTCGCACACTGAAGCGGCGTGTTGTCGGCGGGAGGAGCTTCCAGGCTGCTTTCACTGTCGTACTGTACTGTCTGACCTCCACGGTTCATCTGTTACTGCAGCTTGACCAAACATGCATAGCCTAATCACACACAGATGGACAGACTGTGGGACACAACCTGTACACTGCACACACACACACACACACACACACACACACACACACACACACACACACACACACACACACCACTTTTCATTTGACATGTCAGCTCCTCCTCCTCCTTTCTCTCTCATGTTAAGACAGCGTCAGGTTTGCGGTCCGTCTTAATCCGTCTGAGATTAAGTAGCCGTTGTCATGTGACTCTTGAACTCGACCCCTGTCTGTGCGGTCGGTGTGCGACTGGTCCCCTCGGCTGCCTCGCAACCGTCACACACTGTCACCGCTGTTTGGATAGATGGGTTGGGATAGATGGGATGGCAGTGTTTATTTTTCAGGGAGTGAGCCAGATATTAAATCCTAAATGCTGTTAACGTACCGCCTGTAACATACAGACTTAAATTATCTGATTAACACCGAACAATGCATCATATTTTATAAACTGACCACATGTTTTCTTGTAAAAGCTTAATCTGTGCAGTAAAATAACTATTAGGTGTCAAATAAATGTGTAAAGTAGCAGGAAAAATAAATAAATACTCACGTAAAGAACCTCAATACTGTACTTACATGGCATTATGGTTAGTTTTTTCCTGAAAATAAAATCTTCATCAGTACAAAATGTGTTAATATCATATTTCTCTGTTTAATTTGTCCCACAGTTTGGTTGAATAGGGAAGCATTCAGAGCTAAAAGGCTTTGCTAATGTTACAGAAGTATTTTTATGCTCCATGTGCTCTAGATTACTGATTCCCAACCCTAAAGCTTTGGGTCAGTTTACACAGAAAGGCTACGCCACACTTCCTCAGAAGATGATAGAACTATTTTTCCTCTTCAGATGTGTAGTTCACATCTTCAGTATTACAGAAACATATCACGTGTTTGGGCAACAAAGCTTTCACATGGCAGAAATGTAAAAAAAAATGTCACCTTTAATCCACCTCACTCACAGACGATGAAAGCTTTGTTGGACTGACCACAACTTGGGGGAATCTTCAGTGTGTAGCCCGAGTTGGGATTTAGGTTGCTGGGGGATTTCAGGCGTAGGTCAGTGGATTACCTTGTAATAGATCTGTAGGAGGGAAGGAGGACACACACACACAGGATGTGTTGGCTTGTGTACGAGGGGGGTTTAATCCTCGAGACAAACATGCTAACTCCTCCTCTGCTTCGTAACGCTGGAAGCTAAAAATCTACTTATTCCTACACTTCTTCTCCCCTTCTGTCCTCTCTCAGGTGTGAATAACGATGACTCCCGTCCTCGCTGTTTGAACATGCTGCTTGGGTAGCGAAGCCGACCGAGAGGAGCGACTACCCCTCTTACACTCCTGCCCCTCTGGACACACACACACACACACACACACAGAGAGAGAGAGAGTCGGCCCAATTCAAGCACAACCATGCTGATCAAGGAGTATCGCATCCCCATGCCGATGAGCGTGGAGGAGTACCGCATTGCTCAGCTCTACATGATCCAGGTGAGTGGTTTTTTCCTCAGACAGCACATTAAAAAAAAAGGCTGTTTCTGTTACCTCAGATAAAAGGCCCGGCAGTACGAGGAAAGTACGAGGAAGCTGGAAGTGATGATTCAGATCATGCGCCAGCTAACACGAGGTTCAGGTTTGTGTGTGTGTGTGTGAAGGCGGGCGGAGGTCAGGAGTTTAAAGTGTCATTGTGTCGTACTGTACCAGAACAGGAGCGCTGAGGAGCGTTTTCAGAGGGGTCACAGGGGCTGGTGTTGTTCTGCAGACCAGATGGTGCTCCATATGCCGGTTGGATTGTGTTTCATTCAATAATTTTTGTGCAAATACACACAGAGCAAATTCCACTTTCCTCTGAGGAAGAAGTGATATTAACAAGTCATAAATCAAGGAAACACAAGTATATGCAAAAAGCAGTTTGTTATCATGTGTATGCTTTATTTTATGTTTGAGTTGTGGCTTTGTGTTTTGAAACTTGTGTACACTGAGACTTTGTGCAGGTGCAGTTATATATAGAAGCCCATTTCTGCCAATATGATGAGAAAAAAATCTTTTTAATGAGAAATTTTCTTTTGATCCATTAATATTTCAAATATTGGGAAAGTTTCTCATTATAATGACAAAATCTTCTTGTTATTTTCACACGTCATGGAAAACCTGAAAAACCTGGAAGTTTAGAGAATAGTTTTCCAGTCATGCAAACACCTGGAATCATATTTTATCCCCTCGTGCAGATTGCTGGTACATATTTAGTTTGAAACTCGACTGTTGGCAGGATAATCTGCACGTGACACCAGACGCAAAGCTTGCAGCGATCTCTTTTCGAGAGTCGATCATTTTTCTTGCCAGTTTCCTGTTGGACAGTAATTTGCAGCCCAGGATGTGTCGATACTTTATGCACCAGCTCAGTCGTACACATATATTCATTGTTTTCATTCTGTATTTTGGCCAAAGTGCTGGTCTGACTGGTGGCTGTTTCCAAGCGGTGACTCTTGACTGTTTTTTTTGGCACAGAGCTGATTAGATCTGCTCCTGGTGACTGAATTCATCCAAACAAGTAACCAGTATCATGTTCAATTTCTCACATTTACAACAAACTAAATCTGATGGAAATCGGTTCAGACTGAAGCGAGTTACAGTCGATTTTGTAGTGAAGTCTGCACCTCTCAGTACTGTTAACTAGCAGATCGTGACCTCCCCAATGCGGTGGCCGCGCAGCTGCACGTCAAATCAAGAACACGGTACCCACGTGTCTACATCTACGCTCTCGCCGCTACCAAGTCTCGCATTTAAAGCTGTTTCTGCTACTGGTATCAGTATCAGAACAATCCTAGCTTACTCATTGTTGTTGGATGTTTGAGCTTCTCTGTGCAGAACGATTTAGGTGCTGCTGAAGAACAGAGTGGGTGTAATTTTAAGGATTTTTTTAACAAGATAATTGAACTGTTTTGTGGAGAAATTCAATCAGGCACGAATCATCTTGTGTCTTAAACTGTGTCTGGAGGGGCTCTTTAATAAACGGCCAAAAACCAGATGATCGGATCTTCGTCGACTAAATTAATTCAGTCTTATACAACAACAGTCAATAAATCCTGACTTAGCAAAGAGTTTTATAGGTAATAATGCAGCCTTTTATATATTCTACCATAATTATTAAACAATATTCATATAAATACAATTATATATATCTTTTGTTGGCGGTGTTTGAGAACCTCAGATTTTACTGTAAAACCACTGAAACGTGTGCCCATCGCTCGAGGTTTCCCCCCCATCCTCCCTCCCTCCCTCCCTCCCTCCCTCCCTCCCTCCTCTCGCTCAGCGTCACAGTTGAGCACCGGTTGCCATGGTAACCGGTGACATCAGCTGCAGCATGGCAGCGGCTGCCATCATTTGTTTGTGATATGGGCGAGAGACAGAGAGAGAGAGACGTCGAAAAGAGGAAGGGAGGGGAGGGAGGGATGGAGGACAGACGTGATGGTGCAGTCGGCGTTACCATGACAACTTCATGTCTAGCTCTAAATACAGGATACAGTTTATATTCATCACTCATGTACATCATGGTGGGGGGGGTGGGGGGTGGGGTGGATACAGTGACATCAACAACCTTACATTATATAGAGTTTAGTGGTTTTTTTTGTGTTTTAACTCCATTTTCTCCCCAAATACTCACTGGAGCACCGAATGTGGATTAATCCGCCGCTGGAAATAGTCCCCTAACAAATGCACTATTCTCTCCTGTTTGATAAAAACTACTGTGTCTGTTTGTTTTACGAAATTATCTCTAAATGTCTGCAGTAGGAGTTAATAATCTGGCTGTGTATCGGCAATAATCTGGTGATATGATACGAATCCCGATACAAAGGTTACAGTTCGATATATTGTGATATATTGCAAACCACCATATGGACAAAAACTGTACTTTCACTGTAACATCCACCTTCATAACCCTCAGTTTATGTTTACAACACTGCTGTCTTGTGGTTTTTGGTTTAAAAGTCTATTCAGTGTTTTTGAGAATCGATACAAAACAAAATATATCACAATGCGCTGTTTTGATATTTTCTAACAACGCTAATAGGGAAGTCAGAAAATATCAAAAGATAGACTGTTGGTTTTGGTATTTTTATGGGATACAGTAACAGACTAACCAGACTTATAACTCTAAACTATATTGAACCACAGGTCTGTGTGTTCGAGTCCAACCTTCTCTCTCTCCCTTTCTTCCCAATCTTAAACTGTCGTATGGAACAAATAAATTCAGATGTTTATTACCCCCAGAAGTATATGAAGAAGTCCTTTTTTAAATCTGTCCCAGAAACCTGAAGCATTTCAGTAAAACCTTCACAACCATACGGCCTCAAAACTTACCACACGGTTAGCTCAGCTCTCAATTTCAACAAAAAAAGTATAAAGTCTTAAACTTTGCTAATTTATTGAATAACATCACACAGATAGTGTTTCACTGTCTACAACAGGTTGTAGTGGCTGTGTAAAGGCGGTGCGTTGAGCTCAATGAACGACTGCAGGCCAACAAACTCACAATAACAATGCTAACATGCTCTCCCAGAAGAGTGTTCACCATCTTCACCGGCTTTGTTCAAGGTGTCAGAGGATCACGAATGTTACTACAGTTCAGACATTAACGCACCACATTTAATATAAATCCATCCAACAGTTGATGAGATATTTCAGATATTTTATGTAGAAAATACTGAACTTTAATGGCCCTCGATGATGATCTGTTCAGTTAAACATTCTCTGTTCTTTTATGATTCTGTCCACTTTGTCGTCGCAGCATGTGAGTTCTCACTGCAGTTTTGCTTTATTTAATAAAACGACCTGACAGTTTGATGCACGAGCGTCGTCTGCTGCCAGTTTTCCAACTGAACGCGAGCACAGAATATGAAAAATGGCAGAACGGCTCAAAGGAAAGAGGGGAGGGAAGGGAGGGGGTATGAAATGTGTGAGCAGCCAGCGATAACGTTTGATGCAGGAGGGTCTAACTGTTGCTCCGGCAGGACCGAACGGAGGCCCGAGGAGGGGAGCTGTGTACCCCTGGTTTATGCTAACCTTGCAGTGTCACATAAATTATTCAGGGACAGCTCAGCCCGGCAGAAACGAGACCCTCAGCAAAGCCAGACCCATTATAATTCCACAGACGAAGTCCACAGAGTGTCTGCTCGAGCTGGTAGAGCTTCTCAAATTGTACAAGGGATCTGTTTTCCTGTCAGCTATTATATGTTTTATTAACTGTTTGTTTCTTCTCTCCTCACTTTACAGCCCGATTCTGACTCATCTTTCCTCATGTAGACCTTCTGTGTTTCAGACACTCAGCTTTAAGCTCTTAAAGACTTGAGTAACGTTTCCTAGAAAGATTCCTCGAAAGAACTGTATGGTACTGATTAAATAATAAGAATCCCTGAAAGAACAACTCGTTTTAAACCGTAATAAGTATTAAAGGGCCAGTGTGTAACATTTAGGAGGATCTATGAGCAGAGATGGAATATTATATTCATCTGTATGTTTTCTTTAGTGTATAATCACCTAAATATGAGTTTTTGTTACCTTATAAGGAGCTGTTTTTATCTACAGAGGGAGCAGGGTCATAGGATGCAGCGTTAGAGGCACAAAAAAAGTTAGTTTTCCAGGTATAAAATGACCCGGATCTTCCACAGATCGTTCCACATTGTATACTAAAGAGCAGCTGACTTCCTGTTTTAGCCCTCCACTAACTTAAACAGGGATAAAATGATCTAATTGTGAAATTCAGAGTCATTTCATGGAGGAAAAGATTGGTTTCTGAGCTGTATGTCATCCGTATTCATGTCTTTATGTCTGTCAGTGGTTGTGACGTTCAGTAAAATGTATCCTTGGATTAGGTTACGGACTCGTAATTAGTAACTGTATCGGATTACGTTTTTTAAAGTAATCCTCCCCAACCCAGGATATATATGAACACTGCTGACTGCAGGAAAAACTTAAAGAAATATACAAAGTGGGCCAATGTCTGAGCATTTGGTTCACTTCTGTGGAAGTAAATTGTCTAATAGAACAATGGCCGAGCGTCAGGGAGAAGAAAACACTGAATTTATAAAAAAAATAAGCTTTTAAGTCTGTTTGATTGTTAAAAATGATTTTAAAAAAGACTACAAATGTAAATAATCTGCTTAAAATCCATCCAAATCACTCGTTTTACACAAACTTCTCACAGTTCACAGTTTGGGTTCATTGTACAGTTTTGAATATAATATGAAATATAGATAAAATATGTCACAGAGTCAGTTTATTTAATGATAGAAAACGGGGTCCCTTAATAAGGAAGAAAAGGTTGGAATAATCTCTAAAGATATGTGTCATTAATTCAGATCCTCTCTCTCCTGATGCAGAAGAGGACGCAGACACGAGGAGGGTAATTTAAGGCCCTCACCTAAATTACATTACCTGCTAGATTACAGCAATTTTCCAGCTGTTTGCCTCTTCTGACCTTCATTACTGATACCACCTCCCTAAAGTCTTCAGCAGAAGAGAGAGAGAGAGAGAGAAGAGCGGCTCCGTGTTCAATCCGAGCTCTCGTTGTTGACCCCGAGCACCCCCCCACTCTCGCTGTTAATAATGATCGCGATGATTTGTATTCACGCAGCGCTGTCCCTTGACCCCCGCGGCACATTACAGTGCAAGGAATAAGACGGATTTTCAATCATCACTTTGAAACCAGAGTACAGTGTTTACAGTGCGCTCGTCCGACATGACTCAGCAGTTACATTGAAACCGCGGCGGCTTATGCAAACTAAGGTTTATTAATTGATTAGTGCAGAATATTTATTATGGATGTGATGTTGGGACAACTGAAACATGCAGTAGAAACACATTTTAACTGATTTTAACTGAGATTCTGCTCCGTCAGTTCAATTTAAATAGGCTTTAGTGGCATTTCCAAAGCAGAATTAACAATAAAAACAATGTTAAAGGAGGAATCATTCATCAATTACAGTGTGATCAATGGCTAAAATAGTAAATAGTAATGTGAATATTGAATATCTGAACAATATGATCAGTGAAGTGACCTCTACGGTGTACCTGAACACAACACGGTGCGTTCAGTGTGTGCAGAGTGGGAGGAGGAAGGACTCACTAAAGGTTCTTTTGGCCCTAATTTGTATGTTAATGAACAGAAAGCAAACACTAATTACAACTTATTGGTTAAGACTGAAGCGTATTTATGTTGTTTTCACAAACAAACACAGAACTGGACGGAATTATTGATTAATTTATCAATGAACTGATCATAAAAAGGCTTTTAAATGACAAAAATGTAGAAAATTTGTCCTCAAATTGTTTGTTTTGTTTGAGCAACAATAAAAAATACCAAAATATTTAATTTACAGTGATATAGTTAATTTAACTAACAAATGTTGAATTTAATCGAACTTTGTAGTTAAAAAGTTAAAAACATTCCTGATTAATAACATTTTACTCTGTATTTTGTTTTTATAGTACAAATAAAATTATTATAACTTAAAATTACTAAAGCTACTTGATCAAGAATGTTTTATAACTTAAAAAATTTAGTTAGTTTTACTTAAAATGTCCAACGTGATCAGAGCTTAATGAACGTTTTTGGTTTTCAGTGTAACAAAAGCAGCACAGCAAGTATAAATACTTAGTTTTGTAGTTTATTTCTGTACTTTACTTATTTACTGTAGTTTTCATTTATTTTTCTGACAACTTTCACACGCTACATTTTTACACAAATATTTGTTCTTTCTACTGCTTACATTCTTCAAAACAGGCTCTGTAATTTAGTTTTAATGCTTTTGAAGGGGAATCGTTGATTTTTACTATTTATTTAGCATCACTGAACGTCTTCCCAACATCAAAACCTGATGAATTCATGAGTGATGGGTGACGAAAACGGCAAAAACGACGTAAAAAAGACGAAAGAGCCTTTACTTTAGTTAAACCAGTATCTCTAATTTAACTTTTTTTTACATAAGTATCTGTATTCCTCTGTAGCTCTGCAGAAAAGAGAGAACATTTTACATTTTTCCTTAATAAATCAATCACTTAAAGGTAGATAACGGAGCTACTGTAGGGTTATTCTACCGGCCATATGTGTGGCTGCTGAGTGCTGCCACCCAGACGGTTACAGTCTAAAACGGAGAGCCTCTTAAGGAGTCGCAGTGTGTTTATAAACCGATGCAGTAATCCACGACTCCCTCTGTGGAGCAACAGGCCTAATACAGGATCTGTGGGATTCAACCATCTGCTGCCTTTTATTAGAGGAAGTTACATGCTGGGGAGAAAAGGGAAATCCTTGAGTCATCCTCCTGTGCAGCGAATCTGTCTCTAAAGATCAGTAAAAAATTAAACATGTTTGGAAAAGTGAGCTGTTGGACGACTGAGGAAGAGAGGAAAGAAATAAATGTAGAGTATAAATAGAAGACGGCATGTGAGTAAAATAAGTAAACGAAGGCCGGAGTATCGTCCATCCGGCTCTGTGAGGGATGTGGAGAGACAGGAGCGCTGTGTGAGGCCGACAGGGCTTTAATTAGGAAGTTAAAGGAAAAGGAATAAAGGGAGGATGTGTGTCAGGGCTAGAGGAGGTTGCACCGCTCAACCTCCTACATTTACCAAAATAACTGAGAAAATCAGGAAGGTCGTGTTCACCCAGTTTCACTTTGATTTATTCACTTGATTAAAATATCTCCAAACAGTGTGTGAGATTATTATTAGGGTAAAAATTCTTATACGTTCACATAGGTCGACTGTTACAGCGGTCTCTAATATGCACTACCTACATTTTATTGTGCTTAAAGCTTAAAATCTTGTATTGCAGTATAAAGCTAGTTACTCCCAGTATTATAAGTATGATAAGTAAAGTTCGTACAAGTTCTTTTTAACCCTGTTTAGCTGCTTAGCTTACATATTTGTTCCTATTTTCACTTTTAATATACACAACCGATGTGTTTGACTCACGTAGCTAACGCCACTCGTAAACGCTATAGTAGCATCTACAGCGAGGACATTTTTATATACTTTTTTTGTTGTTTTTTTTATCTTTAAACACACTTAAAATTGAGCATAAATCCATTTGCAAGAGGCAAATAAGATAAGATAGACTTTATTGATCCAACACTGGGGGGAAATTCAGATACAACACGACAGATAAGAATAATACACATTAAATAAAAATAAACTAATAGCTAATAATTTCCCTGTTTGTGTCGATTGTACAGGAGGTGAATGTTTATATAACTCACCTGTTTAAATTATATTAAAGCTTAAAGTTATGTATAATTAAGGGCGTGGCCCGGCGGAGTGAGGACTTCCTAGCTAGTTTGATTAAAATAAAACATAATTTTTGAGTTTTTGCTCTTTAAACAACAATTTTAATAGTTTTTTTTAGTAAAGTAAACTAAATAATTCAACATTTCTATAGTTTTTCTCCTTGTTACACAACAACCGGTACAGCAGATGTATTATAAATTCAGGAAAAAGCTTTCTCTACACCTGTGAAATAACACAACAAAATGCAAAGACAACAACAAAACAACTCTAACAGTATATATATATATATATCACGTCTTTCCGCCACATTGCAGAAAAAGAGCCGAGAGGAGAGCTGCGGCGAGGGCAGCGGCGTGGAGATCCTGGAGAACAAGCCTTACGAGGACGGCCCCGGAGGCTCGGGTCAGTACACGCACAAGGTCTACCACATCGGCAAACACATCCCGTCCTGGTTCTGTGCCATTCTGCCTCAAGCTGCCCTTCGAGTGGAGGAGGAGTCCTGGAACGCCTACCCGTATACACGAACCCGGTGAGGAAAAAAAAAAGCGGGAAATTACTTCCCAAACATTGAGATATTTTAAATTATGAGTGAGGATAAAGCTTTAAACAGTTAAGCACACAGTACATTAGATGATTTCAGCCTGCTGGCATTAACTTAAAGTACAAAGACTGAACTTTTAGCCATAAAAAGTTTTTATTACGTGGCGTCTGGATTCATAAATTTGACAAATTAAATAAGATTCACTCGATGTTGCTGATGGAGACATTTTTTTGGGAGGGTTTTTTTTTTTTTGGAACAATTTCAGCTGAACAATCACATATTCCCTTACTGCCAACTTTGGGCCACATTTGCCAACTTTTTTACATCCTCCAGATAACTTAATTTCTCTCCAAACTGCTCAGTGTAGCGAAGGTTTTTCAGACCAGCAAGATTTTATGTGCTTGGCACCGATTCTCAGTTCTAACAGATTAGATTTGCAGGACTTCCATCAAAGCTTGTGCATCATATATACTGTATATCACCGGCATCATATTTATATGAAAGTGTCATCATGCTGATGCTGTAAATGTAATAATGTATATAATTCAGCAGTGAGCGACACAGTGTGCAGGAGTCCCTCGTTGTTTTCTGGAAAAGGTCAGAAAAGTTTTTTAAAAAAGCCCAAAATATTCAGATTCCTTTCACATGAAGCAGCAAATCATCACATATGGGAAGCTGGAACCAGCAAATGTTTGATATTAATGCTTGAAAAATGACTCAAATTATGAATTAAAGTATAATTTTCCTGTGATATGTTGTTACTGAGCTTTAGAGCTGACATAAGTCTATTCTAGAGTTTGACTTTTTGGTTAACGAGGTTGTTGTTACAGTAAATTTAATGATAATGCTGAAAAGTTATGAATTGGTTATTCTGAAAAGTCAATTAAAACCTTGTGAATATTGGGAATAATCCTAAAAGATCACAAATAACTATGAAAATGTGGAATTAATCTTGTAAAGTTGAGAATAAGTAAAAGATTTAAATAAATATTTTTATAAATTGAAGGACAAGCACGAGAATTTGGGAATAATCCTTCAAAATCAGGAGTAATGGTAATAATATTAACCCTAAAATGTCAACAATTTATGATTTCTGATTTATAAAATGTATCACAGACTTTTTCCAAACTGGTGATAATTAAGAGAAAACACAGAAAAAGATGGAAATGATCCTGAAACTTTAAAAAGTTGAGAATAAGAAGATAAACAAGTAACATCAGACACACAAAATATGAATAATGCAGAAAAGTCAGGGCTAATGTTGAAACGTGATGAATTGATGTTCCTGAAAAGTCGGTTAGAACCTTGGAAAAATTGGGAATAATCCTGATAATTCCTAAATAATTATTTTCCAAACTCATTGTTGGAATTATCCTGAAAAGTCAACGATAATAATACTATAATAATGCTAATAAATCAGGGATAACCATGATAATTTAGAGAAAACTGAGAAAAAGATGGAAATTATCCTGAAAACCTTTTAAAAAAAAGTTGTGAATAACTCCAAAAAAGTCTAAAATAACCACAAAAGGTCAGAAATATTCCAGAAAAATCAGGACTAAAGATTAAAAGAGAGTCACTCTAAACTGAAAAGTCAATGATAACCATGAAAATTTACATTTAAAAGTTGTGAATAATCCCAAATAACCCTAAAAATGAGTCCATGGTAACCTTGAATTAGGAGTTATCCTGAAAAATCAGTGTTAATTAATTAACACAGTCACAGCTGAAGGTGTGTTCCTCCAAGTATTAACATTTTGTGCCATAAATGACCAAACTGATGGAAGGAAGTTGCATCCCGACCTCTAAACACCCCTCACCTGTTGTATATTCCCTCAGGTACACCTGTCCCTTTGTGGAGAAGTTCTCCATAGATATTGAGACGTATTACAAACCAGACACTGGAAATCAAGTGGATGTCTTCAATATGTCCTCTGCTGAAAAGAGACAGAGGACTGTAGGTAAGTAAACACAATCTACTAACATTATAAAAGCTCTATAAAAGAGTTTTTAATATTTATTTATATATATTTTAATAACGACCCTGATTGTCGTCAGCTCATAAACAGAATCAGGAGCTGAATTTACACAACGTTAGTACTGAATACTAAAATTCACTGGGGTGCTGGAAAAATGTGCAGCCTGCTCCAGACACATTCCCCGCAGGCAGTGATTACATAAAAGCCTCACACACACACACACACACACACACACACACACACACACACACACACACACACACCTCCTGAGGCAGGTGTTCTGTCAGGTCTGCATGCAGTTTTTTTGTTGTTGTTGCATTTTGTGTGATTCATTATCATTTTGTGCCCCCTCTCGTAGACCCCATAGACATCGTAAAGGACTACATCCCTCCTCACGAGTACCTGGTGGAAGAAGACCCCAAGCTGTATCAGTCGGTGAAGACCAAACGGGGTCCGCTGTCGGACGACTGGATCGAGGAAATCAACGAGAATCACGGTCAGAGCCCCGTCATGTGCGCCTACAAGCTCTGCAAAGTGGAGTTCAGATACTGGGGCATGCAGTCCAAGATCGAACGCTTCATACACGACGTGGGTAAGTATGGCAGTGAGTCTTATTGTTACAGACATATTCTTGACATGTTATGCGTTGATATTCCTTAAAAGTCAGTTAAAACCTTCCAAAAATAGGGAATGATCCAGATTTGTAGGATTTATCTTGAAATTTGGGGAATAATCCTGAAAAGATGAGGATAATTCTTAAAAAGTCAAAAGAAATTAAAAGTCAGGATTTACCATGAAAAATCAATAATCCTGAAACAGTCGGGAATAATGCAGAAAGATAAGGACTAAAACTGAAAAGAGAATAACTCAGGTAGTAAGTCAGGTATAATCATTAAAAGTGAGAAGTGAGAAGAAAGAATTGGGGATGATCCCGGAAAGTCAGGAATTTCTGGGTTATTGCTGACTTTTAATATTTAACACTGTATTTCCAAACTCACACATTGTGGGAATTATCCTGAAAAGTCAGAAATAATAACCTTAAACTGTTGAGAATAATCCTAATAAATCAGAGATAGAAAAATCACTGAAAACCACAAAAAGAATCTTAAAACATTTGAATAATCCAGAAAAGTCAGAACTAAAGATAATAAAAAGAGTAACTATAAAAAGTAAATTGGGGAATAACTTTAAATTAGGAGTAATCCTGAAAAAATTGTGCAAAAAAATTGAGCATAACTCAAAAAGTAAAAGATACCTAAGAAAAGTCACCGTGAACGTTTTTTGTGAATAACTTTTAGAAATGATCCTGAATCAGTAAAACCTCTCGGGAATAACGGTGAAAATGTGGGAATAATCCTTAAAGAATCACTGAAGATACTTTGGAATAAAGTCAGTAAGAACGACACAGCGAGCCGGTTGATAAGAAAACAATAGATCGATGAACCTCTGATTAATGAAAACCACTGAGCAGAAAGAGAGAATCGAGAAATGAACGAAGGTGAGCGTGAGGAAGAGGAGCAGGTAAATCTAATAAATAAAACACCTGGCTGCGGGGGTTTGAGTCTGGCTGCCTGAGATAACACAGCAAAGACTGGATTAATTTCCTGCCAGTGTTGTGGCTGTTTTCTGTCCCACTGCTGTGATTTAAGACTGTTTATAGACTCTCGCAGGCCTCCGCTCACTCCCTCGCAGTATTTACCTCCAGACTAATGAAGCAGCAGCTGCTCTGTCTTCATTCTCACTCTGTGGTTCCCATCGACTGATCTTCGTCACGCTTTTTAAAGGAACTTTTCCTTTTCTTTGTTTAATGGTAACTTGAGTGAATATTATTTCCGCTCTCGTGTTTAATTTCCTAACGCGGTAGTGGTTATTTTTTCGCTGGATATTAATTTAATAGCTCCCTCTGTTTGCTAATTCTGGCTTTTTATTGCCCGGTTGGTTGTTTTTAATCGCGATCCGCTTGTTGGGTTCAGGTTTTTATAACCAGCTGCTGCTTGTTTAGTTCATCAAGAGAAAGACAGTGATGGAAATTAAACCTCCTAAATCACCTTTCAGCCTCGTTCAGAGAATCCAGGGCTTCCTCTAGTCTTTTGCTTTTAATTAAAATGTATTTTTATATATAAATATGATGTTATTTTAATCAGGTAATTGAGATCAGTACAGATACTGATGAGATCTGAGTGCAGAGGAAGGATTACGTATATTAAGAATACCACATTTATTTGTCAAATCTGTCTTGTCAAAGCAATAAAATTCTATTTATCATTAATAATGAACTTTATTCATTTATAAACCTTTCTTAACAGAGTTACAAAGTGCTTTACAAAAAGAAATAAAAAGATAAAATGAGAATAAGGCCAGAAGACGAGTTTAACAGAGGAGGTAAAAACAATAAATTATCATATTATTATTATTCTTATTATAAAGGAAATATAGACTGTAATGTTTGATACATAATAAATAAATGTGGTGGTGTAACTCCACTTTTACATTTTGATTTAATTTAACCTGCCAAACTCTTCCTTTTAAGCTTTGTGAGCACCAACATCTTCTTCGGCATTAAACCTTCTCGCTTGTTTTATGTATTTAATTAAATGTTTTATTTGTGCAGTTTCTGTTTCGAGATGTAAATCTACTGTAGCGTTGTCTCTGTTTTCTATCAATAAAACCAGATGTTATACAATAAAAATACGTAAATATAAACCACATTATTTATTATAATATAAACCGAACACACACCGTTAATCTGACACTCTTAACTGTGAATCTCTCACAATACAACAATAACTGCTTATTTATAAGTTTAATCCACTTTAATTGATTATAATAATATATAATTATTAATAATAACCTTCATTTCTTTCCTTCCAGGCCTTCGTAAGGTGATGGTTCGAGCCCACCGGCAGGCGTGGTGCTGGCAGGACGAGTGGTACGGTCTGACCATCGAGGACATCAGGCTGCTGGAGCTGGAGACCCAGCTGGCCTTGGCTAAGAAGATGGCTCAGTACAGCCTCAGCGAGGAGGGGGGAACGGAGACCAACAGCTCCTCCGCTAACCAGGACCAGGAGCAGGGAGCTGAGACTGTGGGGTCGGCTACAGAGGAAGAAGGAGGAGGAGGAGGAGGAGGAGGAGGAGGAGGAGGAGGAAAGCTGGGAGATTCACTGGAGACACGAGGAGAGCTCACCAAGCAGTGGTCGACATCCTCCAGATCCTCCAACAGGTCCTCTAAGAGAGGCGGTGAGGAGCCGTTTTATACCTCCTTTATTCACCAGATGCAGTTTATTACTCCTCAGATCATCGTTCTCTGTGTGTTTGCAGGGAGTCCGTCTCACCAGAACATTTCAGAGTGGAGGATGCAGAGCATCGCCCGAGACTCGGAGGACAGTACGGACGACGAGTTCTTTGACGCTTATGGTAAAATCATCAGTTTGTGCATTATAAGTAATAAACAAAAAAATACAACCAGGGATGTAACAGCACTCGCAGTTCATACCCGGTTCAGGATATTGTTATTTTTAAATAAAGCAGCAGGAAAAGTGGCTTTATATCAGACTGTAACCGGCTGCACCTGTAGGCCAGGTGATAGTCTGGTCCCTTTATTTATTTATTTTAACCCTCTCTTTATTGTCTTTTAGAAAAAGGAAGATAATAAGGTAAATAACAGTAACATACAGACATAATCTGAACAAAACTAAGAGTGGAAAACAATCTAACAAAAAACAGATAACAACAAATGGAAAATACATGTAAAAATAATCATCAGAAATATATAGTTTGTAATTTACAGTTCATACAAAAGGGGAGGAAAAAACAGTTTCCTCTTTCAGGTGTTTTGTTTCATGAAATATCTTTTAGAGAGCGAAGTGAAAAGTAATTCCTTTCAGCCGCTGTGAAACTTCACAAGTTGTTGTTTTTCTTCCAAGAGACAGACATTAAGAAAGGACCTGACGTTGTTTGAGGTCACAAAGTATATTCAAAATACATTATTTAGGATTAAGAGTCAACATTTCCAGCACATTTTATAGATTATCTGTTGCACCTTTTTAAAAGTCTATCAGTACTTTTATGGCTTCTTACTAAAATCAGAAGTCGAGTTTGAAGAAGGAGAAATCTTCACACAGGAAGGTTTAATGAGGTTAATGAGGTCGAAGGAGTAGCTGCCATTTTAAGGATTTCAGTGTGGAAATTATACTTCTTTTGCATTATTACATTATTGTTCCAAGCAGACTGTTTGTATATGTGACCTAACACAGGAGGGGATCTTTAAAAATCAGCTGTATACGGCTGCATTCAGCCCTCATTTACTTTGATTGAGGTCAGCACAGCGACTCTGGCCAGAGAGTTGAACTGAATGCAGCGTCACTGGGGAAAACGTGCTCCCACCAACGCAGTGTCGCTTTAACGCAGGCTGCCACACACTCGCTGTGGCATAAATATCCCGAGGAATAAATACGGCCCTTTGTGGCAGGAAGTTTTAAATCGTGGAGACGTTTTCCTCGGAGGCTGTTCCACAGTCTAGAGGCCGTGACGGCAAAGATTTGATCCGCTTGGCTTTTTTCAGCCTTCGAGAAGTGGAACCCGCTTTAGGATCTCCGAGACCTGGAGGAGGTTGACGGGGTCCAGCGAGGGTGGAAGGAAGCTAAAGTTTCACAGTTCTTATTCTCTTATGTGATAGTCGCCTTCCACCAACTTCCCCAGTTATAAGCAGCTTCAGTCTGTGTTGTGACAGCCAATCAAAAGGTTGGACATCGTCTCAATATGTCGGACGTGAGACAAGACATAAAAACTGCTGTCCACTCCCATAAAGTACATAAAGGGGGACACCTAGTCTCCCCAGGTCCAGGTCTCTGAGCGCCTTAAAGCAAAGAGTCATGATTAAATTCTGGTTTATGTTATGAGACTGATTTGACCAGCAGAGAAGTTTCTTGTATTCGAAGGTCTTCTGTGTGTCTTACAGAAGACTTCTCCGACAACGAGGAGATGTTTGCCAAGGAGATCACCAAGTGGAACTCCAATGATCTGATGGACAAGATAGAAACAATAGAAGTGGATGAAGCACAAGGTAGGTTGGGTTCATGTTTCTATAGGCACTCATTAGGGTTGGGTGATACACAAGAAGCTCTCATAACCTTAATATATGAAATAAACTCGCAACAGGTCAAGATACGAAAAGAAAAACACCTATTTTCCTAGTAAACAGAATGAAAATTCAACCGTTTTCACCTTCTAAATTCAAGTTTCTCTCTTTTACCGAACTAAGATCAGCTTAATGGACTTGTTAAAGAGTAACTAAACCAGAAGAACACAGCTAAAAACCTCTGTATATGTATATTTACTAGTGTTGTTGATTGATTCAGGTCCCAATCTGGAGATTTTAATGCAAAGTATTTAAATTCTACATATTTTTCCTATAAAAATTCAAACCTCTGCTGGTCGAAACTCAGCTATTGCATCCAGGTGACATATGTGGTGGCAACTTTCGTTACCAACCAACCAGCGGCCTGCTACGTAGCCGTTAGCCTGACACTCTTCTATCAAGACAAAACCGTCTTTATTAATCTTTCCACTGTTCCAACAATCAGCAAATATTCTGGCACTACTCACTGTAGCCGCCTCTCTAATGCCCGGCCTTGCCTCTCGCTCCTCTACCCGCTTCATGCTGTCCTGAGTCTTGGTTGGAGCCTCTGTTAATCCCCTTTTTTTGTCATCAAACTAGTCAATAAGACCTTAATTCACCGCAGCTAGAAGTGAAGATACACTGGCTCTGCAAAAGATTAGATTAGTTAAATAAAATGAGAAAAATCGCCCAAAAACTGGGCAAAAAACCCCAAAACAGCCAGCGATGAACTCTGCGATATTCGTCCAATCGCCCAACCCTAGCCCCCCTATAGTCACATCAGATCCTGTTACTCTGATCAGTTAAAAACAGGACAAAGGGCCTCACATTTATAGCTCCAAGTCGTCTTTTCTTTCCTTTAAATGCCCGTGAACGAGTGAATGAATTGTGTTTTCACAGAGACGTTGTATCAGGAGTCGGGCGGGGAGTATGCTGTGATGAGTAATGAAGAGAGGCAGCAGATGGAGGTACAGTTTTCTTCACTTTTTCCAATTTCATTCATGTCTCTCACACTTACACCCAATAATTAAATAGCTTGTAGATAATACTCCTCCTCCTAAATTAGCTTTCAGTCATCCTGCCAGCGTAGTGAAATTAGTCTCTGCTGCAGCCGTCAGCCCGGTTGTGTTTCACCAGAGGTAGAAGATTAGGGGCTCTATTTTTGTGGCTGTGCAGCGTCTAATGGTTCTTTTGTATTACGGTTCTAGCTGATGATTATTTATTTTCATTATCGCTTTCATCTGATTAAAATGTCAGAAAATAGTGAAAAACACCTGCAGTACCACAATTCTCTGGAGCCTTTATGTCTGATTGCTTTATTTTGTCTGACCCACAGTCCAAAAAACCCCTAAAAATATTCAGTTTATAAACATTTAAGACATACAAATTAGTATTTATTTTTATTTTTATGACTTTATTTTGTGTTACAAGTAACATAAAGGGAACTATATATGACTTCCATTACACAACCCTGTATTGTAAATTCTTGAATCCTTGAAATCCTCACATTTTAAAGCATTTCAGAACTGTTTATGATTAATTTACTGTCATTCAACTAATCTTTTACTTGACTAATTGTTTTAGTATTTGCATGTCGCTCACTCGTCTCCCTCCGTCCTCCCTCTTCCTGCAGGATTGTTCGTCTCAGCAGTGTCTCCAACCGTCCAAAATCCACGTCCTCGTTCTGGTCCTGCATGGAGGCAACATTCTGGACACTGGCTCTGGTACAGCGACAACCAAACCCTGCAACAAATCATCAATATATTTATTATAACAGTGGTGTAATGCGAAAGAAGTTGCTTGTAGTGACAGAGAATCATCACTGAGCTCTGGTTCGGTTCCCTCTCACAGTCTTTTCCTGCAGCAGGCAGTGGATATGCACCAATACCTGTAGATTTTAATCATAAAACTACTCTGATACTGCGCCCAGTACCCACACCACTGCAGCGTGATGTTATGTAACCTCTCATTAATTGAGCAGGTAGGTAGGTGGAGATGCAATGTCAGCAGTTTGGAGATATTTTAAGCAACTTTTTTACAGTAACATTAGCAACATTTAATCTGTTACAGAAAGTTAGAACTGCAGTGGTGTTAATAAGTCACCATATCGTTACTCAGTATCGACCAAATGTAATGTGGATCTCTACTAAAAAAACACTGTACACTTCCCAAACAACAGAGATTAGCTGGTAGTAAGTATGAAAGTAAGTAACATATATTTATAGTCACATACATAAGTCACAGTGTATAAATATATATATACACAACATACAAAAAAATATATATATGCATAAATATACGCATTCATGCACACGTAAAAAACACAATAAAAAAATACAACATGGAAACATAAAATGCAGACGTGATGCATGTACGTTACCCAAACGCCTGTCCAAACCGGTGTTTGTCTTCTACTATTTAACAGTTAAAGAGCTTTTCGGGAGTCAGTAGAGATAAAAAACTGAGCTAAAAGAGAATTGACAACAGAAACACTGCTGGATGGGTAAATAATCAACTGTTTGCTAACAAGTTTGTCATATTAAAGGTCCAGTGTGTCACATTTAGGAGGATCTACTGGCAGAAATTTGATATAATATTCAATTGGTATGTTTTTATTTGTGTATAATCACCTAAAAATAAGAATTGTTGTGTTATCTTTACCTTAGAAAGAGCTGTTTTTATCTGTAGAGGGACTCTGCTACAGAGTCCGCCACTTGGAAGGCTGTTATAAGCCACTTAATCCTAAACACACTTGTCCTTTTAAAAAGGTGACGATATTTCAATGTGTACAGTTTGTTTCTGCTGCGTCCAAGTGGCCGCAAAAATTTAAGTTATTGCAGGTTTTAAATCACAAATCTTGAGAATGAGACACTATTGATCTTTTTTTTACTAGAAAACAAATCATTAGAGCTCTAAACTGGAGCATTAGTTCCCCCGAGCCTTTTCTCAACGTGGTCACAAGATCTGAGGGTGTGAAGAAAGACACATTCTGCATTATGGTTTTTATTTCTTCTGGAATTTGCTTTGCAGATGTAACAGATGTTTCTTGCAGCGATCAGATAGCACTGATCTACGGTACTATCTGACAATATGTGACTCTGCTCTCGTCTGCAGGTGAGCAGAACAGCAAGCAGGGAGATGGAAACACGCTGAGTGGGGCGTTTGAGACCGTGATGAGAGTCCACTACCCCGCAGCGCTGGGCCGCATCGCCATCCGGATGGTCCCCTGTCCCGCTGTGTGTGTCGACGCATTCTCGCTGGTCTCCAAGTGAGAAATCCTCTTGAGCTTTTGAATAATCTGCTGTGAAACATGCATCCACCCCCTGCTGTTCAAATGTTAAACACACATAGCAGCCGTAGACAGTAACGTCCTCTCTGCTCTGCAGTTTGAGCCCCTACAGCTACGACGAGGGCTGCCTGTCCAGCAGTCAGGACCACATCCCTCTGGCTGCTCTGCCCCTTTTGGCTACCTCCGCACCACAGTACCAGGACGCCGTCGCAACCGTCATCTTACGAGCCAACCAGGTGTACAGCGACTTCATCAGGTCTTTAGAGGGAGCGTCTTTTAATGGCCAGGTCGGTGTGTAACCCGCAGGTGCTTCAGATCTGCCTCCGTGTTTCTCCTCAGGGGCTCGGTGTGTCTTTATGTGTTCGTGCTTTGTTTTCTAACGCAGGTGTGTGTCATTGGGGACTGCGTTGGGGGCATCCTGGGGTTTGACGCTCTGTGCAGCAGCTCTGTGACGGTGTCAGAAAGCCAAAACAGCAGCAGGCGGGGGAGCACCATCAGTGTACAGGTAGCAACTCTCTGACAGAGGCTCTGTGAGGCTTTTAGCTCGATGCCAACCACACATGCATTGACTGACTTCTCCTCTGTCTCTCAGGACACGGACCTTCTCTCTCCGGGTATTGTCATAAACAGCGTCTCTCCTTCCTCGCCGTCCCTCGAAGGAAGCCGCCATCTCAGCCGTAGCAACATAGACATCCCTCGCTGCTCGGGGCCCGACGACCCCAAGAGACAACTCCCGCGCAAGCGCAGCGACTCCTCCACGTACGAGCTGGACACCATCAAACATCACCAAGCCTTCCTGTCCAGGTGAGACACGAACGTCTCAAACTCCCTGATTTCTGAAGTCCTCTAAGCATCTTGAGGCTGCAGCTGCATCTCTGTCTAATAACATCAGATAACTTTACTGTCAGACACAGAACGTTACTGAGTATTAGATGCTTCTTATTGGTGCCAAATGAGACTAAAATCAGTAATTAATTCATTATTTTTTAAAGTCAGCGTCGTCTGTCTTTCACAGTATTGTTTTGTTTTTATTCGTAGATGGAAAACGTTGCATTCTGTCATTGTTCTTGCTGTCAAAGATTACTTCTTATTTCGTTTTGGTCTCAAATTTTAATTAAAAAAAATCATATTTGTACTACTACTTCAGTACAGTTTCGAGGTACTTGTACTTTACTTGAGTTTATCTACTTTATGCTGCTTTATACTTGTACTCCGCTACATTTTGGAGGCAAATATTGAACTTTGGTAACTTTGCAGATTCAGATTATTAATATAAACCAACGTATTACTTATGATTTATTATCCTAGATTAAGCTACCCAGCAGATAATAAAGATTAGTTCCACCTTTACCAGCTGCTACAATAACAAGGTTGGGAACCTTTGGTAAAGACCGAAACAATAAATAAATATTCTTTCTGCGGTAAGCGAGACAGTGTGGGAATTCAGGACTTTTATCAGTAACTTTATTTTATAAGCACGAACCCTTTTACTGAAATAAAAGATGTGAGTGTTTCCTCCGCCACCACTGACTGTGTGAATGTTTCCTCTGTCGCCAGCCTTCACTCCAGCGTGCTCCACGGGGAGACTGGATCCCGACGCTCCAGCAACAGCACCATGCTGGAAGGAGGCTCCTTGGGAAAGTTCGACTTCGAGGTGACTGACTTCTTCCTGTTCGGCTCTCCTCTGGGGTTGGTGCTCGCGCTGAGGAAGACCGTGGTTCCCTCGTTAGATGGTGAGGAAGGTCTTCTCCTCTTTAGTGCACCTTTTGGTTTTATTATGTTCATCCAGTAAATACTGTCGCTTTTAAAACAACGGTAATTTTCCTTTTTCCAGAAGAGCAGGAAGTGGTTATTTGTTTTATGTCCGGCGTGAGATACACGTCTCCCTGCAGCTGGAAAGCAGGTGTCAGGGGTCAGAGGTCATGTTTCTGATCTCAAAGACAAACTTTTGGCTGAGACGAGACAGATACGTGATTGAAGTCTCACACAGGCACGAATCTGACTGCGCTGTGCGTCCTTTGGGGGTTTAAAGACGAGAGGTTGTTGACCTGCAGCTGTTGGGTTAACATCTGGACTAATTTCCAATCAGACGGGATTATAGTCATTCGCATAAAAGTTTCTCTTTTCATTCCCTCGTTTTGTCGGCCGTTTATTTCTCTCTGTTTTGAGTGATTGGGGTTTATTTTTCTCCATAAATAATCACAAAGGCAATTACTCCCGACAAAATAATACTGAAGGAAACACAAAAACATGTCAGACTGCAGGCTGAAGCTAAAGCTTATTATTGTCTGCTCTCGCCAGATATTTCCCCCAGGAGTTGGTAGAAATCAAAAACACAGCTAAAAGAGAGAAAGAGAGAGAAAACTGGACTCACGTTCAGCAGGTGGACACAAACACGACTCCAAATGAATGCTAATGTTTCTCTGTAACTGCTGGGTGTGTAAACACTGCAAGAAACCAGCCAAATATTCTTAAATATAATCACAATTTCTTGTATTGAGCAAAACAATCTGGGGTCAGATGGCTATAATTCTCAAAACTAGCATTAAATATAAATATCAAAAGGTCTAATACTGGGTTTGTATGTGTATTTGCTATACGGATGTCATAAGACAGCAGTCAGTTTAATTCCCTCATATGAGCACATAGGGAAGTGACCCCTACTTGATGCTGTGTTGGTTTCTCTTTGTACGCCTCTCTCTGTTTCTGGGACTGTGGGACTATCGATGAGTAACCTTTAATACATAATACAGTAGAACTTGCATCAAAATCTAGCCACTGAAAGACTGTAATAGGCCTTAAAACTAGGAAGAAATTAATGTAAAATTTAAGTATGTTGTGTTTATAATAAGCAATGAAAATTTGGTTATTTAAGATTCTTAAAATAATTATTTTGGTCACTTTATTGAGATTAATTTAAAAATGTATACCTTAATCTAAGATTAATAATTGGCTGAGAAACCTTACAATAAGACACAATTTCTTCAAACAGCTGAATACAAATAAGTTTAACTTTTTCTTAAATGAATCTGAATGAATTTTTTTATTAAAACAATGAAAAACTAAACTGCTTCATTTCCAACACTGGGACGAGACTACGTTCAAAGTATAAAGTATAAAACTTAAGCATTAAAACTGGAAACGTGGAAGCAGCAATAACCTCTGGTTAACTGCAACTGTCTTACATTTCATGTCAGACTATTCCTTTAAATACCAACTCAACAACAGTCTGTCGTGTACTCCAGGGTGCGTTGGTACACTGTGACATCACTGTGTGGGTGTGGTTACAGATGCAATAAAGAGTTATTCTTTAAATAAACAGTTGCTCAGTTGGTTCATGTATCATCCCACACTTTAAATCTCTCACTGTGTTGTCTTCCTCGTCTCCAGTGTCCGCGCTGCGTCCGGCCTGTCAGCAGGTTTACAACCTGTTTCATCCAGCCGACCCCTCGGCCTCGCGCCTCGAGCCTCTCCTGGACAAGCGCTTCCACCTGCTGCCTCCCTTCAGTGTCCCTCGTTACCAGCGCTTTCCTCTGGGTGACGGACACTCAGCTCTCCTGGGTGAGTCCACGCCAATCGTTTCACTGCAGCTTTTACGTCCTCCGTACTGTCCCACAGGTAGATGAGTGTGTTGTTTGTGTGTCATCCAGCTTCTGTGTCTCTTTCTTCTGGCTTTCTAGTTGAGACCGTGCAGAGTAACCCTCAGCTTCTGATGGAGTCCGGTGGTGCTGCGTCCCACCGCTCCCAGGATAACACCGTCAATGAGACCTCGATCCCCGTCCCCGTCCTCAACTGGCAGTCCTCGCAACTCCACACAGACAGTGTGTATCTGTTAGCATATTATATACTTTATATTAGCTTATTTGATATTGATATCATTTATATCCGTTGAAAAAAACATTTTGTTACTATTTTAAGACCAGAACACACACATCTTCAAGCTTAGTCTTTATTTGGATCTGAACTACACACCTGAAAATTACAAATACACATGTTGCCTCGATAACACTAACACAGACTCACAAGGTGAAAACAATACCGGCCATATGCTGTTGCGGATGGTAACAATTAGTAGCCTGGCTCTGTCCAAAGGTAACAGAATCCACCGATGTACTTCACAGCTAAAGCTCGCTAATTAGTGCCTGGCAACCTCACGGTGACAGCGAGACTCCAGGAAGTCCCTGTGCCCAGTCGAGAAATATTCCTACGAGTGGTAGCTCACCTGGTAGAGTACCAAGGCTGAGTCCCTCTTGCAGCAGCCATGAGTTTGAATCCCTCCCCTCTTTCCTCTTTATCTTGAGCTGTTGTGTCAAATAAAGGCAACAAAACCCCCAAAATATATATATAAAGAAGTATAAACCCCTGTAAAAGGTGCTGGTAGACAGATGTTGTTCCCTTTGGACAGAGCCGAGCTAACAGTAGACAGAATGTGATATGATTTGCAGCTCTAGATACAGCTTTAGGTCCTTTTTGCTTGTGCAGTGACTAATCTGACTCCTCTCTTCTCTCTCTGCAGCGGATTCTCTTCACTCACATATGTTTGTGGACGGCCCGTACCCGTCGTCCACATCGCCGGGAGTCCCTCACCTCCGTTTCAACCGCAGGGCGAGCGAGGCCAGCATCGCCAGCCAGGTGTCGGGCTTAGCCGACTCTTACACGGCCTCCAACATCGCCACGAGTAAGTCCATAAACCCACGACCCACGTTTTACCCCACAAGCTGACAATTTACATGCTGACGCTCTCGTTTCCTCCCTCCAAACACCCCCTCAGCACACACACACGAGGTCAGCCACACTAAAAGGCCCAGGCTGCTGTCCCAGCTGGCTCTTCCCTACAATAGATTTGCCTCTCGGAGCCAGTCCTTGCGGTCGCGCCAGAAAACCCGCCAGGTATTCCCGAAACCCAACGGCGTGGAGTCTGAGCGGAGCTCGGACGTTAGCTCTGACATGACCTCTGACCTCACCGATGTCACGTCTTACGTCACAGACATCAGCTCGGCGCCCCCGTCGCCCGGGGTGCTGAGGAACATAGAGAAAGGTACCCTGGGAGTTGTAGTAAGAGGACATGAGGGAAGGATGCTAGGCTCCGTCCTCGTTCCCTGTGTGCTTTCCTTCCTCCTCTGGTATCTTCCTCTCTCAGATAGTCTTCCTCAGTAGCTTCCTGAAATCACATACGAGCGACTTCTCTGAAGCTCAGATCCTGCGCTTTCCTTTGCAACACTGACAGAAAAAACAAAGTTCTCACAGAGTCTGAGCTGTTGTTTTCTTCAGAGTGTGACCTCTTTACAACTCACCTGTCTGTTTTTATGGATAGCTCGGCGTCTAGTGCCTCTTAGTGCAACCCTGAACTGTTCATCTCCAGATGAGCAGACTGTAGATCTGCAGTGGAAACCACAATCACAGATCAACTGGATGCACTGATTCCTAAACTCTGTACTCTCTCTTTTGTTTTGCGTCTTGTCCTTGTTCCCTCCCCCTCCGTGCTGCAGTTGCCTCTCGGTGGTGGGGCAGTAAGAGGATGGACTACGCCCTGTACTGTCCCGATGCCCTGACAGCGTTTCCCACAGTGGCTCTGCCTCATCTCTTCCACGCCTCCTACTGGGAGTCAACAGACGTCGTCTCCTTCTTACTCAGACAGGTTCAGAGATCTATTATTAATATATTATAAGAATTTAATTTCGTTTTATCTTTAAATTGAAAGTGTATTTTTAGCCATGCTAGCAGCTGTAAGAATGTGGATCCAGCACGTTGCACTGGAATATCTCAACAACTAGCGGGTGGATTACAATAAGATGGGATAGGAATGAGATCTGACTTATTCTGGTTAATTTGGTACAGATATGTGTATCTATGGCGCCCAGAGGATGAATCGTATCAACTTTAATGATCCTCTGAGTTTTCAGGTCTCCAACCAGGTCACATAGTTTATTTAAACATTTTTTAATTTGAGGTTCATCGATCTAAACTTTCCTTTATCCAGTAAAATATCTCGACATCTGCAAGATGGATTGAATCCTACTGACTTTAGTTAAACTTTAGCGCCACCCAATAACTTAACTGTTGGATGGATTGCCATGAAATTAGATTGACATGTTTATGCTCAGGATAAATTGTAATGACTTTGATTTAGACTTTGGTTTCTGACTCATTACCTGCAAAGCTAATGACATTCCCATCAGCCTTAGCTGTACTTAGCTGAGGTAAGCAGACGCTGTGCAGTATGCAGATCAGTTTGACTGTGAGATCCTTTCTGGGTTATTTATTTAAAAGTAATTATCTTCCGTAGGTGATGAGACACGAGAACTCCGGTATTCTGGAGCTGGACGGTAAAGAAGTGTCTGAATTCACGCCGTCCAAACCTCGTGAGAAGTGGCTCCGCAAGAGGACTCATGTTAAAATTAGGGTAAGACCTCTCTTTGTTTTTACACACACTTCCTCCAGAAACTTTTTTACTCACTCTGGTTTATTCAGCATCCACAATACTTACAAATCACTACACTTAACCTGCTACTAGTTATTCCAGTTTTTAGAAGAAGACATCCAGACATCCTCTCCGGTTGCATACAGCCAGTGGTGGATACTTACTTTAAGTAGTTTAAAGGACTTTAACTTGTAATGGAGTACATTGTTGTATTGACACTTTCACTTAAACATACAATTTGTAATTTCTGCTGCTAGGAGGTCTCTCACATCAAAACAATAAATGTTATGATGATGTGTGGAGCAGTGTGGGATCAGAGGAGTTATTGTCTTCACCACCATTGCCGGTTAGGATTCCTTCAGTGTTCATGGTTTAGGAGGTTTCTACCGGGAGCCCAATTATCCACAGAGGTCTCCTCCTCTCCAAAACAAACAGACCCGCTGATTAAAACCGCTAAACACAGGTGAAGGATGAAGTGATTTTTAAGGGGGACTGAATAAAGCAGTTCCACCTTAAAAATCACTTCATCCGGTTCAAATCTAGAGTTAAAAAGCACCAAGATGTAAACAGTGGATGGTAAAAATGTGGCTTCAGACTGGATAAACAGTCAATGTATGACAGCTTCTGGCAGACAACCACAACGCTGACGCAGGCACAAAGGGGATATGACGCCACTGACAGGAGACCGGTGAAACGCAGCGTTACCTGAATAAAATGACAGATTTCTCTGAGTTTGAACATTGTTGGAAACATTTGGGATAATGTAAGAACACATCAAGTCTAGAGTTTATAAAGATTTTAATGCAGAAATGTTTCATATTATATCTTTAAGTGGTGGATGTCAGTACTTCTTTAACCAAAAAGACAGTGACTCCACCCCGATGTTGCCTGGGAGGCGAAACCCAGGGCAAAAAAGTCAGAAAAACACTCTACTAAAATTTAAAGCTGAGCTTAATTAACATTCTCTCTCATCTGGATTTTGGCAGCTGCACAGTCAGAAGTCTTTAAAGAGTATTTAGAGAAAGAATCAAACTGACCCCAGTAAATTAGTTACACAACAGCAACTGAGACGAGGAGGACGGTACTCTGACTTCCTGTTTTGTCTTCTTCTGTGTGTCAGAACGTGACGGCTAACCACCGAGTGAATGACGCTGTGTTCACGGAGGACGGAGCCCAGATGGTGACAGGGCGCTTCATGTACGGCCCTCTGGACATGGTCACCCTCACTGGAGAGAAGGTAATGACGACGTCCAGCTGCGATGCACCAAAAAAAAAAAAAGATGAATTATGTAATTGTGTCACCATCTGTGTCATTAAGGTCTTACAGAGTTCAACAGATATTTGTGTTAATTCCTGCAGGTTGACATCCACATCATGACCCAGCCTCCCTCTGGAGAGTGGGTGTACTTCAACACAGAGCTCACCAACAGCAGTGGGCGTATCTCTTATGTAATCCCCGAGAGCAAAAAGCTCTGTATCGGGGTGTATCCTGTCAAAATGGTGGTCAGGTAACGCAAAGTTGTTGTTATTTCTTGTACAACATGTAGATTTTACTTCTCCATTCACAGTAACCGTTCTCTCTTTCTGTCTCACACACACAGGGGTGACCACACATTTGCAGACAGCTATCTCACTATCGTGCCACGAGGAACAGAGTTTGTCGTGTTCAGTATTGACGGGTCATTTGCTGCCAGCGTGTCTATAATGGGCAGCGACCCGAAGGTTCGAGCTGGAGCTGTGGACGTGGTGAGGTACGGATCACACGCAGAGCTCTCTCTGCAGGTTTATTCTGCAGTAATATATTCTGGTTCTCTGAATGGTCACACAGATTTGGCAGAAAAGCTGAGGAATCTACTTGAGGTTTGTTTGTGAGACACATTTATTTTAATTACCAGTAATTCCATGTCCATGTCCATCTACTACTTCAAGTCAGTAAGAGTTCCCAGTGGAGAACATGAAGATACCCTTTGTTTTATTTCCCTAGATTGTCCTGAAATTGTCTAGAATACAGTATATACAGACACTGAAGCCGCAGTAACTGCAGCCGAAGCTCAGAGAAACTCAGGGAGAGGGCAGTGACTGAACTTAGATAGTTACAAGATAAAACAGACATTTAAGAGTTACATTTTCAGTCACAAGTAACTTTCATAGGGCAGTATAGCCCACCAGACTCCATTGACAAAACCAGTCATTTTACCTGACAGGCAACTGTGAGAAACGTTTCAAATGGGATGGAAACATAATGAAACCCACCAAAACAGTCTTTGTTAGTCTTTCCATCAACCGTCAACTCTGGTTTGGTCGAAATAAAAAATTTAATTCTTGAATTTACCGCTGTAGGTAAAAAAATATTTGCGAGATGGGTTGCAGCGCTCGACAAAGTACATCCACTAAAAGTGCTTGTTTTTTTTGCCAAAGACAGGCTCTGATTATTAATATAAGTGTCTAATAACATTATGGAAAGGATCCCTACAGAGATAGACCTTTTTTACAGCCGTAATATAACTATCGCTCGCCACCAGACTCCAGAGACAAAGACAGTAATTTTACCTCACAGATTTTTCTGACATTGTAACTGAATTCAAAGTGGATGGAAAACAAAATTAAACTCACCAAAACTGTCTATGTTATTCTAACAACAATCACCAACTCTGGTTCGGTCTAAATCCCTAATTCACCGACATACAGCAGCAGTTTCAGTCGGCTTTGTTAACAAACCACAGAGATGCTACAATAACAGCACAGGCGGGGGGAGTGTGACGCCATTATCTGCTGCTATACTAATGTTTCTCACATATTAAACAAAGCGTCAGGTTATAATGGCTGTTGTGTTATTTCTCACAGGTACTGGCAGGATTTGGGCTATTTAATCGTTTATGTAACGGGTCGTCCTGACATGCAGAAGCAGCGTGTGGTGGCCTGGCTCTCCCAGCATAACTTCCCTCATGGCATTGTCTCCTTCTGCGACGGGCTGGTTCACGACCCGCTCCGACACAAAGCCAACTTCCTCAAAACCCTCATCAACGAGGTAAGGAAGGCCGCTGTGAGGTTTGGGTGGCGGTTTTATGATCCTTGAAAGTCTCTTAATGCTGACCCCTTCCTCTTTCATTAGGCCCACATGAGGATCTTTGCAGCCTACGGCTCTACCAAGGACATCTCTGTGTACTCGAATATCGGCCTGCCTCCGTCCCACATCTACATAGTGGGAAGGCCCACGAAGAAAATGCAGCACCAGTGTCAGGTATGGAATAAACGCTGATAGCGAAGGGAAACATGCACACTATATTCTGTTTTTTACACCCATCAGATGGTGCATGCGGTGAATCGATGGTCATGAATAAGCAAGTTAGAGTTGAGTGTATTGTTACATCCCTATTGGTTCTTCATAATCAACAACGGGGCCACTGTGAAGCCTGATTGTAATGCAAGGAATTATTATTTTTCTGCCAAATGAATCTCATTTTTGGTGGATGCAACTTGCTCAAAATCTCATCAAACGTGGCACAAAATTCAGTGTTGGTAAAAATGTACGGATTATAAGGGTCTTGCACAGGGGTTTGGCAAAATGGCTCAACAGCGACCCCTAAATGCAGCCGTGATTATGTATGAAAATAAGCCCATACGGTCTTTTTTGACGATTTGCACACGTTGTATTTTAACGAACTCCTCCTAGGGAATTGATCTGATCGACTTCAAATTTGATTCTGGTAATCTGAAGACCTTCATAATTAAAATCTGTGCTATTTGTTGCTGTATGTCAAACAGCGTTTCTGTGGCGTGGTGTCAAATTTTGACGTTTCGCCTTTGCATCTTTGTGAAAATATTGGATCATTTTATTTTTATTTTATGTCAAATCTGATCTCTTAACTAGAAACTGTAGCTGTCAGATAAATGTAGTTGAGTAGCATAAAATGGAAATACTCAAAGTACAAGTACCTGACAGTTGTACTTGAGTAATACTGTATTGTAACATTTCACCACTGTTTCCATGAGGCCATGAAAAGGTGCGTTTGAATAACTGATCTGTCAGAGGGTTTTCGCTCTCTATACGAGTTACTAAACCAGATTTTATCAACCTCACGTCTCTTCCAGTTCATCCCGGATGGCTACGCTTCCCACCTGTCCCAGCTGGAGTACAGCCAGAGGTCTCGTCCCGCCAAGTCCGCCAGCACCCGCATGGTCCTCCGCAAGGGCAGCTTCGGTTTGGGAGCCGCCGGAGGAGAGTTCCTTCGCAAACGCAATCACATCTTTCGCACCATCTCGTCTCAGCCCGGAGGTGCGGGGTCGGCCTCTACCAACCAACCTGGGCGGACTGAGCGCACGCTGAGCCAGTGCGAGATGGAGCGGGATCGTGGGATCGGGGTGGCAACCCAGAGGAGTATGAGCATAGCTGCCGGGTGCTGGGGCCGCAGTGGGAGCACCAAGGAGGGCAGTGGGGGGTTACTCAGCCCTAAATAGGATTCAAAATGGAGCTGTGGTGTTAAAGGACCCGGCCTAAGCCACCATGATCTCTGGACTAGACAAAAGGTGGAAGACGAGGAAGTGGATGGAGGGTTTGTATTTTAGAGATTAAGCTGAGGTGGATTGATGGTTAGAGAACAGGGAAGGAGAGGTGGCGAGGGATCTGTCCAGGAGGAGTGGACTAATCAGGCCAAGTGGGATCCAGCGAACAAAAGACAGTTCTGTAGCATGACTCTTTTACAGTAATACTTTTATAGGATACATCACTAACTATTTAAAGAAAAAAAAAAACGATAAGGAAGGATTAAATGAAATATTGCAAGCCTTAAACTGATCTCGTATAACGGGACAACGCCCCCCACCTCCCCTCTCCGAACACACACAGACACAAACACACACACACACATACATACATACAATACCAGTCTGTCCTAGCATTCACACTCATGAGCTCAGGACAAACTGCAGAGCCAGATTCATCTTCAAACAGGTCAGGCACGGGTTCAAGGCAAAAAGCCAACGACTTTCACTTCTGTTTCTGTCCCACTACCTGCTGAGCGACGACACTCCACCCAGCAGTGACTGGCAATAACACAGGAGGAAGGAGACGGTTCATCCAAAATTACATAAAAGATAAACATATTTTCTCACCTGCCTCTAGTGGGAGCGAGACATGCAAGATAGTTGTGGGTGTATTTGTCCTGGATTTGATCCGTCTGAGATTACCACCTCCACCCCCAATACTGTAAATGAGAACTGATGATTATACAGTGATGGTCTGTCAGTCAGTTGACCATCACTCTTCAACATTTGGATGGATCGCCAATGAATGTTCGTTCTTCTTTTAGAGAAAATATACCGTCCATTTTTACGTGATTCAGCAGAAACAGTTCCACACAGCGGCATTTTTGTTACTTTATGAAAATGCCTCAACAGCCAATACGGTTGCAACCAGCATTAGATGGACAGTTATCATTGGCCCGACCAGATCCAGGACAGGAGGAAATCTGTCTGAATTGGGGGGTGGTCAGTGCATTTGTGTGGTTTGCAAAAAACACACTAAACTGGTAAACATGGTTTTGATAAAACCAAACTACCTGCATGGATAGATAACATGAGAGACAAGTGAGAAAATCTGTATTTATTGTAATTTGGGTGAACCGATCCTTTAAACATCATGAAATATATTGTATCAGAGGTGAAAGTCCTTATTGTCTTAGTCACAGAACAATTCATGCTACATAATGCTAGCAGGTCGCTAGTGCGGTTTTTCATTCCAGCGTGTGTGAGACTCTGTAGTATTATCCCTTTCAGTGTGGCCTCTGGGCCATCCAAGGCCTTAATATCCACAAAGACACTTGCTCCACCGATGGAACAGAAAGCAGAAAAACAGGGCATGCAGCATTAAAGCAACAACTGAAACTCTGTACAGTCCACAGCAACAATCCCTTTATATATTCATCTGCTTGCAATACCTCTGATCCACCTGTTGGTGGTGTTATGTTTCCCACATGTGCTGCTGCTGGGAGACACTTGTGTGGTGTTCCCCCGACTTCTTGCTCTTTTTGCTCGTAGAATACGCAACAGGATGGGACCTGGTTGTTTCTGCTGAGGGGCCTGTTTCATTTCAGGCTGGACCCTGTCGGAGAGATGGAGGCAGTATTTCCACACAGCTTTCACTTACAGAGACCTGTTAATCTTTCAGTATTTTTACCAAATGGACTGAAGAAAGGACCAGAAGTTATTGAGCATGAATGCTGAAAAGAGACAGGATTCCCCCATGAGAGCAAACATCATTTCATTGCTTCTGTCTACTGAACTGTATATTTTAATACAAAGGGAACGTAGAAGAAGAAGAAGAAGCCTCCTCAGTCCAAAAACACAAACGTGTGCACAAAATGGTTTTTCCAGTGCTGATGCCACCCAAGGTTAGTCCGTCTTAAATCAGTGGTCGGAAACTGTTCCTTGCTGTAATCATTCATACGGGCCATTAAAAGATTTCTAATGTGTTTCCAGAGTAAGTGATCAGGGACAAAATCCACCCTTATCTGTGCAAAACTTTACATGAAGCTAATGTAAAGGTTCTCTGAGTTACAGGGATCAGGATCAGGTTTCAGGATGCGTCACATCTGCTACGGTTGACAAATTACTTACTGCTGTGTTCAGTCTGAAAAAATGCTATTTTAAATTTCTGATTCTTAAACATGTAGTAGGAATTTAGGATAAGGCCTTAGAATGGTTTAAATCATAATTACAACATAGATCAGTATCAATTATGATTGATAATGTTTCGTCCTCTTCTGCTATGTCTCCTGTGGTGTATTTTTTTTTGTTTTATTTTTCATTATATATGCTTCCACTGGGCTCTGTGCTTTAAAATTGAACTTATACGCTGACGACACACAGCTATACTTATATATATATAAACAAGCAGAAAAACATAATCTTTAGTCTCTTTTAGGCCGAGGTTTTTAAATGATCAGTAGTGTAGCAAATTCTCTTTGTCCTCTGTCTTCAAATCTGCACACTCAATAATGCTCCTATGGAAATGTATTGATATACCATCCAGCTTGTGTGTGCTTTTATAAACATTTCCCATGTTGACTGTGTTAACAAGTTCTGTCATTAGCCATTAGCAGTAGTTTTTTTCCCCAATTAGGTTGATCTTTATACTAAAAAGACAAACTTGGAAGATATTCACTTATGTTTTCTTACTGTGAAAGCCTCATGTTATCTTCAGATAAACTTTAGAATACATTTTTGCACAAAATTAGTATTTTACTTTCCAGAGGAAGCACATTATGGATCTTTTAATGGCAGGTATGAACAGGAAAGGTCTCAACGTTTAAATGGACACCTGACTATTATTTTAAGACTGAGTGGGAAAATTAAACCTGCATTATAGTTTAAACCCATGGAAGCTTTTGGAGTAAGGATGTGTGGAGCGGTTGTACCTCTTGTTCACTCCATTTTACTATGCTGTTTTTTTATGCCCAGCTTCCACACTACACAAGAGTGTCTGTTCCCACTCTCTGTGTGATCAGCAATGTCTTCAACCGCACCACGAAAGCCAAAATCATTCTCTAAATACTGTAGTTAATCAACTGTGTAACCTCATTGTTGTTTTTTGCACTAGTTTACGGTGGAAATATACTGTAGTTACCATCTCATGTTGCTACATTTAAACACCTCCGTAGTGCATGACACTTTTTGTTAATTTCAGGGTAAACTGTATGTGCAGGTACGCACATGTCTGTACATTTTGTCAAGATATGAAAATAATGTAAAGTAAATGTGCCAAACAGTAGAAAGTATTTAGACCAGGGGTTTTATCAAAGTCTGGCACTGTGGGTCCCCCCTCGGAAACACTCCCTGACCTCCTATTCTCCTGTTCTTGTTCTTTGTCTTTGATAGATAATCATGCTCTCTAAGTTTTGGAGCTGCAGTTCCCATGATTTTTTGCGAGATGTAAACAGGAAGTAAAATGTTGCTATGGATCCAGTGAGTTAAGCTACAATAGCTACAACTGGCACCATTAAAAGAAAGCTGAATTAGCTATTAGTGGTTCCTGTTTGCAATTTACCAATTGATGTACAGACAGCTATCACTGGATTACTTTGATACTGAAGAAAACTTAAAATCGTGATGATTCTCAGGCAAGTTAAGAACTGTCTTTTGTCTATGAATTTTAAGCATATTTATGGCTGTTTAATCCCAATGGACATCAGAGATACCAACATAAAAAGAACGTTTAAGTCACACTGAATCTTAAAATATGTGTATAAAGTCTGCATGCGATTTTGACGCAATTTGCAGCGACCGTGGCGCTAACGGTTCTGAAGGTCCAGTGTGATGGATTTAGTGGCATCTAGCGGTGAAGTTGCAGAATGCAACCAACCAAATACCGCACAGCCTTGCGAGCGAGTAGGAGAAACTACGGTGGAAAAACACGATATCTGTCACGCTATGTCTGGTCTGCAGACATGGCAGACTCTGCAGAAGAGATAAAAACGGCTCATTCTACGGTAACAAAAACACAAAGATTCTTATTTCCAGGTGATTATACACTCTAAATTTTACACACCGGATCTTTGAAGTACCTTTTTTGCCTCCATGAGCTGTGTGTTACAGCATGCACTTGCCCAACGAGGCGAATCACAGTTTTGAAAACCCCTGATTTAGACAGTATCCAGCCTTTTTATTGTAGTGTGCTGAGAGCATTACGTACCGCTTTGACTGGATTTTTACGACTGCCCCTTTTTAATCCGATATTGTCCACGTCTGAGAACGAAAAGTGGCTTTAACAGAGAACTGAAGATGTCTTTTAAACTTTGAATTGAGAGCAGAGGTCGGGGCGTGTTGCTGTAATCGTGGACAATAAGCTATTTTGCAAGAGGTCATGGACTTTTTAGCTTTGAGTTTGTGGGAGGTTTCTTTTGGCTGCAAAACACATTGTTCCCCCCTCTGGCCGATCGGCTGCTGAGTTGAATGTCCGCTCATTTGGATTCTGAGACTGTTCAGGAGTCATGGATGTGTCAGTGTACATACTGTAAAGATGTATATGTAGGACTTATATGTTTGAGAGTTATTTATTTACCTAAAGATCATGATGTTACTCTGGAAAATTTCAGGTGAAATATATTTGAAATATGTAGCATTTTATTTGTCACTCTGGCGGTCATTAACGCTACGGACCAACACAGGAAAGGTTTTATGTTTTTACCAGTGCAATATTATTGTTCCAATCACAGCCAGGCAGAACCACTATCACAGCAGGGGCACAATCTACCACGATACAAGCTACAGGCAATTCACAGTCTGCAATCATCACACACACACACACACACACACCACCTGCAGTTGTGTTTCACACCTCGTGAAAACTATTTGTATTTAAGCTACTGTTGACCTCTGCTGTCTCTTTACAACAGTCAACTGCTGAGCATTTTATAGGACTAACTGTACCTATTTTTCAAACTGGAGTATTTTACAAAACCTTTGAAATATAACTGGAGACTGGTTTTTCAGTCAGCGGGTGCATGAAAAAGTGAAACCCCATTAACAAAGCAGCTCTATTTAACAAGCTGTTTGCATGTCATCCAGTCAGATTGGAACTACTTAATCTTCATGCTTAACAGTAATAAACCAGTTGTGTTGTCCACTATGTCCTCACTGTTTAATGAAATATATATCAAAACGTTCTGCTGATTATATTTGAGATTATTGCCACATTTGGATGAGGAGAAATACGCTTAGAGACCTACAGAGGTGTTTTAAAATTCAGTATTAGTTTTTAGTTATGGACACTTTTCTGATAAAACACCCTTTTATGCAGTGAAAAAAAAAGTTTTATTAATGGTTAAAGGAATGATTTTAATTATATTTTCCGACAGAGAGAAGATCGATATCACTTTCATGTCTGTCATGTCTAGGAAACACCTAGCCTGGGTCCTGGTTAAGAAATAAAGTGGCCCTTTTACGCTTCAGATTTTGAATGAATTAAACAAAGAAAAGATGTAGACGGGTTAATTAGTGAACTTTTTACAAGGATTTTATTGCCTTCAGACAGCCGGTTGTTTACCCATAAGCTAAGGCTGTAAAAAATTCTGAAAAAATCCCTCTAGTTTAACAGTTTGATCACTTATTTCTATAAAATCCATTAAATTAACATTAAACTTACAACTGCGGACAGATTAATTCTTTATTACCAATTAACATTTATAACTGCAGAATTGATGAAAGGATTACAAATATTTTAAATACAAATATTAGCAAATAAAAAAAAACTGTTTATATTTATGGATTAATGAACCATAAATAAACTATAAATCCTGCATAAAGGGTCGCCTTATTATTAAAGTGTACCAACATTTTATACGACTGTTTATAAATCCCAACACTGGGATGTTACTTCGTGGTTATCCAGCTGTAGGGTCAGTCATATTTATGACTTTAAATAAAACATCACAAATATTATAGAACTGTATGTTTGTGACATATATTAAGCTGTCAAAAGTTATGGTGGCAATAATTCATTTATATTTTGGATATATGCAGTGTTTGCGATTAGATTCATGCTCAAATTTGAAAGTATTTCAACAACACTTTGTTTTAACTCCTTTTGTTTAGCATTTATAAGCAGTAATACACACATTTTAACACACTATAATGTAGTTGTAAGCAATTATAAGGGCAGTTATTAAGGTTTTTAAATGTATTCGTAACAACTGTTAAGTTAATAAACTATTTTAGTTTTTTAATCAACCTTTAGTATATTATACATACATACACACACATATGTACATACACAATCATACTCCTACATAAAAAAACATATAACTACTAAGATATGAAATGCTTTATAACACTTCTATTATGCATCCTTTTGTTTTAAAGCAATAATTTACTGTTTATATTCGCTACAGATGCTTAAATTAATACTGTTATAACTGACTGCAACTCATTAAGTGTTAATATACTGCTTCTAAATACCAAACAGGGCTTTACAATGAAGTGTTTACAGTATTTCTCTGTATTCTGTTAGCAGCTGTATTACAGAAGGTCATGAGCTCTTTTTACGTGGTTCGATTGGAAAGTGTTATCCTTTCATTCCCGACATTGACAACCACTGATGAAAGCACTGTGTGTACTTTGATTAACAACATTAGTATCAGGATTACTTCTGTTGTTGTTCTCAGACTGAGGATACAGTAGATACTGATGTCTCCTAGTTCATATGTGTTCGGGCAGATCGGGCCGACCTCTGCCCGGCCCTCGGCTCTCTCTACCATTGTCTGTACTGTGGAATAAATACAATTGGACGGTAACTCAATGGGTGTACGTGTGATTTTATTGTCTTTAAAGTGGCCTCACGTTGTAATAAACTGGAAACTGTCAAAACGTGTATTAATAAATTACAGCTGATATGATAAAAGGAGGGAATACCAAAAAAAATCTGTATTGTCTCTAGTATTAAATCTAGATTTTCCAGTTATAAACCCTCTTTTTTTAATTTTGAAAGTGAAATCAATACATTAGATTATACTCCCATACTGTAAAAACAATCAATTAATTTAACTAATTAATGATTTTCTATCTGCCGCCTGGTGTTGCCTGTTTGTGTACTATCCAATGTTTGTAAATAAAGTTTAAAGAATAAACACTGTTACATATATTTTACATGGTCACAAATATAAAAACACAACAATTTCTATATTTATGTTTTTGAATTTGACAGCTGTAGTTTCAACTGCCCCTTCATAAGCCCCACCTCAACTTTCTACTTTATTTAAAGATAAAGTGTTAAGTGTCTGCAGTACAACTTCTATCATAATGTATTAAAAGCAGGTTATTACAGAATAAATGAAAACAAGTACAGCAACAAGAAGTAACCTTTTCTTTATTTTGGCAGATTAAAAATGACTTTCTGTAATTGTTGTATGGGAACAACTCTGAAATCAGTTGCTTTGTCTTTGATTATAGTGCCCCCATTAGGTCAGTTAACATAATGCAAGGTTAGTTTTGTGTTTGTTTTTTTTTAAGCGTTCTCTCAATCAAACATATATTACATACAGTATCAACACAAACACACATTGGCTCATTTTACACACAAACTCGACGTGGCCCTGTTCACCCCCCAGAGCTGAAACAAGGGGACGGAAACAGGAAGAAAACTCTCCAAATATTGCACAAAATGGCAAAAGTTGTTTATAAAATTGGCCAAAGTGAGGATAAGCTATGATTGACCCTATAAAAATGTCTTTTAAAACAAATAATTATTCACCTTTTTTCTTTTCTTTTTTTAAATATGAAGCACTTGTGACACATACAAAAAACCTTGTAAATTCACTTCACAGGAGGATGGAAGAGCAACGACGGGCCTGCTCTTACAGGTGGACGGATGCATGATGGGTAGCGATGGCAGCCTGTACAGCAAAGAGGTTGAGGAGAGACCACAAACGCACAGAGAAAGACAGAAAGTCGTAAAATCACAGCTGAGCTTAATCAGCTCTTTTTCGTTCACCTTTATCTTATCTTTTTTTTTAGATTTTGTTTGTCTATAGTGCGCGAGGCCTCTTCGGGGTTATTTGTTGGCTAGCTTGCTCCTCTTCCTGGAGTGCAGAACGGAAAGACTTGACTTTGTCTGAAAGAAGAGAAGATATCACAGCACAGGTTACAGTAACTATTAAGAATTGAATTTGCCTCGGGATAAATAAAGTATCTATCTATCTATCTATCTATCTATCTATCTATCTATCTATCTATCTATCTATCTATCTATCTATCTATCTATCTATCTATCTATCTATCTATCTATCTATCTATCTATCTATCTATCTATCTATCTATCTATCTATCTATCTATCTAAGAGAGTATTTATTTATTAGTTTGTGTAAGAGAACATGATGTAGTGACACCGCTATGGACTTTGTATTGGCAAGAATCTACAATATATTGCGATTTAAAAGAAAAAAATAATATGATTTTAGGAAAAGTAGTGATCTTTTAAACGTTCCTTTTTCAGCACCATTAAAAAAAGGAAGTGTAAAACTAGACTTAATGTAAATGCTAGGCCTACCGGTGAATGATATGACTGTTTGTGGCTGAATTGTTGTTGTAAACTCCTGGAAAATTATTTTTTTAAAGAGTGGGAACCTTGAATTCGTGGTTCTCAGGACTATAGACTGATCTGATATGAGAAGAATCTCCTCAACAATTTCAAAATCTGCTCATTCAGAATGTTTTATGGTTTATTAGGCTGGTTTTTGTACATGAGATTAAGACTTAATTAAAGACGAGTAAACTGTATAAACACTTGATGATCGTTACCTCTCAGCTCGGTGAGAATGTCTATCTTCTGATCCAGGATTTGTTCTAGTTGAGTTGCGAACGACTCGACGTCGTAGTCGACCTCCTCCGTCATTTCCAAAAGCACCTTCTCATCTTCCAGCCAGCGGATCGACTCCTGTAAGGACACGCTGCAGTTTAACACCTCCTGTTGTTTGTAATGTGAGACTGATGAACAGAGTGGGAATGAACAGCTGCCTTACATTTCTACAGTAAAATGGAAAATCAAGGTATTGACTACTTGAGGGAATCAGTTACGTAGGTCACATTTTGAAAGAGCTGCAGCTTTTGTAGTTCAACATACTTCAGTAATATTCCTTTGGGCTCTAATTGGTGGCAGTTTGGCATTTTACTGACCATGAAATTAACTCTCTCTGTGTGTGTTTTTGGTACTTTTAATAGGAGTTTCATTCAAATTAAGAAGCACAAATAGAGTTCTTTTTGTATTTTGGTGTAAATTGGGTCTCTAGAAATCTCAGTATCACGTCTGTTTCTGGCACCATCTGGTGATTCTCATTTAATAATGTTTAACAATGTAAAATTAACAATTAGAAAACTCTGTGTCCTGTACAACAGAACTACAAAATGACTTCCTGAGAAGCTTCATTTGTTGTGCTGCTTCCCTGTGATTGGCTCAGATGTTTCAGAGCGGCGAGACCAGTGATGTGATTGGCCGATAGTGTATTTATTGATCACCACACCCTCTGATCTACTGTATATTCCACTGCTGCAGGCTCTGCTGTACCTGGAACACCGCCCTGTGGTCCTCCAGAACCTGCTCCTCCATCTCCACCAGCTGAGAGACGGCTTCATGGAAAGTGAAGAGCTGCGGGGAAACTTCTTCCTCCTACAGAGAACACGACCAGGTCTGTTTTACACCACTGACACACACAGTCTGCAGTTTACAGTCCATAAACTGGGATTAAGAACTGCTGTTAGCACATTCAAAATCTGTCTTAAAACAACATTCAGGTCTAAAGTTGGAGTAATGTCCTAGTCGTATTTATTTTTAGATATTCAGAATTACACATTCTAGAAAACATAGTCTGGAAACATATATTTTTCATACTTATCCAGACCTGGAAATGACTCAAATCTATTTCCATACTGTGTAGGAACCCTGTCAATGGGATTGTGAATGAGGTTTTCTTACTTCTGTTAGAGAAGTTCAGTATAACAACGAGTATGAACAGGAAGAGGATTAAAGCAAGCAACAAACCTATAGAGAGGTGAATATCATTTTAAATGTGAGCTCATCCTTTAATTCCTGAGTGAATGAGTAGTTTGTCTTACGTTCTGTTCACAGAGCAGCTTCAGGTCGTCTCTCTGTGGCGAGCTCCCGACTCCCCACTGAGCCTCCAGCACCTCCAGCTGGTTGACGTGTCCTCCCTGGCGGCCGTCCATCGCCGCCGCGGGGTCCACGGTGAGCTCCTTCACCCTGACAACACATCAGTGCTGCTAGTGAAACAACAACATGGCTACTGCAACGACTGCTGAAGGTATCTGAGGAGCAACATCAGGCAAGCAGACTGGTTGGTAGCTGCGTGCGACGTACAGACGTGTTGCTGGTGGAAAGGATCAGCATGCAAGAGGAACAAACAATACAGACTGTTTCCATGCAGCGGGAAATCAAAACGATGGTGGAGAAAACTCTTAATGCAGGATTAACAACAAACTGCAGAAGTTATCCGGGCTACTAACTTTATATATACTATACTTTTATAGCCCCACTCATGAGTTTGGTATCCTTCAGGTAAGGTGCCATCATTTAAGATGTATAAACAATTTTGTCTGTTTTTCTTTCCCACAAAAAAATATGAATAATCCACAATCTATAAAATGTAAATATTTGTTCAATTAAAAAACTATAACTGCTGGACAGTCAGAGTGGGGTGGGTCATTATTTCGCTATCCTGGGGGAAAGACATTACGTGGTATCAGATCAGTGCACAGATCCAATATCAATGCGCTCTGCAGTCGCCTGCATTCCTTTAACATATCCAGATACAGATTGCCTGTTAATGCCGGGTGTAAATGCACATACATCATTCTGCCTGGTGAAGGTCAAACATCAGTGGGGGGGCTTTAAATACAGCCGGCAGTTAAAGGACCAGTGTGTAGGATTTAGTGGCATCTAGCAGTGACGGTACGACAGAAACATAGCGCCTCTACTGAAAGCGACCAGCAACATCTAGAGATAAAAACGTGTCATTCTAAGGTAAAAGAAACACAAAGATTCCTATTTTCAGGTGGTTATACACTAATGAAAACATACCTATGAATATTACTATATTACATTTCTGCTAATAGATCCTCCTGAATGTTACACACTGGAGCTTTTAACTTTTAAACTTTTGTAACAGTCAACAGATCCCATAAAAAGTCCAAAACCAACAATGTGGCCCCCAAACTCACTGGTTCCTACTGAACGTCCATAATTTCCTCAAACAGCTGTTCATTGAAGCTTTTAGTAAACGTTCCTAAAACAGGAGAAAACAAAGTGCATTTGGTGGGGACTATTTTCAGCGGCGGATGAATCCAAGTTTGGTGCTTTAGTGAGTTTTTCCTACAGCAGGACTGAATGTGAGATTGAGTCAAAATAAACCACAAAGGAGCTCTACACACACAGTACTTAGTTAGTGGATGCATTCGTTGTTGGTTTTGGTCTTTTTGGGATTTACTGACAGTAAGAGAAATACAGAATATTAGTTTTTATGGCTCTGAGTGACGCTGGGTAACTTCTGAGTCGACAGGAAGCAACAAAAGTGGTTAATTAACGGGTAATGTGAGCATGGTGGTAACTTGACGTAGTATAGAAGTGATCGTACTCGTAGGTAGGGGAGAGCTCAGAGCGACTCCCTCCGCCCCCGCTCTGGGAGAAGGGAATGTCTGAGGGACTTATCCCAAACTCCTTTACTCTGGAAACATTGACGGGAGAGAGACAGAAAAACACACAACCACAGAAGAAGAAGAAGAAGAAGAGATAGGAGAGGATCATGTTAAGTTGTGCAACCATTCCCGCATTAATTCAATTCAGTCAGTATCAACACGAGAGGAGGAGGAAGACAAACAGGGACACAAATGTTAACCAGGAAACTGTAACTGGTGCCACTTTTAATGTACTTTAAAGTTTTGTATATTCGAATTTAAAGGCTGAAATTTAAATTGCAGCTTTCTGCATTAACATTTGGCATTTAAATGAAGGTTATGTGAGATTTCCAGTCCTTTAAAAGCTTCTTCTTTCCCCTGTTTTACCTGTTGGCGTATCTCAGCGTGTTCAAGGTGTTTTCACATGAAGCCATTCCAGGAGAGATGGTCGCAATCTGTGAGGGTTGGATCAATATGTTATCAATACATCTGTCCACAGGAGGGTGCAGCAGTAGAAACACACGGCTCTGTTCTCGTCTTACCATGCACGTTCTGGAGTTTTCTCCTATAAACGAGTCCCGCAGCACTTGGGTTAACTTGCTGGCTCTAAACGGAGTGTGAGGTTTGTTTCTGCCCAGAGCTCGAATGCACTCCTGCAGAAACACAGGAGCATTTATAAATACACAGAATACGAATATTATAAACAATAAGTCAATAAAAAATAAAATGTTCTCTGATTCCAGATTCTCAAATGTGAGGATTTGCTTTTCTCTGTTTTATATCATATTGAATTATGGACATTGTCTCCATTAAACATTGAATATAAAGATAACAGTGCAGCAGACAATGCCGTCTCATCTGCAGACAACCTGAAAAGATTAATCAAGCAGTTTAAAGGCCTTTAAACCTAATTTGAAGATTCAAACCAATGAAAAATGAATTAATACTAATTTTAAACAGCAGAGGGCGGTACAGAGTCTCACCTTAATAAATAAAATAAAATATGAATTGTTTTACACAGTTTGTACCCGAACTTAGAAATAAAAAACAATTATTTAATTTGATTTTTGAAGAAAACATAAGAGAAAATATGTTTTATAGACTTTGGTCTGAGAAATAAAAAACATAATGAATTGCATCAAATCGTAAATTGAGTGTATCGTTACATCCCTATTTTAAATCTCTTATTACAAAGCGATTAATTGTGATTATTCACAGCAAATTGTGTGATTGATTAGTTAATTATTTCTAATTGACAGCACTGAAATATAATCATCAAAATCCCACTAAAATAAAGGTGAAAACATTAAAAATATTTGTTTTTACTGGGATTTACTACAATAAACTTCAACTTTAGAAAAAAGGTAAAATCCAGCAGCTAACTTAGTCTATTAAATCCTCATGTTTTCATTCCACAGATCACTAACGTCTGTCTGTGGGATGCTGCCGATCTCTTTGGTTCTTCACTGCAAATATTTTGTGACCGAACGTCCACTTTTTCAAGCATTTGAGATTAATTATTTAATTATGTATTTAGTCTGGTTTCATATCCAGATTGTGGAGGTCGGATGTTAAATCATTGTTAATTTAAGTGTTTTCAGATTGAATAACCTCCACAACTAATGTGTGCAGTTGCTTCCAGGCTGTTCAACCTTCACAGGAAGGCCACTGATTCACAGGATATCTAAAGTACCTTCAGCGCCAGCAGGCTCTTGTTGATCTCGGCTCCTTCGAGGCGAGTCTGGCGGTCGGCGCTGGAAGTGTCCGCCCCTCTCTCGTTCCCCGCCAGGTCAATGAGGGAGAACTTTCCATGCATCTTCCCCCGCCGACGCAGAATGATCTGAAACACAGCGTGGCTCCGGGAGGAGTGAGCGTTCGCTGAGGTCTGACCAGAAGTCCTGAAGGAGACGCAGAGAACAAAAACCCCCTTTAAAACTTTCTGACTCTATCACACTAACACTCTGACAACTGCTCCGCTGCTGTTTCACCTGCAGCTGTTTCCCACTTCGATGAGTTTGAGGACGTCCTCTGTGCACTTCACCTCTCTCTCCTGCAGCCCCACCACCTGCACCTGCTGCTTCCCGTCCTCCAGGACCCGTAACTTGGATTTGCGGTTTAGCAGGTCAAACACCTTTAAATACAAACACAAGGTGGTTCAGTGATTCAATGTGACGTCACAACGCCCTCTCAGAGTTTCTGAAATGTTCCTCTCCAAATGTCAAACTCTAAGCCACGCAGACGCAGCCGGCGTGGACCAGGTCTAATCACGATCCCATAAGCAAATAAACATAAAGTCTATCAATCATTTTGCATCAGAATTAAGAATAAATTATTATTAATATCAACCGATATGTTGTATAGCTTCTAATTGAAGTATCCTAATCATTTAAAATAACATAAATGTCTCAATATCGGCCGATAATTATCATGCATCCCTATTTATTACTGTTTAAATCATCACTCCAAATGAGTCTAATGTGCATCGCTGACAAGGACAGTCTTTCCTAAATATCAGCAGAGACGGAAGTAATTAAAAAAGTTAAGTAAGCTGATAAAATGTTGTTACTCCGGAGCCTAAAAGTAGCAGCGTAAATGTGCCACTACTCAGTCTTCTGATTGAATAAACGTGTCACCAATCACGATAAAACACACTCGCCTTCCCGCTGTAAATCTCAAAAAACGTGGCAAAGATTTGGAGATCCAACTTCTTGTAATTTGGCTTCTTTATCATGAGAAAGACATCTCTGGCTGCACGAGGAAAGAGAAGGAGAGAATGAGTTCAGTCACACGAATCAACCAGCAGTGAAGATGGAGAATGTATGGCAGAAACTAACCAGACAGTGCATAGATCCCTTTGGAGCAGTCCTGGTTCTTTCCTGAAAAGTCCCCTCCCATCGTCTGAAAAAGGAGATATGAGTCACAACAAGGAAGACAGCACCGAAAACAGAAACTCTTCTCACTTTAAAGAGCGCTCACGTGTGTTTTTCCGCTTCCGGTTTGTCCATATGCGAAGCAGGTCGCCATCCCCCTCTCAAAAATGGTCTCAACAAGCGGCTGAGCAGTGAACCTGAGAGGAGAAGAGCTTCTGTTAGAAATATGGAGTTCTGAAGTGTTCAATGTTAAACACATAATATAATATATAACACGAATAAATAAATATATAAACTCAACAGTAATTTCAGAAATGCACAAAAACATTTAATCCACAAGAACCTGCAGCTCCACCGGTTTACTTGTATTTGTTTACAGGCCCAATAAGGTATATAAGGTTGGACGATAGGACGAATATATCATTTTATTTTGCTAATTTAATGTTCTGCCTCAGAAGAATGAGAGCCGCTCAGTGACAGACGTTGAGCGGCGGTAGAAGAACGAGTGAGAGGAAGAACAGCTGTAGAGCCTTTAGAGTATTTTCACGTGTAACTGGTGAATTAAGAGTTTATTTCAAGCAGTTTGACAACAGGGAATACAGGTAATGTGATTCACAGAGGCTCAAAACAAGACTCTAACCCCGGGAAATGATGAGGACACAGCAGGGACAGGAGCGGGGAGGCAGGAAGGTAGAGGAGGCGTCAGAGAAGCAGCGACAGTGTAGAGCCAGTTAGATGGTTAGACAGCAGAGTTTAAAGACTAATAAAGACGGTTTGGTGAGTTTTATTCTGTTGAGTTTAAATGAAGATCACTTAACAAGGTCTCAGTCCGGTATAAGTTTATATATTTGAATCTAGAAGGTGTACGGTTGTATTTTCTGTTCAGTGCAGAAAAATAAGTGTTTTTCTTTCCTTTCTTTACATCCTGTGAGTTTATTTTCTGTATTAAAGCTGTCGCACATAGTGAACTCGCCGGTGTGGGACTGATGGTGGCCAGTTGGAATATGTTAACATACATATGAAAACCCTTCGCATCGCAGCAACGTCTGTGTATTATGTCTATGGATCCGCAGACAAACTACTATACCTGTAGACCATTTCATTGGTGGAGTTCTCATCGAAGGCGTAGTCGAAGCGGAAGGTTTGGTTCTCCAGGTAGCGGGTCAGGTCGACTTTCTGCTTGGGCTCGTGGACCATTACCACGTCCTTACTGGGAATGGTGATCACATCTAAATCCTTCATGGACAACTCTAAAGAGACAAAGACAGGTTTTGTTCATGTGTGACAAAGAAAACTAAAAAGTTTATTGATTCTGTGTTCAGACAGAAGATTAAACCAAATATTTTAACAGAGGAAATATACGCAGAGACGAGAGGTCAGACGTGTCTGTTTATAGCATCCATACCATTAATTCATCACATCTGTAAACTATAAACAGCTGTGATATCAGAGGGATGATCAATGATTCATTTATAGAGCCCATATTGACTTCACAAACTTCTTCACATTCATTATTAACATAATAATGATAATAATAATTGAGCCCGGACCTGATATGGGCGTATTGATATCGCCGTATATGTTTTCAGATATTAATTTGCGTGGGGTAGAAACGTAGAAATGGTGTCCCCCCCGTAGTTTGTCCAGCAGAGCGCGCTCCGATTCAACTGTTTACAATCCTCTCAGTCAGGATTGTGACAGCTGAGCAGACGCTGGTGTGGGCGGAGTCGGGCGGTGTGTTCACTGTAAGTTGCTGATGAGTTTTTGAAACTGAGTCTGTACCGCATTTAAAAAACCTTCTTCCATTTGCAATTTTTACTGTTTTCTTAATCTTGTTTCTCGTTATGTTGCCTTTATTGATGAGTATCTGTCTCAGTTTTTGTTAACTGTGAAGCACTTTGGAACTGCTGTTTTAAAAAAATGCTGTATCAATAAAGTTAATTATTATTATCACACTTTTTTCAGTTTTTTGGGATAATTTTGTTCCATCTAGGTTGGGGGAAGGGAGGAGGGGGATCTTTAAAGACTGGAGGGGCACATAAGAGCCCTTTGTCATCAGGCAGTTGACCAATTCTTGTATATTTATGTTAAAGGTCTCATATTTAGTCGCCTGTTACAGATGATTTCCTCTAAATCTCACCTCCGTCTGAACACACCTGCTGAATAAAGCTACTCTTACCTTTCTTATTGAGGGGACGTGCACGCACACATACACATATCCTGTGCTCCTCGATCTGAAACACACAACAGACAAATTGTACTATTCTGTATGTATCGTTTATACCCTTGTGTAACATTCAGCTACTCTCAACTAGAGTTTAAAATAAAGTTTTGTGGGTTTTATCAATGTTTGGCTGCACAGCATGAGATCGTAATGACTAGTGGGGAGGTTTAAAGATTAAGCTTGTTATAGTTGATGATAACAAGATCCACAAGAGCAATAAAGCTGTGTTGTTTTGTCAAAATAAAATAAAAGTATCTACATTTTAATATACAAATATGTCCCTATATCTCTACTCAATCATCTGGAAACCTTCATTAAATGAGACTCTTCTATTAACTGTCACACAACCTTTTGTGGAGACACAGCTCTGAACCAGACTTACCAGATCATTACTGGTTAAAGGCCTGTAGTCCAGACTGGCTCTGAAGTCTCTGATCATACACATGATTTCATAGTTTGGTAAATTGACATCCACCTCCTGAAATGGAACAAAAAAAACAAAAGAATCAAATGAAACATTCTCCTAAAAAGCCAATAATAGCTGTACATTTTGTATATTTTACACATCCATACAGGCACAGCAGAGAGAAATGCGTGTATGTATCCTGAAGCAAATAACAAAACCTGTTTTTTAATTGAAAATATGAGAAAATCTGCTCTTTTCAACATGTAAATGATCCTAGTAGAGTTCTGCATAAGACCCGAACCCAGCCTGAAACCTCAAACTACATTTTTGCTTAATTTCATACATTATTACCCATATGGAAGTAAACAATTGGTCCCCTCCTCATCAAAAACATGTTTCTGTGTATATACAGTATTATAACGTGTGTGTGTGTGTGTGTTTGCTCCTCACTTGTGCCCTCTTCTCTCTGAGCTCTTGCTGCTGAAGTCGCCTCCTCTCTCGTTTCTCCTGCAGTTTCTCCACTTCCTTCACACAGTTGGATTTCTTCCGTGCTGGAATGGAGAGGAGCAAAAATAATCTAAATAATCACAATTAACAACAAAGATTATTTAAGGATAACGCTGGTGTTACTCTGTATATGTCTTATAGACTTCCCTACTCGTAGTGCATTTGTTCAGGGATTACACTGACATGGTCCATTAATCTGCATAATAAGTACTTTTACTTTTCTGATTCTGATAATACAAACTTCTACTGAAGTAAAACTTTTACTTGTAGCATTAAAACTACTACTTTTACTTTAATAAAGCATCTAAATATTTCTTAAGCCACCGGTTTTGAAAGTTTTTGGGACAACAATGCAAATAAATGGGCTTGGATGGGACTTTGAGGGTTAAATCTGAAGAGTTGATTTTATTTCCACAGTAGTGTACATTTATGCTAATTGCAAACAGCCACAGCTGAAAACTAAAACAAATGCTGTAGTATGAGTCCAAGTCCAGGCAGCCGGGCCAGTAAGCGACCGTGAAAGAGCCTTTGACGCCCTCACACACACACAGCTGTGTGGGAGCATGACATCACTGGTTCTGGCCTCTGCAACAAATCCTCCACCAGAAAATAACAACACAGACACACACACTCGAAAAACTGGTGGTAAAATGTGGACCTGAATGACCTCTGACATGCATGGTCCGGGTGGAGGGACTGTGTGTTACCGTTCTGCTGTAACAGGGTCTGGTTGAGGGCGCTCTGGGGGGCGATGGCTGGTGGAGGGGGCTCTGCAGGTTGGCTGTGCTGGCTGGGACGGGCCCGGGTGGTTCCCACTGCTGCAGCTGAGGAGCACAACGGGCCAACGTGATCATCAGTTTGTGCAGAGTTAGAAAACAAACAACAAGACAAACTGTTCTTAAAGTGTTTTGTTTCTATGCAGATACTTGGTTTTATTTACAGTCAGGAACTCCTAGTCTTTCATTGATTAAACCCCTAAGTAAGAAATTTTATGGTTATTTCATATTATAATCAATGAACCCAAACAGTGAACTCAGTAACTGCAGGAAGTTTGTGTAAAAGGAGCAATTTGGATGAATTTCCTGTAAATACTGATCACAGATGAGTTTTCCTGATATTTTTAGGAACTTTTTATACAATTTTCTGTCTGTATTAAGTCTTTTTTAATTTGTTTTACCAATCATACAGACTTAAAAGGCTTTCCTTGGGACAAATTCAGTGTTTTCTTCTCTCTGACACTTCAATTGTTCTTTTCTATTGCAGGACGAGGCTGTTCATCAGAGTGAAGACTGTAAATATAACTTGTGTTCTTCAAAGTTTAGATAATAAAAATAAACATTTAATTTAGTTTTCTTCACAGAAATCGACAAAATGTTGAGATACAGGGCAACTGTGTGTACTTTTTAAGTTTTTTTTACACCTCTTTAAAATCAAGAAGGCCTCGCGACCTCCCGTGATGCTTTGGCGACCCCTCGTGACTAATTCTTCTTAACTGGAAGTCTGCACAGCGACCCTTCAGTTTCTATTTGGCTTAAAGATGTGAAGTTCTTTCTCAAACTTTAGAAGATTAAGTAACCGTTTATATCTTTCTTCAATGCCCTGCAGACGCTTCCTTTAGATGAACTTGTAGTGTTCACAGGCACCGAGCTTCCAAGCAATTAGCAAATTCTATTTTATTCCATGTTACATTATTCATTCATTTATTGATTTATTTTTTATTTTCAACCTTGTTATTCTTACGTTAACTTTTGTTCCTGTTGTTGCTGTCACAGGTTGTGGGGGGAGGGGGTTGTTTGTTTCCCTGTAATTGCTGCAAAATTTGAATAAAAATATATAAAAAATGTTTTGAGGAATCTCTCTATACTGCGTTGGTGGAGAAAATCTCATAAAACTAAAATTAACTTAAATTAATTACACGGTTAGATGCGATAGTCTGTACTGACCTTGTCAGTTTCTGCACGTGCTTCACAATAAATGCATTTTCTTGTTAAAGGCTGTGGTGGACCTTTATTGTGAAACCCAAAGTGCTGGCTATGACATCTGAGCTCTTCCAAAAGTACATTTTAGGAACCTTTTTGTCAAGAAGTCACTTTGAAAACCTGCACGGACGACGTAATGTTACACTTTATTACAACAGAGTTTGATAAAGGAGCCGAGGACTGACAATAAATCTTATTTTAACACAACGGGAGTAAAAAATAACTCTACAGAGGAGCTGTGTGACATTAGTTCAGCAGGTCGGTTTTTGTTTGCTGAAGAATAAGAAGAGACAGAGACACACGCAGGTATTAGATGAAGAACAGCAGAAGCATATCATTAAGTTAAATTATGCCTTTTTTTTTTTGGCCTCGGTGGCATCGGCTCTGATTCTCTCCGCCCACAGAAGCTCATACATTCTGTTCACTACAGCAGAAATCCTAAAGCCAGAACTGTGTGTGATACACATATTAGACAAGAACCTGATGGCGTGTCTGCCCTCAGGTCAAGATGCAATCTCCCTGGAGAAGGTGAGCATCAGTAAGTTTAAATCAAACATACCTCTATTCTCCCGTGGAACATTCTCAGCCTTTGGTATTGCTGTAATCCGTTTGGTCTGAAAATAAAAACATAAGAAGACATAAACCATCACAGAGCTGAAAGCAGACCTGATTTCACAGACACTGTTCACAGTAATCACCTGAATTACATCCTGAAATCAAAGCGGTTTTGTATTAAACTTGTCAAACATTGGACGTAACTAACATCAATCAACTGATAGTAGTATTAGTTAGTATCTTTATATGGCCGTTTTATTATAAATATTATATAAGTGGTAAATTAGCCAGAGCTTGTATATCGGATTAGATTGTTTCTGATATAACAGTATCTTAACAAGCACAGAGACACACAGGCAGGTAAGTTTTCTCTCTGTTTGTTTGTGAGCTGATTAAAAAACAAATACAAGGTGAACGTTTTGACACAATTTACAGATTATTAATCTAATATTAATTAAAGAGTGTTGCTCTGAGGCATCACCTTAAACAGAGAGAGAGAGTTACAGATTCTCCGGTGAAGTTTGAAGATGTTTTACAGCAAACAGTTTGTCTTTTAATGTCTTTCAATCCCTAATTTTATTCTCAGATTTACATGTAAAGCATCTAATAAAAAGGTACTTTAATATGTAAAATGAGTAATATTTGCATGATACAAGTCCTGTTTTAGGTAAGTTATATAAGCAAATACATACTGAATGAAGTTAACGTTACAGAGTCGAGCTATTTTTGTATGTGTGCATATAAAAAGAGAGAAATAATAAGGCTAAAGAGTATGTGAAAAGACAGAAACAAACAAAACACTGACTCTGAAAACAACTTAAAGCAAGTTCTCTCCTCAAATCATGAACAATAATCTATGAACAAGTCATGTATGACAGAACGGATTGATAATTGATGATTGATAGCAACTGATGAGGAGCAGACCTTGGGGAGTTTGCTGGTTTTGGCAGCATTGGAGGGAGGAAGAGGAGCCTCGGGACTCTGTGGTATCTCCTCATCAGGAGCAACGTCTGGATTCAGAGCAAAGACGCTCTCCAGATCGATCTGAGGCAGAAACAAGACAGAGCATGTAGCATAATCAATCAAGAGTTGCATTTATTTATCACAGACCAGTTATATATTAGTATAAAAGGTATTCAAGATTAATTATTAACCTGGCATGATTGTCTGCACACCCGGGGACTCTATGTAAAGTGTATGCTCTCAGACACTCTCCATGAACTAAAGGCTTTTGAGTTTCACTTTAACATTTTCTCCAAAGTTGAAGTTTGCGACTACAGTTGGAGCAACTGATAACTGCTCAGGTTACACAGAAAGTAAAGAGAAACGTAGAAAACTCTTCACTTCTTAGCACAGCTTGCATTCAAACGTGTGCATATTGTAGGAAGACGCGACCACAGTGGTGAATATTCCATTTATTTAGCAGTGAAATGTTTCCCCAGATTCAGTATTTACTCCTGATGATCTATAGTTTTAAATCCGAGCGGAGATGTGATATACTGAAGCAGCTTTCATAGGCACTTTTTAATGCAGTACACAGTATTTCTTTCATCTGGAGGCTCTGAGGGAACAAACCGCCGCAGTAAAAGCACAAATAAGATATCTACAGTGTTATTCAGGGTTCCCACTCCCACTTTTTAAGAAATCATTTTCCAGGAGTTCCTCTCGACAGCACTCGTTAACAACGGTGGTCTTTGTTTATGAGACGCTCACTCGGCTGTTGTCACCACAGCTGATTTTCTGCTGAAGTCTCGAACAAATATGAGCATAAATTAACGTTACTGACCATTTTTACTGCATCAAGAACTGGTAAAGCAGCGATTTTTAAGAGATATATATTGATAAATCACAACTTTATCATCAGTAAAACAATGCACACTTTTTAAATACTTTATAAATAAGACAAAATAAATGCATTTAGGTTCAGGCTTTTGATTTTTCCTCACAGTAGAGGTCATTTGGAGACCCCGTCTCACTTTATCAACAAGACAATTTAAGTAAAGTTTTTCCATCATCAGTTAAAACAATGTACACATTTTTATATATTTTATAAATGAGATGAATTAAGTGCATTTAGGAGGAAGAAACTCTGCAAATTTCAAATTCATTTGCGACCCAAATAAAATCTCCCGTACCCACAACGAGTCTCTGGGAATGAATGGTCTACAGCTTTTCCAGAAAACATTTCCTACCACGTCGTTTGTCCTCTGAACAGTCGGGTTTCAAACAAAATACACACACAGGTTAATGTAGGTGATCTGAGTGAGGGGCTAAAATCCAAATAAACTGATTATTTCCAGGATATTTGCTCATTTCAATCCATTTCCAGGTGTTTTCATGACTGGAAAACTAGTCTCTAAATTCCCAGGACGCGTGCGAAGAGGAAGAACCTCATCAGAGGATTCATCCAGCGTGAATGACGAGAGCATTCAGGAACATAATACAGGAAAGTTAGTGGCGGCCGTACCTCTTTCCCTTTGGTGTCTCCGTTCTCGATCCACTCCACCGTCACACTCTCGTTGTCCTCGTGCAGCGACGTGACCATCGCCTGGTGTATCCGTCCTGCAGAGAGAGAGAGAGAGGATGTGAAGAGATGCTGCGTTGGGACCTGTACAGTCAACGCCTACAGCAGCGGTTCCTGAGTGACCCATATTATATGAAAAACTGTACAATGAACACAAATAGTGAACTTTTGTGTGGATTTTGAGCAGATTATTTCCTGTTTAGGGAACTTTTTGTATAATTATCTGTCTGTATTATGTGTTTTTATCATTTTTGACTATCATACAGACTTAATAGGCTTCATTTGTGGACAAATTCAGTGTTTTCTTGTCCCTGAGGCTCAGCCATTGTTCTATTAGACTATTAACTAACGAACTAACTAAGGCCTACTTCGTCTATTTATTACGTTTTCTAATTAAAATCTAAAATCAAGAAGGCCTTGCGACCCCCCCAGGTTGGGAGCCACTGGCCTACAAGGATATATATGCTGCTTTAAACCCATTAACACATCCAATGAGCCATAAATCAAACACATCTCAAACTGAGAATATTATTTTTAGATACTTTTATATTGCAATTGTTTTAGGAATGATAATATTAACTGAAAACAACTAGTAAAATCATGATTATGTGAAGTTTTTTGCGGGGTCTGTAACAAATAAATGTTTCTTTAAGCCTTGATAACAAGATTTTACTTCATTATAATGTTTTGTCACAGCTTCTTGCAATTATAATAATATTGGGATGAATTGTGCAGCCCTTATTCACACATACATATATTTATACATGCTGCTTTAACCCACAGACGCAGACATTAACACGTCTGATGAGCCATTAATCAAACATATTTCTAACTGAGAATATAATAGCACACAGGAGAAACAACCTCACATTTCCCTGCAGTCACAGTTTAACCCTCAAACATCCAGAGATGCTAATGGGTGTGGCTGCTGATGGATGATGGTAAGACTCATCCTGTCATTCACTGTCACACACACACACACACACACACACACACCTTAAAGAGGCTGTAATGCACTGCCTGTTTTAAATTAAAATATAAATTCCCAATATAAATGAGTTTACAGGCTGTCAGAGAGGGGAGAGGCCCCACTGCATGCAGCCATCCACCGGCCCGGTGATTCACAGTCACCGGGTGATGCAGTGCAGGTTGGAGGGGCAGTTGGAGGGGCAGTTGGAGGGGTGGCAGCCATGATGCAGAGGATTGAACAGAGGCAGGTGTTGTTTTCTTTTTTTTTTTTAATGTAGGCGCACAGGTGGAGGGACCCGCCCGCCTCACACAGCCGGCTCCCTCCCGGAGGCTGACCGACCGGCGTCTGTCTGTATGTGTGTGTGTGTGACATGACTGACAGTTGGTGACACAATTTCTGCTCTTTTTCCCGCGCTAACATTTCAGCCCAACGGTTTTCTGACACCCGGTAAAAAAACAAACAAACAAACAAACAAACGGTGATGTAGCGGTTTGCTAGCTAGCGGCGGCGGGGAGCGTTAGTTGTTCTCATCCGGACCCGCCGGATGGAGAGCGGGGTTGTGTGTGTGTGTGTGTGTGTGTGTGTGTGTGTGTGTGTGCGGAGCTAGCTACGTACCGTCGCTCCGTTTTATCTCCACGTAAATTCCCACGAAGATTTTCCCGAAAATACCGGCCATCTCTCCTCCTCGTGCGGTGTCTTCTCCCCGCGTGTGTGTGTGTGTGTGTGTGTGTGTGTGTGCGTGTGTGTGTGTGCGCGAGCCTGCTGCAGAAGCTGAGGTCACTGGCGGTCAGTCACAGAAGAGGAGAGGAGAGGGGAGTCGGTGCGCATGCGCGGGTGGTGTCACTATGTACAGTTTAAAGCATCTTCTGCTAAGTCAGTGGTTGCCAGCGTTTTTCCTTAAAGGACCCGTTTTCTGTTGCTAAGTGACATATTTTATAAATGTTTTATGTAATGATGTGAAATATTATATTATTATTAAAGTATTAACAATGATAGTACAGGAAAAAACTGTACAATGAACCCAAAATATTGAACACAATAACTGCACAGAGTTGTAAAATGGTTGTTTCCTATAAATATTGATCAGAGATGAGTTTTCTTGTTATTTCTTGTCATTTTTTATACAATTCTCTGTCTGTATTATGTGTTTTTTATTTTATTTTAAACAATGATTGAAAAATTAAACTTTTTTGACAAATTCAGTGTTTTCTTCTCCTTGATGCCTGGCCGTTGGTCTATTTAACTTGTCTAATGCACGTTCTATGAATAATATGTGTTCAGGTTCTTCAAACTTCAGATCTTGAAGGACCAGTGTGAAGGATTTATTTGTAAAGTTTCAGATTGCAACTAACTGAACACCGCTCGCGTCTGTCTCTGACGAACCGGGAATGAGAACAGGCTGTGAAATGTGTTGGAGAAACTATGGTGGCTGCCAGTGTTTAGTTTGTCCCTTTTGGGCTACTGTAGAAACATGGCTGACTCTGTAGAGGAGGACCTGCTCCCTCTGCAGATAAAAACAGTTCATTCTAAGGTAAAAAAAAAAACCAATTCCTATATTCAGGCTTATACACTAATGAAAACATACCTATGAATATTCAATTTCTGCTAATAGATCCTCCTGAATGGGACACACAGGACCTTTAAATAATCTAAACTTTAAAAATAACAATTTAATTTAGTTTTATTCACAGAAATTAGCCTAATGCTGTTTTCTTACACCCCTTAAAATCAAAATAAGCCTTGTGACCCAATGTGAAGCGTTGGCGACCACAGTGGGCGTCCCGACCCTCAGGTTGGGAACCACTGTGTTAAACTGTACAGTGATGGAGGAAAGTATTCAGACTCTTTATGTAAATCATGTTTTAGACATTGCGAGCCCTCCAGCAAAATCTTTAAGTACATTTCCCGCAAATTATATGATATTTCTGAAAATTCACTCATTGAATTGTAGTTTTGAAGACCGTTGACGTTGGAATTCACTTTTAAAGGACTAGTCTGTGATTTCCTCCGAGATAGCGGCTGCCTTTCCACATTTAGCTTCGGTTTCTGACTTTAAACAGACCTAGCAATTACTATTTTCCAGTAGTAGAGCACAGGACAGCTTTCTATGGGGAAAAATTACATAGTCGTTTGTGGCTTTTTAGTCTGAACAGTCACCAAGCTGGCAACACTTAGGGCACTGAACACAAGTAAGTTAAAGGCAGTCACACACTTTTCCCTCGACAAACTGAAAAAAATAAAAAATAAATATGAAATAACAAGAGACAGCCCTCAAGGAGGGCACACATTTAACATATTTTCTGCTGTATATTGCTGGGTAAAGTACTAAACTGTTCTGCTGTAAATGTGATCATATTAATCTCATATAATACTGTACAACTTCAATTAAATCCCAATTAGACGCAGGTCCCCTTACCCACCTACTAGTCTGGTCTGGATTTTATAAATGTTCTCTGGATGTATAAAACCTCTTAAAGCCCACCGGGTCGCCAGCTTGAGCGAGTTGTGAGCTGCTTAGAGCCCCACGAGACAAACTGTGATTTGTGATGTTGGGCTATATGAATAAAATTTTACTAGACAGACAGAGCTGTGCCTTTGGGTTTTATTTTTCAAGTTCAAGGTTGACGACAGTGATAAATGTTTATGTGAGCCGACGTCACAGAGCCACCACAGCCCTGATATCAGCATAAAGGTAAACAAGATGATGTAAGTTCTAATATTTTGCATATATGTCTTCTAGCTTACACTCACAGGGGACAGGTACCAAATATGTCAGGCTGAATATATGGAAATGTATAAAATTACTCTCAAGACATCCGGATTTTCCCATTTCATGTAGAAAATGTTGCCAGTGCAGCCATAAAAAAGGCTCAATATGAGCATGATTCAGCCTCAATGAAGCTTCACAACACACGACGATGTTGATGTATGTAATGTATGAAATAATGTATTTGTTATTATTTAATTATTACTTACATTGCTGGAGTTACATGTAAAGTTTATGTCCTCTGTTGTCTCCCAGACAAACACTTCCATCCCTAATCAATAAATGTTCTGTGCTCACATTCTTACAGATCTCAGTTTAATGATTTAGCAACACAATTTGGCTAAATAATTGTATGTGTTATGATAGACTGGATGCTACTACTCTGGCACTACACAGATGTGACACATGTTTTAATGATATAATTATATAAAACTTAAACTATTTTGCCTTTAAATGATAAATAAGTAACAGAATTTTAAATGTTTCCCCTCTACTGACGTGTCCTGTCATTCTACTTCACTCACATCTCAACATTTAAGGTTTTATTTCCTGGTTGTTTAAATTTAAATACATGTAGCTACTGTGTCACACTAACAGCTGGACTAATTAGAGCTGCAGTGTTGTGTAGAATTACTGTTTAGTTACAGAATAAAGGAGGAAATGTGAGTTAATTAATCTCATTGAACACCAGATGGCAGCAGAAGCCTGTTTACAGGACCAGCAGATAAAACAGTGAATCTGGGTTACAGAGTGCATCGTGCTGTTGTATCATTTTCCTCTTTTATTGTAATTTATTGGCATTTAGTTCCTGTTTCCTGGTGCACTCGTGTCAACCATTTAAAAATAAATAAAAAAATGTTAAAAGAAATCAGATCCTCCCTGAGCAAATAGGCAAACAAGAAAACAAGCAAAATGAATTAAAGTTTAAAATTAGTAACTAGTAAATAAACACTAATTCTCGATACACTTTATTATTACTGTAATGTTATACAGTCAGGTGGTTAGAGGATCAAGTGTTGTTTATAGTTAAAGATCGACTGGTTGTTGTCTGGTTCATTGTTTATGAAACTGGGGTCCTTGGGTGGGTGATGGGGGGGTCAACGACAAAAGAAAGAACAGAATATTTTAACTTTAACATAAGTTTTGGAGAAACTACGATGTTTGTGAAACTTGTGAAACACACAAAAGGCCCTTCTTATTTTCAGAGAGTCAGTGTTGGGTTTGTCCCTCCAACCTCATTCTAAAGTAACAAAAACAAAAAAAATCTTATATTCAGGTGATTAACGCACTAAAGAAAACATACCTATAATTATTATCTTCCATTTCTGCCATTAGATCCTTTAAATGTTAAACACTGGTCCAGTTTGTGTTTACTGCAGAGAAGAGAAAGCAGACAGAGTGATACGAGAGAGGAGATTGAGATGCACCCACAGCGGCTCATCCGAACATCTGTCAGGCTGCCTCGCTGCCCCCCCCCACACACACACACACACAAACCCTCCAAAACCCTGCCTTAAGTTGTATCTGTCACTCCCTCTGCGTACCAACCATCCATCCACTAAAATGACTGAAGATTTCCTCCTCAACTTATTCACACTTCCCCCATTTATTTCTTCACTCTGTCATTAACAACACATGTTCTTCTCTCTCTCTCTCTCTCTCTCTCTCTCTCTCTCTTCCCGGACAGACACACAAACACACTGACACATCTCCTCGCTACCCATCAGTCCATCCGGTCCCCGAGGTGTCGGCCATCACTGTCTCTCGCAGGCGTTTCCCCAGCAACCACAGCCTCCCCTGTCAGACTTGAGAGAGTGCTTTTTTCTGTTTGCTTTGGTTTCTAGAGGATTAATGGACACGCATTATTGTGCTGGTGTTGCGTCTAGGTGTGTGTGCATTGAATAAGAGGAGAGGTGTGTGTGTGGGGGGGGGGAGTTAGAGGATACACTGAAGCGTGTCATACAATGAACACAGTGAATAACATTTCTTGTGCAATTACGCTTCTATGAAAGGATGCAAACTCCTTTCATTTAAGCAAACCGCTCTGACATTGGACTGTCACAGGAAACATGCTCCTCAGCTAATTTGCCGGCTGGAAAATCCAGACTGAATCCAGACCGACTATGCATGCATACATATTTCTGAGCATCATTCGCATTATTTTACATATCAATATTCCATGTAGTGCAGCTACTGCAAGGGATCTATTTTGCAATCATGGATAATTCATGATCTGCACAGACACTGCATATGAAAATCCTTTGAAGGCGGTTTGGGACTGGGGGAAATTCCCCTTTCTTCCACTTGCCTTCACTTTGTAAAAAAGAAAAGGAAAAAGAGGGTCGTGCTTCTTCTGTTTCAGTTGGCTGTGAATTCACACAGTGAGGTAATGTTCGTTTCAATCAGGCAATATGACTCACCTGTGGTGTAGAAGGTAATATCAGCTCCCTGTATTGGTTTCATTTCAGACGTCGACTGAAGGTGGTGGGGGGTGGAGTAGTACTGTGTGCAGTACTTTTACCTCAGTCCCTCATGGAAGTTCAAACAAATCCTGTGAATTCTGCACAACCTTGCACATTTACCCTCATTATAACCTTTATGATAAGATTACTTTAAGAGCTCCAAACAGTGCGAGTTGCCTTCAGTTTCCGGGTTTATTACAGACACCGTGAGCGCTACCGGATTGGATTTATTGATTTCTGTCGGCATGTAAAGAGAACAATAACCTGTATCATCATACTGATAAAGTGAAGCGTTGGCACTCTGGCTCTGCTCATAGAAACATCGAGCCAACGTACCGCTACAGCACACAGCTGCTAGTTGTAACGCTGAACATTTGAGCTTCTTTTCTAAAGATGATGAGTTTCTGTAATCTAAAATGCAACATACGCATTAAATGCATCAGTAATATTAATGTAAAAACACAGACTGGGAACATTTCACTGCACTGTGAGTACTTTTACTTCTACATTTTACTGATAATACTCCCTCTAGGAAGGTGCATGTTTGTCCAATAACCACGACTTCTCCAACCGTTGTAGTTTCCCGGAGAAAAATGTCGAGTCATACGTCACCAAACTCACTTCCTTGTTTCTAGTTGTGAAGATGTAGACCACA